CAACTCATATATTACTGATGAATGAGTAACATGAAACTTTCAATCTTTTTTTTAAGAGACAGTTGCTTTTTCATAGAGGATAAAATAAGATTTTCTTCTTGAGTTTGAGTAAATAATGTGGATGAAAAACTATTTGTTTAATGTTAACCTTAGTTTGTCTTTAGCTTGTCATCTTTACACTACAACTTATCCATGTGATTTCAACATATCAGAATGATTATACTAGTTTTAAAATCTTTCTATTACTTCATCAGCCACTAGTGAGCTTCAATTATTTTACTATTCAAAGCTTTATACTTTCATATTTTTTATCTATGATATCTTATTTGAAGATTCATAACTGATCAAAAATAAATAAATTGTCTTGCTCATATGAGGTTGTTTAGTTTATCTTTAGTCCACTATTATACTAACAAGTTATCATCCAAAATGCATACTTCTAACCTTTAGTTATACTTTAGTTCAAATCTTTCTGCTCTCGTGAGAGTTGTCTTTGATAATATGTATGAATATTTTTAAGTAATCAATTTACATATTTGTCTTTATTTTCAAGCTAGAATATTAATAAATCTTCATTATTATGAGTTAATAATTATTTAATAGTTAGTTAATGATATGTTTTACATATTAACTCATGATAAATAATCTTATATTTATGTTAAATCAAGAAAATAAGTTTTTATGTGACTAACTTTGGGTAATTATGTATTTTATATGATTTTTAGATTCATGATTTCAATTGAAAGTAAAAGAAAAGAAAAGAAAATAAATAAATAGTATTAAAGAAAGGTCCTACTAACCAGATGTCACTTGGCAACTGACCCAAAAGGAACTGCATGAGAGTGAGAAACAGAGTTGAGGAAGCCACAAGCTAAATTCAAGTGGCTAAGGGACCCATGTATGGCACGTGTATCACTCCCCTTCCAAGTCACTTAGGGCCAACCGAGTGTGGGGCAAGGAATGTTTGTACACATGTATTTATAAGGTCAAACTAGATTTCATGGTCCCCTCTCCCTAAGGGTGTTCTAGCCATTAGATTTTTTGGGAGATGGCACTTGAAACTAGAATGAAGCTCATAATTATGTTGATCTGAAAACCTCTGAAACAACTAGTGTTTGACTAATATGTGGACAAAGTATATCATCAAAATAATGTCAAAAATACCCCCACATTAAGATAAGGTAACATAGTCATATGTTTAATATCTAAAGGTATTTTGGTAATTAGTTGAACCTCTCTCACATAGCAAGTGACTAACAAAGGTTCAAATATCAACAATGTCAAAATTCATGATTTTTATCTATTTAAACTCTGTAATTTTCTTACATAGTACCAATTAATGATCGAGTTGTGAGAATCACTTGATCATCAATAGAAACTTTGTTAATGATATTTTTGAATCATATTAACAACTAACCAAAAAATTTAGATAAAAAAGTCACAAAATTTTAGAGAAAATCATTTCCGATTGATCATCGAAGGCACCGTAGTTGAGAATAGCACATTTCATTAAGATACTTGTCCTAGTCTCTTCAGAACGTTCTAAATACAAGACAAGACTCTTCTTACTACAGAGACTTAAGAAGAAAGTTTCCTAAGATGTGCCCTTCAGCTCAGCTCTACAAGAAAGCCATCGAATACTAATCACCATTGAACTTTTATTTTACTACATGACAGTCATCAAAAATGCTTCATCAACCTCTACCTTTGCCCTTTGGATTTTACATGAGAATGTAAAGAAAGTTCACGTTGAGTGCAACCAAGAAGAGCTTTTGAGGCTATGGGCATTGCTCGAAGATCTTTTTAAACACCCAAAATTCTAACAATTATGTCACAATGGTGAAACTCTATATTTGGTGTTTTAGATTTGATTAGTCTTTAAATTACTATTTTTGTAATTTAAATTTAAATTTAAATTCTCTTTTAGTCAATTATAGTTCATTTGACATTTATAAACCTCAATTTTATTAATTAAATTGTACATAATCATTTATCTAGTAATTATCAGGTTGACCTTTATTTCTTCTTGAATCATTGCTCTTCGCATACCAACATCATTCTTTTGTCAGTGCTTGAATTTTTTTCTAAATTTTAAAGATATTTTCTTTTAATCTTTTAGTCTAAAAATTATATTAAAAAAACTTTGAGAAAAAAATTAAAATTTTATTTGATATTATATTGCATCACCATGATCTACTTGGAAACTATTTTTGAAGCTTTCTATCAAATTATAATTGATATATTCAGTCAAAACAACTTCTAAATATCTAAAATGGATCTTTTTCTAGTTTTACACATTTAAAATTTATGTGATTTATGATATGATAATTAAGTTATGCTATGTATCATCATTAAACTTTCATTTCCTCCATGTACTCCAATGAAATATTACCATCAAAAGTATGTAAGGAAGTCATTTAGCTTTTATCTAGTCCATGTATTCTACCGATGAATTATCATCCAAAATTCATACTTATGACCTTCAATCATATTTAAGCTCAAATCTCCTAGCTCTCGTAAGAGTTCAACTTGATAATATATATAGAAACTTTTAACTAATCAATTAACATATTTTTCTTCAAAGTCAAGTTAGGATGTTCAACTTATCATTTTTTTCTCCTTTGTGTAGTTACTTTATGAGTTCAAATCACATTAAATAGTATATTTTCTTGATTTTTAAAATATTTTTTATGTTAACACATGTGATTACAATGCTTAGGTGTAATATTCGAATCATGCAAGTAACTTAGTTTTCAAGAATATATATGAGACTTTGTCACACAAGTTAACACATGTTATATATTTCGAGAATGTTGCATTACATTATTTCAACATAAAAAGATATTTTAAGAGTGTAACTCTTTAGATTTGTTATTAGCCATATGATCATATCAATCATCATTACATTATATATGTTTTGAATATTTCTCAAATATATTTTACTTATGATATAATTTATTGTGATGGATAGAAGTGATTCAATTGATTTTTAATAAATTATTTAATAATAATTCATTAAAAAAAAATTAATATGTGCCAAAACTAATATATACATTTATATGTCATGTAGGAGAGTAACTCACAATCACCATTATTGTTGTCGCCACTACTATGTATTGTTCCTTGCTCTTCTACTCATTGTGTTTCCTCTTATATTGTCCTCTCTCTCATGAGTCTCTTTCTCTCTCCTTTCTCTTCTTTTAAATACCCCCCATTATAATAAGTTGGTATAGGGCTTCATAGTGGGCCTACTATAATCAAGCTGCTATTTGGCCCAATATTGTCTTAAAATTTCTATAAAAATCATAAAAAATTTAATTTGTCATCTTCTATTTTTTTTCCATATAAACAATATATATTTCTTCATCTCTTAGAGAGAAATAAACAATAAATAAAATAATTTATGATTTAATAAAATGAACACGTTGTAAAATATGTAAAACTTGATAGTTTATGTATGTATTGCAGTAAGTGGTTTGGAATCACATGAGAATAGGTTTCCTTTAAATGTATGCTCCAATTAAAATATTTACATCATAATTGTATAAAATATTCATGACCTATCATATAATGATGAGGCTTTATTAGCAACCATGTACATATGTAACATAACATAGATATGTCTATTAGTAAAATGCCTTTAAGCTGCAAACATGTCATAACTAGAGAAAAGTATAGAATAATGATCTAAATTTTATGCTGATATGAAAGTTTCTTGAAAAAAAAACCTGAAATCTAAAATCCTAAATCATAAATTGTGTTGATTGTTATTTTCCTTTATATTTAAGTACCATCAAAGAGAGACAAATGATTGTTTGATTATTATTTTAGTTTCCTATTTCTTTCAATCGATACGAGTTTTAGTAGAGAATGAATCCATTGTTCATTCATGCACACTCACTTGAGCAAAATAGTATTTGAGCTTCACAATTTTAAGAAGGATTCAGTTTCTTCATAGAAATCTTACCAAACACTTTCTTCCCTTTGATGAAAAAAGTACATTTTATATTTAATCATCCTTGAAATTGCAGTATTCTGAAAATTTCTTCACAAAGTCCCCAAACACTATGCGAGTATCATGATTGTGGAAATACCTCTTTACAGGCCCTATTCAACCCTCTTTTCCAACCACGGTGTCTGCCTTTCGGATCAAAATACTCTTTCCAACCACTAGGCCTATAAGTCGCTATGGGAGTCCGCATGGAGCTATCAATGAGCCCCTGAGCGATAGTGGCTGTAAGTTCCGTTCCTATGTGACATGTAGAGGATGAATCTGGCCCACGTACTAGCCACTCCTCTCTACAAATCTGGCCCTGAAGAGACTCGGCCCGATGTATGGGCGTCTCTTAAGGGCCCATGCGCATCGTAGTTGCGGACCATAATATCCTCCCGGTGCCAGGTCCGCCCGTGTTTTGGAATGGACCAGGCCTATTTGGCCAGGCTGGCCGGACCAGATTGGCTCAATCGTTCTGGTTTGGGATGACGCGCCACGGCCGGGGCCACCCGATCCGGGTCCGATTCCCCCCACTGCGTATCGACGGTCCAAAGAATTCCAGTTAAGAGAAAGAAAGAAAAAAGCGGTCGGGATTACAGCGAAGCACGCCCAGGTCGTCTCTGGGAGAAAGAGGGGCGGGGCGTACGGCAGGCAGGCAGGCAGGAGGAGGAAGGGCGCGCAGGCGAGGGCTGTAGGCAAGGGGAGCTCGGACGCGGCTGCCTCCGGTGGGCAACAAGGCCACCCTTCCTCCCCGTGGGAACTCACGCCACCATTCCTTCCTGTCGGGCTTCTATCGTACAGTCAAGCTACCACGCGAAGGAGCCGTCGTCCGTTCTCGGCTGGGGCCCTGCGCGACAGAACGGACCTTGGAAAGAAAAGGAGGGAGCCGTCGAAAGTGGGGGAGGGGGACTGCCGTCCTCGCCGCCGGGATAGATCCGATCGACCACATTCATCCCGCTCTGATCTGATCGCCGGATAGGGGAGGGCGCGCGAGCAGGAGACCGAAATGGGGGACTTTAATTTGGCCTTGGTGGTGATAGCGGCGGTGGTGTGCTTTCTTGTGCTCCTCTTCAACGTTTACTTGCTCATCAACTACCAACATCCCGATGACGCAAACCAGGCTTATTTCCCAAAGGCAGTGGTGGTCTTCGGGCTGACAGTCGCCGCCATCTCGATACTTATGCTCCCCGCCGATGTTGCCAACAGGCAGGCATGCCGCCGTGCAATATACAATGGAGCCTGCAACCTTACTCTTCCCATGAAGGAACTCTGGCTTGCTGTCTACATAATTGATGCCGTTCTCGTCTTTTTCGTTATCCCTTTTGCCATGTTCTACTACGAGGGCGACCAGGACAAGTCCGTAATTGCTTTCGTGTCATTCTGTTATCGTAATATCATTAAGGGATTTGTTATTCTTGCTGATCTCGATTCTGCCTTCTTTCAGGAGCGTGCTAAAGAGGTTAAAGAGTGCACTGTTGTGGGTTTTTCTCTCTGCTCTGATCTGTGGTCTCGTTCTTGGGATCCTATATGGTTTGTTCGTCTAAACCCCCTTCTTTGTTGGGTTTCCTTTGAAAACATTCTTAGTAGTCTCTGTTGAACACCGAGGCAACATCTAGGCCTGGCCTAAGCATTTTTTTTTCTCTATTCCTTCATTGTAGACCCATCCATCCTAATGCACTGGTTAGCGGCTAGCAGAAAACTACTTCAGAATGGTTGCATTCAGAGAAACGTGTCTGACCACTGAGCCAGTTATCGTGTTAATATGACCTGATGGGCTTACAGAAGCCTTCTATTGTTTCCTTGAACTAAAAATAAAATAAAATAAAAAGCGAAAGGGAGTGGGACGGTTTTAGGGATGTAACTTCTCGGTCAGGATATTCATTCCTTCTTCCAGTGGTTTCGGTGATGAGATGCCTTCTGATTGAGTTTCTTTGAATCTCAACAATCACTTCAAAATTCATTTACCCTTTTTTTTCCCATCATTCATTTGCTGTCGCCACATTTGGGTTTCATGATATTTTCAACTTTTACCAGCCAACAGAGTATTTCTTATATTTTATATTTGTGATATGATCCCCTGGAAGACGATTTTAGTTTCATTATTGGTTCAATATTGAGAACCAACATGGTTGTTCAGTTAGAACTGTACCCTATGAGATTCCAGCCTGTAAGAATGAAGGGTTTCTGAGGTGGGATTTTAGTTTGAAGTGTGTTTTCTACTGCGTTAACTCAGTACTATTTCTTATTATGTGGAGAATCCCTTCTCTAATTTTTATTAAAAATAATGTCTAGATAGTTCACTAAGCAGTGAGAATTCAAAGACCAGAGGCAGAAATTGTAAAAATAGTTTTCGAAACTCAGGATGGTTGCCATCAAGATTTCAAATGAAAAAGGAGAGAGATCGAGCAGATTAACATCTCCTGTGCGGGGCTGTCACCCATGAATTGCGAAAACAAAACATTTGAATCTATGAAAAATTAAAATATGTGACTTGTGATTTTTAATGATTTTTTATGAGCTATGCTTGAAGATATCTGTATTTATGTCTATATATCGTTATTGGTTTTTACTTGACCTTATCAGGGTTCGTGGGGAAGTTGGATTTCACAGTGAGACACCTCTCTTCATCCGCCACAGACTTCACAGGTGATTGGACCAGATTTACCAGCAATGTACCTTGCACTAGTGGTACAGTACGTCAGGTGTGTCTCTTTTTCAATGATATATTTCCTAGTATATTTTTTTATATGTTTTTTCTGGCATTAATTATGGGGAAATTTGTTGAAACCCGTCGCCATCTGACATGGGCTATCTAGGTGTCACTACTTATTGGATTATTTCAGATTATCAACTCAAATTCACCCTGCTCTGACTTAGTTGAAATAAAGAAGATTTAGATTATCAAAAGTAGTGATCGGGTGGCATGGGTAGTGCACCACTGTCTATGCTTGTTGCCAATTCGCTTCAAATTTAACATCTATTTGGATCTATATTACCTAGGGTTACTGGACTGAAGCTCCTTGATTTATCATCATCCCTTCCAAAGTTTATGACGAAAGTGAGCTGTATGTTGGCTGATGTCATCTTGCAAGTGCCGTGATGAAGGTGCTTATTCACGCACTGCTGTCCTGGGGTTACCTTTGAGTTCTGCAGTTCCAAGTCTATGATTCCCTTTTGACTTTGGAGATTGAGTCTATAAAACCCTTGTGATGTTGCCATATATCTGGTTTCCAACCTAGCCTCCTCTGAGTAAAGTTAAATCATTTAGTCTACTTTCTGATCACAATGAACGTTGACACAGCCAATTTGGAATACTCCATCTTTAGCCAGAAAGATAAACAGCATTTTGTACGTGTGGACATGTAGTTTATGGATAGATTGGCGTTGTCTTTAATATGGAAGGACGCATGAAGAATATTTACAGGAGATGATGCTATGATAATTCTTTTTATTTATTTATTTATTTTGTTTTCTGAACGTACTTTGTTTGTTTTTCCAGTGTGCTGCATACTCAGTAGGTGCTTCTTCAGAATCTACCTGGAAAATGAGGTCTTCGTTTCCAGAATATGTTGTTGCTCTGGCTACAATTGTTGGATCAGTGCTTTTTACTGTATGCTCTGCACTTTGAACCTTCTTTCTACTACACTAACATAATGGAAGAATTGTATTGTCACTTTTGCTCGCTTTTATTTTAACAGTTGTATTTCTAATGTAAGATATGAACTGCATGGCTACTTCATACAGAGGTTTTCCTCGCTTACACAGTATGCTCTGTATGTCAAACCGCCTTTCTACTACACTAGCATAATGAACGTCATGTACTGTCATTTTCGGTCACTTACATTTCAAGCGTTGTATCTCTTGTTTAAAATATTAACTGCATAGTTACTTCATCAAAAGTTTTGGAGTCAATAAATTCTTTGTAAAAATATGATAAAATATGCAATACGCCCGTACAATTTTCCCTCTTTGAAGAATTAATGACATGTTATTTCTTTGTTTGGCAATAGATTTTCGGAGGTGTTGGTATCTTTTCCCTTCCACTAGGGCTTATATTCTCATTTATTCGACGCCCCAAAGCTGTCATCACTCGTTCACAATATATCAAGGTATTCATGTGGCACTATGTTGAGTCTTTATTTTGTTTATAATGTCTTTTACTTCCACCAACTCATAGCGATTTGTTTCTGGGCATTGCTGTGGAAAATCTCTAGGAGGCAACTGAACTTGGTAAGAGAGCCAAGGAGCTAAAGAAAGCAGCAGATGCACTTCGTGAGGAAGAGCGAAGTGGTTCCAAAGGGAAAAAGTGGCGCAAGAATGTAAAAGTGGTTGAAAAGGTGGGATCATACTTATGTGGCATATTTTTCTTAACAATTAGGTGCATTTTCTGTTGCTCTAAACTTTTGCACATTAATTTCTACATTATTCTTATTATCTTGTTTAGGATTTTTCTCAATTTGGAGGTTAATCTCTATCTTCTTTTTTTTAATATTCACAATTTGATGAAGTAGATTGGTAGAATAGGACTTATTCCATTGAACATTGGCTATGATTAGTGGAAGATGATGATCATGATGATGGCAATCCAAGGAATTTTAGAATTTTGGAAAATTTTTCTTGTGGTCACCTTTTCGAATTTGTGGAGAGAAATTTGGTTACTGATAGGAACAGGTTGAATAGGAGGTGATTCTTATTTCGGTGACTCAAAATTCTGAATGTTTTGAATTTTGTTCACTTCCACATTTTTAATGACAATGGTAACATTAATGTCAACGTACTATGTTGTTCTCTGAGAAATTTGAGATTTTTGGTCCTTATAGGAGTTGCTTTTGCTGGAGGATGACATGAAAGCATTGGAGGAGATGTATCCTCAAGGGGAAAAGGTGACGTTTTTAGAAGCTACACTCTAAATTGTCCCCTGGGCATGAAATGTTTCTTGACATTTTTTTTCTTCTTCTACTTAGGCTGAGGCTTCCTGGGCTTTAACTGTCCTTGGATATTTGGCAAAGCTTGTTCTAGGAGTTTTGGGGTGAGAACTAAATGCACGAAGGTCCTTCATTTCTTGTTCTTATAAATGGGGCCAACTTGATTTGCTTTAAACCGCGACTGTTGAATATTTCATGATTGTCGAAACTTCTAAGGATAAATTTTTTTTTTTGAATGATCTATTCAACTAATCAAATGAGCTTTTGGGGAACAGATCTCATATGTTTATTTAGACTTCAAGCCTCTTGTGAACATTTGGTAAGCCAATCATTCGATCCAATTCTGTGTCTTTCTACGTATTTGACCCATAAATGAGGCTCCTAACATGGAGAAAAAGTCCTTATACTTGTAAAATGATATATAAAGGTTTTTATGAGAACCAACCAAAAATTAAATGGGCGCCAAGTGTTGACCACGTGCGCATATTTCAGTTCATTAAAGTATTTTTTTTTATTTGTGGCTTTACTGACCTTTCCATGCAATATATCTTCTCTTATTTTTTTCGATTAAATGCATTTGAGTGCCAGTTTATTGAATTTTATAATAGATAGTTATACCCGTTTCCGTGTTAGATACGGGTGTCAGATTTCTACGCACCATTTTTTAGGAATCAAATTGTCCAAGTCAAATGAACCAATAATGTTAACGTATTGATAATTTTAGTTTCATGTTTTTATTATACTAGCTTAAAAAGGTGATAGCTTAAAGAGGAGGATGCGAGCATTTTTTCATTAGCAGTATATCCTCAATAATGATGGAAGTTAGTTTCTGTGCAAAACCTACATTCCCGAGTATATTTCTAGGAGTCTTTATGATCTCCTTGATATTTTTTTTGGTGTTTAAGCCTGAGCACAATCATCATCTTCATGAACTCCTTCTGATTCAAATAGAAGCTCGTTCCTTTCTAGTTGTATGCTCCTGCATTGGCTTTCATTTTTATTCCAGCTTCGTCCTCACGTACTCCCATCTGCGCAGATTGTGTGTGTGGGGGGGAGGGGGAGGTTTAGAATTGCTAGAACATCAGAATCACTGGTTTTTGGGCAGGAGATTGCTGCAGGGAATAGTAATACAATGGAAGACAGGCTTGCGTTGTAGGAGTAACGGGAATCGAGTTGCTTCGAGAGTAAACCCAGGCAAGGTCTGGAGCTGAGTATCACGCATTTCAATCTCTTGCTGGAAGTGTACCATCCATTGGCGGTTTCAATTTCGTTTTGGTCCTGGGGGGAAACCAGTTGACTGTGCCAGAGGGTGAGATCCAAAGAATTGGTGAACCAGAGAAGAAGAGAAAATGGAAGGAGACCAAGGAAAGGAAAAGGCGAAGAAAATAAGATGAGAAAACTGAAGTCGGAAGATGGGGGAAACAAAATGAGAAAATGAAAGGGATGTAAGGAATAACTGAAGATTAAAAGGCAAGGGAGGAGAGAAATAAAAAACAATGTTGATGGTGGACTCACAGTTGGTCTAGGCATGGGATTAACTCCTGTTATCACACCTCATAATCTCCTTTGTATCTTCTTCTGCTTCCGGGCAGAATCAGAACTGGAAGATGCTAAGAGCTGAAGAATAACTGAGGTGGTACATTCTATGAAACAAACGCCTAATAAATTTACCCATGACTTAGCGAACGAGCCAATTAGTCTTGCATTACTTTGCAGTTTCGGAAAAGCACATTTTTTAATTACAAGGCAGCTATATTTCGAAAATAGGAAATAATGGATCGTTTCTGGTTTTCACCCAAAGATTGGCTAGTCTTACTCAGATTTTAACTAATCAGTCCCCCATCCTTCTAAAAGTCATCAATAATTCAATGAATGAAGCAGCTGGTAATTTTACATGCAGCTTCTTCTAGTTTTTAAACAAAAGTTATTTTTTAATTAAGGTCAGTTTCATTTCTGGAAATTAACAAACTTTATCTCTTCTGGTTTCCACGTGAAATTCGGCATGTTATAAAAAGATTTGACTTTTGACGTAGATGTTGGGGATATCTGATATTCTCCATATCAAAAAAGTATTCGAACTTCACTTTTCAGACACCATTTTGCGCATTCTTGTTTTACCATAATCTCCTTGTCCTTTTTCTAGTGAAAGCAGTACAGTCGCAATTCAGTAAGGATTTACGTCAGGAGTTTTGATGAGAAGGGGGTGGGATCTGCGATGTTCTTTTAACCTGATTTCGAGGTTATTCAGAGTTCTTTTCAGGCCTGGGTATCTTTGATGCCAGAAAATATCTAGTCCAAGATCTGGTGTTTTTGCCGCACAGTACCTTTAGAGCTTCAATGGATTGATCAAATACGTGGTAAATAGGGTTACATATTTGAGGTTCTCGTGCCATTTCTCACATGGCGTTCACTGCTGGTGTTAAACCAGATAATTCACCCTGGTGGAGCGCTTCAGCCCCAGAGCCTGGGGATTATTTTCAGATTGAATGATTATTCCTATATGTAGACACCTGCAAAAAGTGTTTACTGGGGGAATGTGTGTACACTTGATCTGCTGTGGACTGGTGAACTTTATGGTTGTGTTTTTCTGTGGGCTATCTCCTGTAGGCTAACCGTGCAGCCACTTTGTCACGGCACGTCGTATTAACGTAGGCCAGCCGTCACCAGCGAATTTCACCTTGGCGAAAAATAAAACCCTTTCCGAAAAGCTCACCTTATAGCAAAAGCAGGAGTTATCAAAGAAAATATCCCTCCATTGCGCCAAGAGATGTGTACAGTTGGAACTATCGTCTTCTTGATTCCGTTTTTTTTTCATATCAAATTTCTGCAATTTGATAATGCTTCTGTGTTAATGAGTCCCTCGTTTTCATACTATGACGAGGAATTTTTTCTGGGTCCCATTTTATTTTACCCTGTGGAGAATGGTGCTCGGGCATAATTCTGCAAACATGTACCTTATCTTGCAGGTTTGTGGTATCTGTGGCTTGGGTTGTGCATATAGTCATATACTCATTGATCGATCCTCCTGTTTCTGCTTTCCTGAATGAAGTTTTTATCAAACTGGATGATGTATGGGGTACGTAATGAACATCATCTTATCATAAGCTTCCCGGTTGTCTTTTAAGAGATTCATGGCTCTTACTGGAATCGTGTGATTGTGCCAGGGCTCTTGGGGACAGCCGCATTTGCGTTTTTCTGCTTCTACCTTCTCCTCGCAGTAATTGCAGGGGCCATGATGCTCGGGCTGAAATTAGTTTTTGTGACGATTCATCCGATGAAGTAATTTCTATTTCCAACCTGCATCATCTTTTCAAGATGGTCTCTCTTTTTTTCTTTTTTTTCTTTTTTTTTTTGTTGATCTCACTAGTTGCAGGCTAATATACCTCGTACCATTTGTGACCCAGGTGGGGTGGAACTCTGATGAACTCGTTTCTCTTCAACGTGGGACTCATTCTGCTGTGCTCTATCAGGTCCGCTAGGCAGCCATCCTGATAAAGATTAATTCCGCTCGATCTAACTAGCTGTGGGTGCGATGTGGTGGTGCTGTCTCACCATCTTGAACCGGGCTCGTCTCCTGTGTGGTGTGGGGAAGCTAAGCTGCCCACAGGTTCTCGTGGGGCACAACGCCCCACGAGGACGATTTCTGAATTTTCCCATCCTCACCGGGGAACATGAGGGATCCTTGTTCCCAGTTTATTTTTTGTTAGAATTTACACGCATTGAACTCTTTTCTGTGCTTGGAACGGTCCCCCTACTCACGGCATTTTTTTTTCTGTGCGTCTTACGTTTGTGTTGCGCAGTGTGATACAGTTTTGTTCGACGGCGTTCGGTTACTATGCTCGAGCGACTGCTGCCCAAGAAATATTCGGTCACACGCTGCAGTCCCTTCGTGGAATCAAGTATCTGTACAAGTAAGTCACAACCCGTTGGAGGGAGGATCTGACGACGGCCCTTCCTTTTCCCCTTCGCGCAGATTCCTTTTTTATTTTATTATTTTATTTTATTAATATTTTATTATTATTATTATTGTTGCTTTTGCTGGCTGGCATAAGATGCAGATCGAGGTGCTCATGTGGCTCTGTTCATGCGCAGGTACAACGTGTTCCAATACGCGTTTGTGGGTTTCGCTGCGCTCACGCTCGTGTACTATCTGGCATTTGTAAGTCGAGCTTCGAAATGTGGCTTCTTCATCACCATATTATTATTATTATTATTATTATTACTAGTAGTAATGATGGTGATGATGTGATTGATGATAAAGGCAACAATAGCCGGTGAAATCCGGCGGATGGAGGTCAGGTGACTAAACTTGTGGAGGGTTGTTTTGCGTTTGGTCCCAGGGATGGAGGAAGAGGAAGCCGAGCGGCAGGCTCCAGCTTTCAACTTGAGGGAGAGGCCCCGTTTCTACTGCTGTGGTGTCGCCGCCACCCGGCCACGCCAGTCGATCGATCAGCGTTTCTCTGGTTTTGACCCCCCTCTCTCTCTCTCTCTCTCTCTCTCTCTCTCTCTCTCTCTCTCTCTCTCTCTCTCTCTCTGGGTGTCTATTCCTTTTTCTTCTTTTTTCCCACCCCCTCCCCCCGATTCTCCCCGCTGTATTCTTCAATCTGTCCAGCTCTCGCGCTGTGCGTGGCAGGGCTTGTAGCTGTGGTCGCTGTGTGTTGTCCGCTCGGCCGGATTCGCGGGTCGAACAAAACAAGAACGGCTCTCCTGCTGTACAAAACTGAACTGTTCCTCCGGGATCATGCATCCGTGGTCAACGGCTGGCTTTTTCCATCCTATCCTTGATTCGTGAAGGAGAAGAACAGAGTCTTAAGCCTCTCATGATCACCATCATCAGAATGGAAACAAGGGGGAGGAGAGAAGCGTGGGGGAAGGGGGGGGGGTAGTCGACCCTCATCTTTAATGTGATGGGTCAAGTCATTCGTCGTCGTCTTCCTTGTCGTCGAGAGGAAAAGTCAGTCGAGCTGCCGGGCGAACCAGAATGAGTGGGAGTGGAGCAGGCAGTGCGCAGGGGGCCCTCCACGATGCGTGAGGAGTTAATTATTCAGGCCCAGGCAGGGGAAGGAAGACTAGTCAGAGCGCTGCTCCCTGTTGCTTTCCCAGCTCTGAGGGAGGACAACAGACAAGACGCGGGCCGGGGGAGCGGATCTGTCAGACGGGAAGAGAAGACGTCGGCGCGGCGGAGGAGATGAGCGCAGAGGGGAAGACAGATAAGGACCGCCACCGCCGCGCTGCCGGCGAGATCCAGGGCGGAGAGAAGATGGAGGAGCTGGATTCCTCCCAGGTCGTCGGTAGCGGGTGCGTCTGGTTTTGCCACACTCCTCCTTCCCCTCTCTTTTTCCGCTCCTTCTCTCGCGAGGCAGCGAGGGGCTCCGTTGATACCCTTGCCGCCGCGTGAAATCGGGCGTTGTTCGCGCGTAGGGTGGATCCGCTATGAATTCTGTTTCCCCTCCTGTTCTTCTCTTTCCTTCCTCTTCCTCGTCCTATTTATCATTCTTTCTTTTTTCTCTTTTTTCGATTTCATTCGACTGCTTCTCGGAAATTGCGCTGATTTTTTTCTCTGCCGCCTGTTCCGACTCTGGAGGTCTCCCCCTGCTTCGGCTGATGCTCCACCGCCAACAACGGACAGCAATCCCAAGCAGCTTACCATCTTTTTCAACGGAGAAATCTGTGTCTTAGAGGACATCCCGCCCGAGAAAGTAGGGCACTCTCCTCTCATCCCCAGCTTTACCCTCCGCGACCCTGTTTAACGATTTTCCTCTCTGGAGGTTCGTCCTAATCCCTCGCCGTTACAGGTTCAGGCGATCCTGATCATTGCTGCCGCCACCGCAGCCAGGGCAGCGTCTCCCTCGGCCACCAGCAGGTGGTCGATGAAGGCGGCTTCCCCCTATTCTGCCGCTAGTACTGCAGTTGCTGGCGCCAATACGGCTGCCTCACTTCTGTTGAGTAGATCGCCGTCCTTTCAGAGCTCGTCAGTGGCAGTGGGAGGATTATCCCCTCGGAACTCGGAGCTGCTCCCCAATCCGGGCGGCTCGCTCTTCAAGCTGCAAGCGGGTAGACCTCATGAGAGGCGTTCGAGCTTTGCTTCATTCCCTATTCATTCCCTCCTGATCGAATTCCTCCCGTTTTCGGGGATATTTCCTTCTTTGTAGCTCGTCGACCTAAGAAATGAGCTGGTCCTCTTGTCTTTCTCCCCAGGGCTTCCACTCGTGAGGAGAAGCTCGCTTCAGCAGTTCTTGGAGAAGCGCCGCGACAGGTAAAAATATCTCTTTTATTTTTTAATCCTCGCCATCCTCGCCATCCTCGCCTGCTCTGTGTTGCTCCAAGCTTTTTTGCACATGGATGACTTTCCTGTTAGAGGATGTCGTTCGATCTGCCTTGAGAGGGGGGGCGATTTGATTTTAAATCTGACACTCGGTCTCGATGGATTCAGATATCCTAGGAGAGGATCTGAATGTTTTTTCTATGAAAAGGCAGATTATATCATAACATCTTGAGAGATCGAGAGAGGGAGAGAGATATGGACAGGGTGGTTTCTCAACCAAGAAATATGTGTCATCCTGGTCTGTTGAAGGCTCGACGGGTTTTCGAGAAGACCCTTGAGAAGGCACGATTTCAAGAAGCAGAATGAGTTCTCAGCTTCATTTTTCACAGTGGTGAGAAGATCGCAAGCCTAGCTCGGCCCACAGACAAAACCTCTGCAAGGAAAGAAGAGAAGAATCGCGTCATACCTGATCTCTAGAACAAATGAAAACGAGGATGATCAGCTTTCCACAATTCATCTCTCATTAGAAAATTATGCGAGGCGTATTATGCCCAGGAGGAGCTCTGGACTTCATCGGCCGGCAAAGATGAGGAGACAACCTTGGTAAAGCGACCATCTCTGCACGATGGCGTGCCAATTTGAGAGACTTCATGCTTGCTTCGGGTTAGGGTATGAAAAGAGTCTGCAACTCCCCATTCACTGTCCCTGCAGGTTCCACCCCGTGCGCTTTCCTCGAAGCGGCATATCTTCATCGTACACTCTTCTGCTTCTGCCGTTGCTGTCGCTGTTCTGGGCAGAGCAGACGGGAATCGAAAGTTAGATATCAAAGATGGCATCTTTTTGCCTAGTCGATCGGTCCCGTGTGGAAAATCAGCGGGACCCGAGAGGAAAATCAATCACCGTCTGGGTGCTTCTGGTTTTGGTCATCTTCTGGTGAGCTCATGCAGCCTCAATGGTTGGATGTGCGGTTGATGATACTTGGCCTGCTTCTGCTTTCCTAACTGACTCCTTGCTTCTGCTTCTGCTTTCGATCTGCCAATGGTTGAGTAAGATCTGAGGAACTCGCAGGGTAGATGGTTAATATACCCGCATGATGCCGCCGCAGCCGCCTCCTCTCGCCTCTGTTGTTCTGTGTTTTCTGTTGGCCCGGCGGAGGTAGTTGATTGTGTGTGTTTTACGGCTGGCAGGCTGGTGAGCAGGGCACCGTACGTGGCTCCCACGAAGACCAAGGACTGTGGCTCCCACGAAGGCGCCGACAGCCGCGAGTCCACCCCTTCGGGAGCTTCGTGAAGAGGGTCTGCTTTCCTCTTCCTCGGTCGTGACTGTGACTGTGACTGCGTGTGTGCTTGTATGAATTCCTGCATGGCCTCTCTATCGAGGAACCTACCCTGCCATGGTAGTATCCGTATCAAGAAATATGACTCTGTTGGTCCTAATCTCGACCATGTTCTTCTTCGTGTAGTTGAGTCTGTTTCAAGAAGATCCCCTCCGGAGAAGAAGGCTCGGCTCCAAGATTGGGTGGGTGTTTCATCATCACTTCCCGAAGGGGTTGCTCTCGAAGAGATCCCTGCTCAGATTCCAGATATGCTTCATATAATTCAAAGAAGTCGTATTTCTTCTTCAAACGGGTAGGCTATGTGTCAAGTAAGAATCTAGGTCGAAGAATGGAGGGAAGGACTCGGATGAAAACGAGAGAGAGAGAAAGAGGGAGAACAGACAGGTGGGAATGACTCAGTGGAGCGAAGAACAGAGCACTGATCTGCGATTATTCCCCGCCAATTTGCCTTTCTTTATTAAGCGAGCAACTAGGTCGATATGCTTGGAAAATTCGTCGCCAGACGAAAGCCAGTCTACTGTAGTCGTAGTCTTCTGTACGTTTCTCGTCAACGGAGGTGAACGACGGAGATCACGTCGGGTTGAGAAACTACGGCACCCATCCTACATACAAGCTCGATCTCGGAACCTTCCACTTGCTCTGTTGAGGAAGGGCAACCCCCATTCTTTCGTATGCCTGCAGCTTCCGAGGATTCCTGCGGGTTGGGTGCCGTGCAGGAGAGTTTAATTGGTTATGACGTCCTACGGTTACGCAATGAATCCGAAGAATGTCCAGAGCTGTAAAGCTATAGCTATATATCTATATATATATATGCCCATACGGCGGGTAAGCAGCCCCACAGTGACTCCAGGAGGAGCCAATTCCAGTATCCAACCGGCGATCTCTCCGACTCTTCCATCGCCTTGAGGTATCCCCCACCTCTCTCCCTCTCTCTCTCTCTCTCTTTCTAGATCGCTCTCTCCCCTGGGGAAGATGACCCAAATGGAAGCGTGAATAGTTAGACGAGGGTCTTGCGACGGGGTGTGGTTTCTGTTCTGCGTTGGAAAGTGTCGCAAATCTGACGCAGGCCCTGCGGCCCAGATCGACAGCGTTTCTTCGCCGGCGATGGACCGCTGGAGGCAGAAGAAGAGAGGGACGGGGCTGAAGAGGAGTGTCCAGCTGCGGGTTTATGACCGGTCTTCTCCTTGAATTTGTAACGAGTGGATCAAACCGAAAAGCGACGGCGTCTTGTGACCGGCGCGCTCAGGAGCAACTGGTTCCGGCTAGTCAACCATCCGTATCAAGGAAATTTCTCCGCCCTTGGTGGGTCGTGACAGCGAAGCGCACCATTCCAGTGGGCCATATAGCTATCTCAGTGTCGTCCTGATGAACTTGGTTTGGATAAGCCCTCGAGAGATGATGTCATTTCTCACGTGTACCATCGAAAACCCTCAGACTTGCCGTTCGATTCGTGTTCATATCGCATTTTTTCTTCTCATCTGTACACCTCTCCTTGGCCGCCGCCGGCGGCGGCTGTCAAACCTCTAGAAGACCCCCGCCGGCGGCCGGCGGGAGGGGGCATGCTGGCAGATGGAGATGCACGAAGAGGATTCAAACGGGTTGGCCGCTGCTGACTTGCCCTTGGGAAGCCGCAGTGTTGATGCGACGGCCCGGAAAATGACACCTTGGAGTCTTCCCCGAAGCTTCCTGCCTGGACACGCGTCCCCACTGCCGCGAGAATTATCACACCCGTTAGCTGCCCTGCTGGTCGCCGTCGCCCTGGCCGGGAGAAGGGGGCGGAGCCGAGACAGCTCTATTCTGATTATGATTTGCCCGCCCGGCGTCTTGCACGGAGCAGGAGAAAATAGGCGTGCGAGTGAGAAAAATAAATCGAGAAAAAAGGGGGAGCAAAAACAAAAAAGGACAGAACAGGAGAGGAGAGAGAGATTTCGGGGGACGAGGGAGAAGAGGCAGATCTTGCATCTGGAATCCATCCCTCATCTCCGTTGATCTCTCTCCTTTTGGCCGACGCCAATTCCGCTTCGCGATCTCGTAGGTGAGGGTTGCTCCGACGGGTTATGGACAGCGGGACGGCGGCGCTGGCCACATCTGTGCGTCGAAGCCGGCCGGCGTGCTCGTATTCGTCTCCACAGTCAGCGTAGCTCCTTCATCTTTCCGTCTAAATGTACAACGGGTCGACGGCGGCGCCTGCTAACGGGATAGGGGACGAGCCCAGCACCAGGGGCGAGCGGGAACGGGAGAGCAGAGGACGAATGGGGAAGGGTGGCGGTGGAGGTCCAGGTGAGCCAGGCCCTTGTCGCTTCTCTTCTGGTTTCATCCCCTCTGCTCGCGTCTGTCCATCAACATCTTGCTTCTTTCCCGTCTCCTGACACGCAACAGATCGGCAGGAAGCCCTGGTATGCCGTCTCCAACTGCACCACCTTCGTCCGACACTGGAAACGGCGCTCTAGATCTCAATCTCCAGTTCTTATCTCTTTTCCTGACCCACCCTTCCTTTCCCTCTCTATCCGTCACCTTGATCTTTCGCCGGCTCTTCTTGTCTGCATTGTGGATCTCCTCTGTCCGCATCGTGGATCTCCTCTGTCCGCATCGTGGATCTTTCTGCGGGTACCTTTCAAGCAGATTGAACCGGTCAGAAAAGAGAACAAAATATACAAGTGCTAAACGGAGTGCCTAGACGGAGAGGAGAGGAGGAAAGTGGGAGAAAAGGGCAGATATAGAAGATTGATCGGTTCTCTCCCTCTTTTCTGAAAGCAATTGTTTTTTTCCCATTTACTTGAACGATTGATAGCGACACACGAATGCCGCAAAGCGCACTAGTAAGATCGTAGCCAATTTAGGGGTTTACTTTTACTATCAGTGACCTCGTCAGTTGAACTCATTCCATCCCTGCGTGCCCTACAGTCCCCTCTGGATGGGCGGAATCCCTTGATCTCTCATCTTGGTACCCATTTCCCTTGATCTCTGTTTTGATGTCCATGGTTTCTACGTCAGATTATCAGTGATTCACTTCGATCTCCGCTGATGCATTCTTCTCCGCTGCTCTCTATGACTTGCAGAATTCTCGCGCCTTTAATTCATGGTGTTCGTATAATTTTTTTCCTTTCTGCCTATCTGAGACCAAATTGCTGACTCTCGCTGGAATTTTTTGCATGTTCACGTTCTGCTGGTCTGTTTGTTTTTACTTGTTCACCAAATTGCTGAAGGCTCTGTCGTCCCTCGCCAAGCTCTGGAGAAAATCTTAGTGATGATGCGTCCTTCCTATTTGAAAGAATGGCTGCGATACTTACTAGGTTTTTTATTTTTTATGTTTTCCTGATGCTGTTGGTGTAGATGGAAGTATAAGCCGCTTAGAACAGAAGACAGATGAGGAGGAGAACCTTGTTAGTCCGTCATCATCTGCGGGGAAGATGCACACCTTCGAACTATCTCAGCCGCCCATTCCTAAACAGGCACGCAACGGGCTACTGGGTAGCCTTTACGTCGTTTTATTTAAGGCTAAGATCAATCTCTTGTTGCCTTTTGGTCCGATGGCGATCTTGCTTCATTATCTCACGCGGAAACATGTAAGGGATTCCATCTGGTTAGTTCCTTGATATTGTCGCTGACTGTAAAAGTTCAATGGTTGCCTTTTCTTTAACCAAAGAAAAATTCATTGGCATCAATCAAACCCCCGTCTAATTCATCATTGTAAACGTTAAAATACACATTTTGAAGATCAGTCTGTTTCTTCGCCAGTAACTAGGTCCTCATCCTCGTTCATTGTTATCAGACTGGATTCCCAACAGTAGGCATTGTTTTGGGCGAGTGTCCTCCAAAAGTGATTGGACGGCATGATCACCGTAGATGTAGGAAAAAAGTATTGTAACAAAGGCAACTTGGAGCCAGTTGTTTGGATGACAAAATTTCTTATTGAACTAGTGTAACTGTCACATGATTTAGCTTTTAATATGAATTCATCTGAATTGCAGGGCTGGGTATTCGTCCTCAGCTTGATAGGAATAACTCCTCTGGCTGAGCGTTTAGGTTATGCCACTGAGTAAGTGTCATAAGATATGACAATTCCTTCCCTTCTTTCCCATTTTTATCGTTTTTAAGCACATTCTCCGTTGAAGATCTGACATGATGCTATATCTGGGATGCAGACAACTCGCGCACTTCACTGGTCCTACAGGTTCATCTCAGCCTAGCGTTTTTAAATCAATTGAGATATAATCATGGATATCCTTTGCAAGTATGTGGTTTATTCCCCCCTTGAATGTCATATACCAATAATATAATTTGGTGTGCCCCTGCCAGTTGGAGGACTTCTGAATGCTACATTTGGAAATGCAACTGAAATGATAATCTCAATCTATGCGTTGAAGAAGGGGATGATTCGTGTTGTTCAACAGTCTTTACTGGGGTCTATCTTGTCGAACATGCTCCTAGTTCTTGGGTGTGCTTTCTTTGCTGGAGGAATTGTTCACTATAGAAAAGTTCAGGTCTTCAACAAGGTAATGTGGGCTCTACGCAATCCAACTGTATGTCCTATTCTTGCATCACAAATACAATAACACTCACTTCGTACAGGCAGCTGCTGTGGTCAATTCAGGGCTACTATTGATGGCTGTCATGGGTTTAATGTTCCCAGCTGTTCTTCATTTTACACGCTCAGAGGTTCAATATGGAAAATCAGAGATATCTCTTTCAAGGTTTAGCAGCTGCATCATGCTAATTGCTTATGCTAGCTACCTACTGTTTCAACTAAAGAGCCATCACAGCCTTTACAATCCTATTAATGATGTGAGTTCCCCCATCTCATGAGAATACTAATTGGGTAATTATTGGCTGTAAAGAATGTACCTGTGTTTTCTTGGGCAATGTACTCAATTACTTAGTCAACACGTCTGTGACTACCAACGGCCTGCAACCTTTTGCTTCTCCTAAGGTGTTTAAAATGTACAAACATTCCCATCAGAGAAATGTTAGTGACAGACTATGATGCAAAATATTTCTTGGCTTGAGAATCTTCATTATTCTTCCTTCTCTGATGATTTTTTTTTGCCGTCTGAAACTTGGAAGTAGCATTATAAATATATCTGCTAGCATAAGCTGATGTATATGCTCTTTACTTGTTTTGTTCTGTTGAGGCATCCCATCTTTTTTTTTTTTAATGTATTTTTACTTGCAGTGGCCATAAAGTGTCTAATAATGATTCCTGTGCCTGTGGATAATGATAGGAAGGACTTAACGAAAGTGTCTCTGATGAAGATGAGGAGCCAGAGATATCTCAGTGGGAAGCAATAATCTGGCTTGCTGTTTTGACGGCATGGGTTTCAATACTCTCTGGGTACCTAGTAGATGCCATACAGGTATTTTCTTTCATCTTCCCGAATCTAGCCATAGATTCATATCTGTTAATTGTTTTTGAAGATGGGTTTTAGGTATTCAAACCATTGATGGGGCTGAGATTAGTTAGCCTTCTTGCGAGAAACATCGAGGAACGTGCTACTTAATCCAGTGTCATACTCCTTTGTTTTCTTACTAGTCGACCCATAGCCAATACCAGAATCGGGGAAACAAGAACTAGGAGGGCAGTATACATGATTGGTTTAGATGATTGATGGTTGATTAAAACGTATACGTCCCGCTTAGATGAAACTGCTCATGAACTAGGAAGCCTTAACCTGTTATTGTTCATATCTTTGTTGTATCGAGGAACTGTCAACTGGCCTTACACCTAGGCAATATTCGCTCTGCTGCTGTGACTTTGTAGCTGAGTTGTCAGGCATGCACAAGAGCCTAGTTTTACAGAGCCTCGCTCTTGTATCTTGCAAGGCATCGTATCATGCATGCTTTATTTACTCGCTTAGGGACGTTATCTTAACTAGATTGCCGCATAGAACCATAAGTAACATCATTCTTCATCGAACTCCGATTTCTATCTAACTAGTTATATGCTATGGCCCTGATCGCTTTCCATATATATCTAGAGCTTAGGGAAGACTGCATAAAATCGTTTACATGTCAACGGGTACATAATGAACGTGTTCTGACTTATTGAATGATTTTGAAAAGTATGGAAAGAGAACATCAATGAGTTCATTAATCCAAGCAGTAAATGACCTACAAGAAAAGGAAAGAAGGATCAGATCCAGACGTCTGCCTTTTTAGTCTTGCTTATGTGGTGATAATAGGAATTGCAAAACGGTATTTAGAGAAAGTTAGCTTAGCGTCATCTCCTATTAAATCGAAATTGCTTGATAAGTTGCAATGTAACCTTGGGAAACCAATTGAGTCTACTTCTAGTCGTCTTTTTGCCGTGACCATTCCTGGAGAAATGTCTTGATTATGTGCGTGGATCAGTGCTCTGTAGCCATTTGGTAGGATGGGGATCGGGAGAGGGAGGGAAGTATTGTTGTCTCCATTAGCCTAAGATTGTCAATGACAAAAGGTCTTTTTCTAGGATTTCTTCGGGCTTAGACCTTGAATAAAGATGGAATATGGTAATTTCTTTATAGGGACTCTTGATGTTTCGTAAGGAATGGCCTGAGAGAGAGGAAACTTTGCCGGAATTGATTTTTATGGGCAAATCATTAGCATATCATTATATTTGGTTGCTGAACTCCTAGCCTTGAGAATAACGCATCACTTTTGTGGTGAAGGAAATTATATTTCAAATTACTAGCTTTGATTTTGTTATGATCTATGGTTATATTTTTGGGAATGGTTACAGATGAACTCTTTTCTACTCAGGGTGCTTCTGATTCTATGAACCTGCCGGTGGCATTTATTAGTGTTATTTTGCTTCCTATTGTTGGAAATGCTGCTGAACATGCAAGTGCGATCATGTTTGCTATGAAGGATAAGCTTGTAAGTGATTGGAATATCAATAATCCATGTAATCTGTCATCCTATCTTTTGACTTCTCTAAATATCTCTCATTTGTCTGAACTTGTTTCAAAAGGACATCACATTAGGGGTTGCGATTGGATCTTCTACTCAGATATCAATGTTTGTGGTAAGCCACGATCTTCTCTTTTGTTCTAATGTGTTGCTATATGGATGATATCGTATTCTTAATTCAACATTGGTTATCAGTATTGGTTTGACTCTAACTGCTTCATGTCGGAGAGACTTGCTTGGTGAATATGAATTAAATTACTGCATATAATTGGATATAGTTGGATATAAATTACTGCATATGATTGGATATTAAATTACTGCATATAATTCAACATTACTGCATATAATTTAAAAAAGATGCTTTTGTTGAAGCATCCCGGTTTTCAATTTACACTTCTGCACCATTTCTATGCTGGAACGATTTTCACAATGCTCATTACTTGCACAACAGGTTGGAGAGTTATTTTTTTTAACCGGAAATAATTTCGTTTTAATGGTCGGGGGAATTTTATTTTGTTGTCTTTGCTGCAGATCCCTTTCTGTGTAGTTGTAGGTTGGATCATGGGGAAACAAATGGACTTGAATTTTCAACTTTTCGAGACAGCTACACTGTTCATAACAGTGCTGGTTGTGGCATTTATGCTGCAGGTTTGTTCTCTCATCTTGAAATTCTCGTCACTGCACTACTTGTGTGCGTTTAGTTCTAGTTGTTGTTGAGTCATTCGTATCTACTTATGTACCAGATGTTTTCTAAAGATCTTGTTAGGATAATTATTTTAGCTCGTCTGTTTTCTGTTCGGAAAACGTCTGCCCAGTTTATGGCAGTACATAAAGTTAGACGGTAATAACAGTCCTCTTTCTGAAGGAGTATACATCCCATGCGATGGCTTTTTACCCATGTAAAAGATGCAGTGCAAAATCTTCGATAAGCCCACGAAGGCTACCTCCATGACTGTATTACTCTCTTACTGCATTCGATTCATTTTGGGTGTAATTACATCTCTCAGTTTTGGGTCCAGAGGAGGTCTTTGCTCCTACCCCAGCTTGTAGTATTTTCAAACTTTGACTATCTATATATATATATATTTGCTGTATATGTATTTCTCTCCTTCCCATTATTTCATGTTCTCTCTTTGGGTCGTTCTTTTAGAACTAAACTTCTTTAAGGCCCCCCTGCAGCTGCTGCAATTCCTGAATTTATTGGCCAACGATTCTATTCTGGAAACACATGATTCATGAAATTATTTGAATTTTAACAAGATGAGCTTATCTCCTTTACTTGTACGATCTGTAGGAAGGCACGGCCAATTATTTCAAAGGATTGATGCTTATTCTGTGCTACCTAATAGTTGCAGCCAGCTTCTTTGTGCATATAGATCCCAGCAGTAAGTCGCCCTTCCTAGTTTTCTTCCCTACGTCGAACCAGCGCGCAGAGATCATTCCTATATGAACATATATATGCTTATGTTTTCTTAACAGATGACGACGACTGAGGAGGGAAGCACCAGGAACGATACAGCCACCATGGAAGCACCTTCATTCGGACACCCCGAAACGGGTAACGGTAGGCGGTGCTCAAGAGTCTGGAGTGCAGGCCTGTCCCTCTCTCTTACGCGGCGCAGCGGTCCGTCAGAAACGCCGCTCCGGTGAGGCTCGTAGGCTTGGCGTGGGCGATGGTTCTACTTGTACGACATTCCTGGACGCTCAAAAATCCGTTCTTGGCGAAGAGAGAAGGCCGGGTTCTTCCTCTGCTGGTGGGTTCCATCCCAAGCAAAAGTGGATACATTCTCCGTTTAGTCGCAAATTCTTTGTTGTTGAGGCGCGCCTCTCTCTGGCCGGGGCGGGCCTGGACCGGAGCAGCAGCGGCGCTTTGATCTGTACATTCCTTCAAATTTTTCCTATTCGACACCACGGTGGATGGGCCCATGGAAGATATCACTTCTGAACTTGTCCGAAAGCTGATTCACCCTGCTGATTACGGCGAGGGGGTAGCCGCGTGAGGGAGGGAGTCGGGGTCCTGTTCAACGGCAAGCATCTAAGCTAGTCCCTGAATGCATCTAGCTTCTACGACGACGTCTTCCTGACTCAGCGGCGCCTCGATATGATTGCATGTTCCCCGTTCGTCTTCCCAATGGACCTCCCATGGAGATGGAGAACAACTACACGTCTCATTCTTGTAGGGGATAAGCTGTGGAATCCTTACAGCTCTAAATGGAGGGGCACCCAGAAGGGCAGGGCGGCGCCTATCAGAGATCAATTTCTGTACCGAGGGAGGAGCTCAGTGCTTCCCTACTACTGCTGCAAGCGCATCAGAAAGCGGCGATTCGCGGGGGCCGGCGTGAATCAAAGGATGAGCACTGAAAATTCATGGATGGCAAAATAAACTTGGACGAACAGCGACCCTTTTGTTTCTCTGTAGTCAACGATCACGGCTAGCAGCTGGGTAGGACGAGCTGTTATTCAGAAGCCCACCGAAAGAATATTATTCTTCTCGAATAATATCGGGAGAGAGATAGAGAGAGGAGATGAGTAGGGGGGGGGTGCGCCGGGAAGGGAGAGGGGTTAGCCTCCCCTTGACCGCGCTTGCGTATGCATGTATACATATGTCAGAGGACGGCCAACGACAGCAGCGGAGAAATACACTTGGTGGAGGGAGGAGGTGATGGCGCGGGCCTGATCTCTCAGAGGAGGTCTGCGTCGTCCTTGATGGCGACCTTGGATAGCCTGGCGGCGTTGAGGTAGTCGCGGGGGCTGTGGAAGGCCATCCCGGGGAAGGTGAGACCGTACAGCCGAAGGAAGAGCGAGATCCATCCCTCCTCAAACTCCTTCCCTTCCTTCTTCGCGGCGTCGAGGGCGTCCGACAGGTCGTCCCACGAGCCTCGGAACATCTCCCCCAGGAAGGACCAATCGAAGAAGTTGGGGTTGGGCTCGTCGTCGCCGGCCATCTTCATGCACATTTTGACAACCACCACGTGAGAACGGGGACGAAGACGGCGCCGCCGCCGTCGGCTTATCTGAACGCTCATGGTGAGCAGGTGCGACGTACCTTGCGGGTGTACCATCCCTCGTAGTAGATGCAGACGCCGAAGTGCCTGAAGTTGAAGATGGGCGGCTGGTCGAAGGGGATGCGGGGCACGATGTCGTGGCGGTAGACCGTCCGGTAGTACTTGAGGCTAACCATGGAGTCCATGTAGGCGGCGAAGGTGCTGTCTCCCACCCTGGGCTGGCCGTGCGTCACCACCCCTTCGATCCTCTCCAGCAAGTCCCGCCGGCCGTGGTAGGCGAGCAGCGCCGAGAAGAGCACCGCCAGGGCGCCGCCCTGGCTGTGCCCGGTGAGGAGGATGGTCGCCCGCGGGTGCTCCTCCAGCAGCTTGGAAAGCGCAGTTCTAATGGCGTAGTAGGCGAGCGGCTTGTCTTCTGTTCCTGCATCGTCTATGGGGAAGCCCTTGGCGAAATCGGTCTCGTCCTGGAGGCCGAGGGCCTTCATGAAGCCGAGATGGACGCTGCCCATCTTGTCGTTGATGTGGATGCGGGAGATGTCGAGGTCGGCCGACCAGTCCATGGCGTCGAAGAGCTCTGTCCCACGGAAGACGAGGAAGATCCACCTCGCGTCCTCCTTCTTGTCGGTGAAGACGAAAGCCTGGGTCGACTTGGCTTCAAGGAACTCTGCATGCATCACCCATTGTAATTATCCATTTATCGTTGTTATCACTACTCTTAAGGTTTTCATGCCCGCCGCCATCATCACTCTCCTACGGTTTCATGTCCCGCACGTCCCGGCGTAATGAGAAAGAAGGTGATTCAAGAGTCGGGCCTTGTTTCCCTTTGGAGGAGGAGGGGAAGGAGGATGACTTGATCTCTCTTAAAGCTTGGTGTGCGGAACGGGAAGAATGTAGAGATGTCTCCTTCACTGAGGGAAAATCCCACAGGCCGTAAACTAAACTAAAAAGAAACCTTGGCTGAGATGAATTGATGAGCGGGCAAGTCGCCGTCCCTCATGTTGGATAAGAACAACCAGCAGTGTCGATGGGTACTTACTGTTCCAGCAGTTGAAGAATTCTACGAAGTTCATCTGCGCGGAACGAGACGCGGAAAATTGGTCAGATTAGGCTAAGAAAGAGAGCTTCGACGTGCTGCTTGAACCCATCGCAGGCGGCGCAGAAAACGGAACGGACAGGGAAGCTGGAATGAAGACAACCTTGAGGTGACTGTCGACGGCCTCCCTGATATAGGCGGGGTTCTCGTAGGCGATCTTGGAGGCCATGGTGGTCAGGTCCAAGGGAGTGACGTCGTCCCCCAGCTCCTGCAGATCCAGAAGTGGGAGGTACTCCTTGGGGGAGGGCTTTCTGTAGAGATCGAGCCGCCCGTCCACGAGGCTGATGATCGAACGGTAGCTCGGCGCTCCTTTGTCGGGAAAAGTCACGTTCACTGCATGGTCGCTCGCAATAGGCATCCGCCGAGGGAAGAATGGTTAGCCGAGAAAGAAGAAGACCCTTCTCCACAAGCACAATGGACAGGATCCTCAGGCGAAGAGAAAGAGAACAACCTGTGACGATGTTCCTGAGGAAGCCCATGTAGCCGCCGTTGAGGCAGAGGAGGTTGAGGCAGTATTCCACCATTCTCCCCAGAAGCGCCAGGGGCTTTCTGAGGACGTGGAGGATCTTCAGCAGCATGGCAGAGATAATGACGTTGGGCTCGGGGATGGCCGCCTCGAGCTCGGCAGAGATCGGGGGGCTGCTGCTCTGCACGAAGCTATGGTAGTCGAGGAACCTCCGACTAGTGAACAGAAGGCGGAAGATGTCGAGAATCCCGACCCTCTCCGGCCGGCAGATGAGGTACTTAGAAGGCTTGCCGGGAGACACAGGCTCCTCCGTGGAAGGGAGGGGCGACTCCATCTCGGCCATTGCGAAGGAGAGAGAAGCAAGGTGTTCAGAGGCGGGGCTGCGCGAGACACCCGTAGAAGAGATGTGAGGCACTTATAAAGATGCCCTCTCCTCTCTCTCTCTCTCTCTCTCTCTCCATCTCTTTCACTCTCTCTACAAAATTGCTCCATCTATCTATCGATCTCTTGCTTCGCCCACCCACCGCCGTCTTTCTATCTAAAGTCTACCCCAACCCTTAGAAGGAACAGATTCACCGGCGAGTCGACTTCTTACAGAAACAATTGACCGGCAGTGGATTCTCACTTGACAACGGCGATGAACGGACGGCTTTCTTCTCCTCCCACGTGGCCCTCTTCTTTCTTTTCTTTCTTCCACTTACGTCGATCATCCGGGGTGGATCCGTTGACCGGGAGGGCGTGGAAGGCATGCATGGAAGCGGGCCGCCTCACGAACTAATTGTAAAAAATAAAATAAGCAAGCAATGCGTTTTCCAAATTTGCAAAAAAAAAAGGAATCGCGTCCCCATGTAAGCGACTTCGCGCGTACGTCGGATGCTGATTGCAGAGAGAAGGACCGAGGAAGAGAGAGAGAGAGAAGAGAGAGAATAGTTGATGGGTCCACCGAGCGATTGAGTTTTGGGAGAGGGAGGCCTCCCCAGTTTAATAAACGTTGAAGAAAATAAGAGAATACATAAAACGATCAATACGGCCCGGGTGGCCGCTGCGCCGGAGATGATGTTGACGATGGGAATCCGGAGGTGACCTTCCCGGAAGCAGCCGCCGGCTTTCCTCCAACTATACGTGGTGCAACAATACCTATTATTATTACTATTATTCTCTCTCTCTCTCTCTCTCTCTCTCTCTCTCTCTCTCCCTCCCTCCCTCCCTCCCTCCTACCCCTTGGTTTCTTCTCGAATAATTTCCGGGCATCACATGATTTTGAGCGAGCCTGGAGAAAGTCGCCCACATCGGGGAGCTGCCCGTTTCAGTATGCAAATAAATTTTATTTCTTAGGTATCATTCTCGGCCTAACGATAGTACCATAATTCGACCACATTGAGAGTCCATCCCCTGGCAGACTAAGCTCGAAGAAGCTCCCTGTTCTTGGGCAAACTCGGCTTGAGACCAGAACTGAGGCAATGCCCATTCGAATCCTCTCGAGCCGCTGCTTCATTTAAAATAAAATTAAAAAAATGCCCTTTTTCCAGTCGAGAAATTAGAGCACGTGAAAATACAGGAAAATGAGGGCCAAACATCCGGTGAATCTATATATTGCTCAACATTATTTATGCGTTGAGAAGGGAGAACCGAAACATGGACACGCGCATGTGGTTGGCTCAATCCTCCACGCTGCATGGGCCAGCAGACACAAAGCTACTCTCTTTTGTGTACAAGAAACCCCGGTTTATACGTTCATGGCTGGATAATTAATGCTGTCCTTGAGCGGCTCCACATAACATGTCATGACGCCTGCATCTACAGGAGGTTACATCCGCCATTGATGGCCTGCACTACGATGATCTTAATCTTAATCTTAATCTTACTCTTAATGGGTTTTCCAGTCACATCAGCATGAAGAGAGAGAGGGAGGGAGAGGGTTCCGTCCGCTGGAGTATCCTAGCCGAAAGCTGTTCTTAACTCGAAGGCTACATCTGGAACGGGTATGCCCCCTCTTTTGCTTGGTTGATGAAACTCTTTAGATTCGGTCCTCTACGATCAGGCCAAAAGGGGGAGAGAAGAAAATCCCACGGTTTTATAGAAGACGTTTGCAAGTGGCCGTGGACGAACTAACTCGTATGTCTGCTTTTAACAGCAAATCGACTCCGGCAGGATCATTGGAGATTCTGACGGCATTTCAGGCTTCGGGGTTCGCATTGACCCTTGATCCGGTTCTGGGAACTCTTAGGTCAACTGCAAGGTGGCCCTCACGTGCGGCTGCGGCGTCTGGGGGTCGCTCGAACTCACCAGCGCTCCCTCCCCGCACCCGCCGCCACGAAACCGCGTCACCTTGCAACTCTTCACGGCTTCCTCTGATCCCTCCCTCCGCTGCCTCTCCCTCTTTCGCTCTTTTCTCCTTCTCCGAGGCGGGGGTCTCCGTTGCTGTCTTCTTCCGTATTGCATGATTGTAGTACTGTGCTCTCGCTCAAGCGGCCGAGGAGGAGGAGGAGGAGGTGGAGGAGGAGGAGGAGGTGGAGGAGGAGGAAGAGGCAGAGGTGGGTAGACGGAGGCGGCGCCATGAGGGCGAGACTGGTGATCTTCCCGATCAAGGGCCGGAACTGGTGTTTCACCAGGTCCATTGATCCAGCAGCGGTGGAATCTGCCCAGGCCACCTCTAAGCCGCAAGTCTGGAGGGAACTGTGGAGGCAGCTTTTCTCCGGCGGGGAACGGAGGACGGGCCAGCAGAAACTGGAATTAGTCGTTGACTTCGCTGCCGAGAAGGTCCCTCACTGACGCCAGAACTGTGTGATTCGTAACTCGTTCTTTTGTGTTCTCTCTGTTTTCCCCGCTTCGAAACCGATGAACTCGTCTTCTTTTTTTCTTTTTCTTTTCTCCTCTTGTTGTGGACAAAAGTCGATCTTGTTTTCGTTGGATTCAGATGAATGGGGCATGGGTTAATATGGAGAAGGCGCCCGCGGGGAGCCTGAAGAACAAGGTCCACGGGTGGGTTCTGAATCAGTCTTCTCGCATGAAATCCCCTTCCTTCTATCCTCCGGCGACATTCCGGGGTAACCCATCTGCCTTCTGAAATATGGAATGGCTTCATTTGCAGCTTGGGGTTGAAGTTGTTGTCACGGGTGAAACCATCAGAGACATTCCTGAGGTCCGTCTCCGAGGACATTACGAAGGTGGATATTACTTACCCTTCGAGGTTCGCCATTCTGCATATATGGAACTTTACCTTTTCTGGTTGATGTGATGTTTATATGCCTTTTTCCCCGAAGCCGATACCTTCTCTTGGGGTGCTGTCCGGGTCCCAGTTTCCTCTACTAATTTGATGCAGAGCATGTTCTTTATCCTGGAAAATCGTCAGTACCATTCATATCAATCAGTAACTTAGGTACGATCACATTGGGGAATAATGAGGGTGAAGTTGCATGTTGGTTGCAATTAGCACTCACAAACTCCAAACAAATAATGTGGCAATGGGGACATATAGGGAGCACCATCTTATTTTCTTGGGGCTGGGCTGGCAACATATCAAAAGACAAGTCACGGTTCCAAACATAGGATTCTCCGGGTGGCTGTGGTTCTACTACCACTTCAGTCCGACTCAGCCTTCTGAAAACATTTTGTTGTGATTGTTTCTTGATGGTGTTCATGAATTCACAGACTGAAGAATATGCACCAGAAACAAATTCACAGAGGGGTTCACAGAACGCCGTTCAATCCTCGTAGAAGGGATTTAAAGGGCATTTGGCTTATAAGACATTTTAGGAAACAAATTCAGATTACCAAATTCTGGTTTTTTTTTTTTTTTTTTTTTATATCCATTCGGGTTTTTTCAGGTCGAAAGTGGAAGCATTGGTTTGCCAAAAAAATTTAATGAAGAATCTTTTTTTTTTGGAGGCTGTTGGATATGCAGTAGGCGAAATTTCATTCCCCTGGCACTGGGGTTTTAGAAAATACTTGCCAGATGATCCTGGAAAACTGGAGAGTGGTATCAAGTTATTGACGACGAGGTCAAGGAATGCTTTCTATTATTTGTTATTGGGTTCCTGATCTCTAAAAAAATTCATGTTTGGAAAAACCGGAGATTGCTAATGACTAGTATTCCTATGGATTGTGAAGATCCTTTGTCATCATGGTGATAAGGATGTGAAAGTGTTGATTAGATGTGGTAAAGGAGGGTGATGGTGACGATATTTTTGTTCAGTAATAATCGTGCAGGTAACGATGATGATTGGCATCAGAGGGGGGTATTGGTCCAAAAGGCATGTGAAAAAATGAATGCAAAAAAGAGAAGGGGAGTATCTGGAAACCAGAAGGGAAAATTCATGGAGTCGGCCATTCATTTTAGCCTGTTCCTATACTAAGGACTGTGTATTGAACTGGAGTGCCAGTTCTCTGCTTTTTTGTACACATCAGTACGGGTTTGGTGGTTAGATATTACACATTTGAGAATTCATTGTTCTATTTTGTAAATAATAATCGAAAATTTCAATATCAGCAGCGACAAGAGTTTGGAAAAGCCCTCTGTGTTTATGATGCAGAGCCTTTTTCCCTTTTTGTCGTGGTGGCTTAAGGCTGGAAAAAAATTCCCTCTTCACCCTGCATTCTCGCAAATTTTGTGCTGTTCCACCATTGTGCTGTTCGCTCAGATATGTCACCTTCCACCATTGATTTTTGCAATCTAGTCACCCAAGCAGGTAAATAAGAAACAGAGGGGCCCTGAAGCCATTTTTTGGGGCTTAGTAATCGTGCAAGATGTAGAAACCAGGCCTACTTCCAGGCCGCTGCAAAGAACATATCAATACCTCGTGCCACTGCTGCTGCCTGTGGTCAGTCACACTCATCATGAGAGTTCTCATAGAGCACACTAGATATGCCAGGTCAATAGAAATCTTGCCTGCCTCTACTCCTTCAGGTGTCCTCACTATTCCATCAGTAGAATCCGCACGCTGCAAAATAGAGCGTTGTAATGAAGTTTTCTGTCTAGTGAACCTGTAACCCACCTCGCCTGCATCCATCTGCTATCTCTTCTTGTTCACTGTCTCACTTCCATGTCCTCTGTCTCTCGTATCTTCCCCTTCCCCCCACGACTCTCGTGCCCTCTCTATCTGCCACAATTTGTACCCGCAAATCTCTCTAAATTGAGCGATGCCTCCATCCATTCCTCATATCTGTAACCCACTCACTGTTGGCAGTTGTCTTCTGGCTTCATATTTCGTAACTGCTAATGGTTGCTGGCAATCAAGGTATATGATAATGATTACAATGTGTTGAAATTTACCAGTGGGAGCAAGTATACTCATGCTCTCTTATGTGAGATGTTTCTCATCTACATATTGAATCTAACTTGTCAGTGTAATAGTTTCTCTACCCAAAACTTAATTTTTTCCTTAAAAAGGAAAGGAAAGATTTTTCTTTCGTCCCCTCCCTATCCTTATGTGGGCTCCTTGCCGTGTCATGCTTGCCATTTAATGATACTTATGGCCTGCATTCAAACTCTGCAGCTTGAATTCTCGCCTTGTACGTAGGAGATTACGACACATGGCAATCAGGTACTGAAGTTCAAACTGTGTGGACTTTTCAAGCTATTCAAGGAGTGATATTGTATTTTTACATGCAATTTGTCGTCTTATCTGCAACAGGGGAGCTGTCAATCACAGGATATACTTTTATGGCTCGGTTTCTTTAATTCCATTTACGGCCGCCTTGAGCGTAAGCAATTATGTTGTTGTCTTTCTCTCCTTGTTTATTTCTTTTCCCGCTCCTCTCTTCGTTGTGATGGCAGCTGCTTTTTTGGGCTTGCCTTTATTTTCTCTGTTAGCAATCTCTATGCTCGAGTTCCTAGTTTGATCGAGATCTTTCTATTCTCATGAAGATGCTCCGTAGCGTACAATTAGAAGTACGAAGGTTTAATAGAGATTCTTTCTTTTCTTTTCTGCATAAAAGGAATCAATGGAACCACGAGGGTTTTGAAGGATATGAGGGTTTGTGTGCCAATAATTTGATAGAATCTTCAAAATCCTGTTCGAGCGTGGAAAAGGGCTTTTCCTTACTCGTAGTATTGTGTGGCTCTCGAGTGACTAAGCTAGCTCGGATTCCACGGCTGTGCCAGTCCAAACATGTTGGCTGTGATCTGTGCCGCTAAGATTTAATGTGCTTGAACGGCCTGATGCATAGAGCAAGATCTTTGTTGTCTTTACTCTTTTGTTTTTGCCTCTGTGACAGCAGATCTTGAGTTCTTTCTCGTGCCTTCCAGGTCCTGCCTTTGCCTAACATTCCATTCTTTTGGCTCCTGTTTCGTGCGTTCGCGAACTGGAGGGCGCTGAAGGTACAGTGCCGACCCCTCTGGGTTGAATCAGGAGGGCTAGTATAATTTCTTCCACGTCTTGGTTGGCCGCTGTTTCTCAGTTTTAGCAGCCGCCGTCCTCTTCCTCTCGATTGGTGCTGGCACTGGTGCGTATATTTGTTGCGCTTCTTTGATCGGTCTTTTCAGGGCAGCGAGAGGCTCTTGTTGCTGGTGTCCGACTGTCCGAACGATTGGAGGTTGGTCGTGGCCAGCAAGAACTCGAGGAACGCGAAGAAAGACGACGGGCGTCAGATGGTCGATGAAGGACCACAGAGAGAACCGTGGGTACGTTCTTCTTCCTCTTCTCCCTTCCAGCGACACAAATATTATTGAAGCTCATCGGTGCCGGGTGGCGATGGCGGTGATTATCATCTGCCTTCTAGCATCGAGTGAAAAAGGTGGCAACTTTCTAGCATCGTCGTCTCAACCTATCCCGGAACTAATACGAGCGTGCCCTCGCTCTGTTTGTCGAGCAGACCCTGTGGCCCTCCGAAGAACTGGAGAAGCTTATTGGCGGGCAGCCCGGTGAGGACCCCGGCGTCACGCTCCGCAGAATCTGCCAGATATATCGCCTGAACGAGACGGAGGTACTCAGGTGCAGAGACTCCTCATAGCTAGCTGCTCTCTGCGCCTGACCTTGAGGGCGCTTCTCTCTCTCTCTCTCTCCGTGTCGATGTGACTGATCCCCTGAGGAGGGGGTTCCCTCGGTTTTGGGATAAACAGAAATCTGGCTGCTCTCAATTCGCACGTTTAGATGTTTGATCTGCCAGACTCCTCCCCCCAACATCGCATGTGATCGAACAGTTTTTAGCTGGCAGAGCCCTGCCGCTTATTGTGGGCGTGGAGAGATGGCATCTCTCTGTATTCGGTGCTGATGGCATCCTCTCTGCATTTATAGGAAGATCTGGATCTCTCTCTCTCACTCTCTCTCTCTCGGCGTCGGAGTTGTTAATTCGCCGGATCATGGGGATGGCCGCGGCTGCCATGTCTCGCGAGTTCTGTCGCTATTCCGCGGCGGGCCATGAGGGCCGGCTCTCACCCAGCTCGCGGGGATCGACGACCGGAAGGGGACGACGACGGCACAGGGACATGTGGGGCGGAGGAGCCCTCGTGACTAATCTGCCGGAGGAGCGCTTGTTGCCATTGTCGCTGTTTGAGACAATTCCAAGAAGCCGAGGGTAAAGACACTTCGGCGTCTCTTTGCTCTCCTTTTTAACTCTTCTTCCATCCCCCCGCCCCCTCCCGTGAGAGAGAGAGAGAGAGAGGGGGCTCGTGCTCGTCGACCCAATCCAGCTGCACTGGGAGCGGTCCTCGCCCTCGCAATGTCAAGAGAGGAGGCGGTCCCGAGCCATCATCACCGCCATCCTCTTCCTCTAGTTGGAGCATTAACTTCTGTCCTGGTTATGGCAGCAAGCGTGAGCATTGAATGAAACGAAAGTTCCTCCACGCTGCCGTCGGATACGACTGGCCCTCCTCCCAGCAGGAACTCAACTGCTGATGGCAGCCGACAAAACTACCTCTGTTCAACCCTTTCTCTTCCCCTCTTCCTCTTCCTCTTCCTCCTGCTCGAGCGGCGTGGGGAAGGACGCAATTATTCGGGGAGGGGCCAGTTCTCCCGCCCCGGAAGCGTCCACAGAACATCGTCCTCTGCAAATCTGGATGAATGGGCGGCGGAGCAGATTGTGTGGCCACCCTCCGCGTGTTCCTGAGGAGGAAGGTGAAGATGAAGATAGAGTCATCCTCCACCTCCTCCTCCAAGACCTGCTCTGTAAATCCCTCCTCTCTCTCTCTCTCTCTCTCTCTCTCTCTCCCCCCACGCATCTCCCGGTTGTGGAGTGTTAGGTGGCGCTGTACATTGCCCTCTCCCTCATCGTCCCTCGCTTACCACCGGCGATTGCAGGGGGCGGCAAGGAGGCCTCCGGTCTTCCCGACAGACGACGAGCGTGGGTACGATGACCTCCGCGGCGATGTCTCAAAGGTACTGCCTTTCTTCTCTCCCCGTTGACTTCTCCCACGCCCACCCCGGGGACAGAGGAACTCCATTTTTTTCTACCCCACCCACTAAACGCCGTTCTGATTTCCCCAACGGCGTCCAGTTCCTAGAGCCAGCCCGCAAGCGCGTCAAAGAGGCGACGTTCCCGGCGGCGCCGCCGAGGTCTTGGAGGCATTCTGTCTTCTTCTGGCGGAGATTCCCGAGGAAGAAGACCGCCGCCCGCTGGGGACGAGCGGCTGCGGACGGCAGTGGCGGCGCCAGCGCACAGATCTCCAAGCCGCGTTGCCGTGCGGCCTCCGGGCGTCGGCTCGTCTGCTTCACCCCCTCAACCACGGCGGACGTAGAAGACCATTCAGCGGCGGCGGCCGAGATAGCCTACGTGGCTCTGCGGCACTACCCCATGGAGGGCGGCGCCGCCGCCGGGGCCTTCGGGCCCATTTATCTGGTGACCTGAGATAACATCGACAGCACCGAGATCGCGCCGAATTTTCTCCGTCTCTCCCCTCTTCTTCTTCTTCCAATCTCCATGTACATCTATCTTCCAATCAATTAACCCATCTGGCTTCTCCACCACCGCCCGCTAAGGGGAGGAGGCCACAAGCGAGAGGATGCTCCGGTGGACGTCGTCCCAGCCGTGGACCCTGGTGACGAGGGGGTGGGCCGCCGCCGCCGGGCACTTGCTCCAGGGATACGAGTTGCCGTAGTCGAAGAGCAGCACGCTGATGCCCGCCTCCGCGCACTCCAGCGCGTACCTGGGGTTGTCGTCGATCAGCAGCCGCGCACCCATGCCCCTGCGACGGCAGCCGCGGGGCCAATGTTCAGCCGTTGACTACCACGGGCGACGACCCGAGTACTAAAATCCTGAATTTGGAAATCTAGGCTCGGTTTTTTCAGAGGGCCATCAGAAGTCAACCATGGGGGGGCCGGTGGAGTGGAGCGGGGGATTGCAGAGCAGATGGCGGGGGGGAGGGGGAAGAGGAGAGAATGGCGAGGGGGTTGTACCTGCAGATCTCAGACTTGGGCCTGGAATGGCCACCGTCCAGGGCGAAATGGTTACCGAAATGGATCTCCTGAAACAGGCCGGGGTAGTGTTCTTCGAGCCACTCCAAGGTGTGGTCTTTGATGACATTCTGCCGAGATCTTCGAGAAAACGAAAAAACCCATAAATAGTGAGCACGCTAACCCAACAGGGCTCGAGCAAGAAGAACGGGGAGAATCTTGTTCTGGCGAGGGCGTACGTGACGACGGATAAATGGCAGAAGGTCGAGAGCTTGTCGAGCACCTGACGGGCCCCCGGTATGGGCTGAACTCCCCTCTTGAAGTACATGGTCTTAAAGAACTCATGAACCCGGATATCAGCTGCCAAGTCATAAAATAAAATAAAAATAAAAATAAAAATAAAACCCAGGCATTATTATTGAATAATCACAATTATTGAAGAGCAAAAGGGTTATATATATATACACACACCCTGGAATGAAAAGATTGCAGCGAAGATGGTGGAGGGGGGAGAGAATGAGACGAAGACCTGCTTTTTCTTTTTCTTTTTCTTTTTATTTCTTTTTTTTTAAAGGAGAAAAGAGATAAAGGATCGATAAAAAGTCATAATAAATAAATAAATAAATGTTGGAGGTGGTACCTTCAGTACGGGAGCACTTCCATATCTGTCAGGGAAAACATGCAGACTAATCATCAGACAAATGAGGTAATTAAGAGCCGCCACAGGCCTCAGACGGGGATAAAAAAAGAAGAAAAGGCTCCAAGGGCATGGCAACATGAGAGAGCCTGGCCTGGCCTGGCCTGGCCTAATCAGACGCCTGCAAATCAGACTGCGAATACCTTGAAGAACTCATAAACGTAGAACTCCGAGAGTGCATGGTCAGCGCAGTAGTGCTCCGCAATGAACTTGTTCAACGCCGAGAGAAAGCTTCCGAGTACTGCAAGTGAAGATAAAATGGAAGTACTGAGGAAAAGAATTCCAAAAGCGGGGGGCAAGGTCCTGTTAAGATTTCATTTTCACTTCATATCAAGTGTTTCGGAATCTCACCATCCTAACCACCCAAGAACTGGTTCGAAATGTTTACCAGGTACTTGATTCATAGGAACAGAGACTCAAGTGGAATGGCCTCACTTTTATACGATGATGGTTGATGATCAAAAAGTGTTCGAAGCCCAATTATATAAAGTATGAGGAATCAATAACGAGAGAATTAAGACGTGGGTGATCTCGATCCAGGTCAATCAGTGTAGATGAGATTCCAACGTTTCAGGATGGAGACATTCAAGTGAAACACAGAGCGTGAGTACAGCGTAAACTTTTTGAGAAATGCGAATCACAGAGAATTGGGAGGACGAATTTCTGAGAGAAAATCTCCTCGAGCAATGCCTTTTAAAAATGGGAAGATGGCCCGTTTCGGTGTATCCTTCACCTACGAACCCATTCATTTTACCAAGTCAAGGCATTCATTCAGGAAGGCATCAAATCAAACAAGCAACAGACAGACAGACAGCAAAAGTCGAGTCATCTCTGAGGAATACCTTCATCAACGTCGACGGCGACGACAAGTTTATCAGCCGAAGAATGGCTCAGAAATCCAAGAGGAGTTCCACGACCGTTTGCCAATTTAGCAACGCGCACCTCGTCCGAACCATGAACTGACTTGCTGTATGGTGGTGCTACAGCATGGGCTTTTCGGGATCCATCGCCTGCCCTTCGGAGAACACCCTCGTGGCGATCTAGACAACTTCTCAATCGCAGTACACCTTTCGAAGTGCCCTGAGAACAGACGCACAGATCATCCCGGACCTTCCAGGGATTCCCATGGCTCTCATTACGTGAAAGAAATGGACTGAACCCCCACTGGGTCGCACGAATGACGACTTTATTCAGGGCCATGGACCTCCAATTAATCGGGAGCGGCGGACAATGTCGAGAGAACAGCCGGGAAGCTCCTCTCGCTACCATGACGGGGTGAGCATCACGGCACGGCAAAGAAAAAATCAGGTGACGCGAGATATATACAAACCTAGAAAATCTCTAAAAATAAGAACCAAAATGAGGAACGATGTGTTCAGAACCAGTTCCAGACCGAGATCTCAATGGCAGAAAAAGCGATGGCGAAATCGGAGATCCTTCTTTTCGGCCCGGTCCTCGACGACAAACGTCCAGAAAACGGGAAAACTCTCCGAGGAAACCCTAATAATGATGGAGTTGTCGTTACTGGCACATGGAAGTGGGGGTAGCCAGGAAGGTGGCGGAACCACCGGCTTCAATTGGATCGCGGCAAAGAGGTTTATCCCACCCTCCCACCGTCGCCCTTCTCAATGGATCTTGATTTCCTCACGCCATTCCCCTTTTCTGCGCGATCCTCCTCCTCCCCTTTCCTCCATCTCCCTCCCTCCGCATATTTATATAGGTCAGCCTCCTTCCTCTCAACGGTGCCTTGCTATCTTTCCCTCGCCGTCCGCCTCCAGTGCTCTCCCCGAAGAGAAGGAAGCGGGGGAGAGGGGTGGTTGGCGAGAAAAATCTCTGATTCCTTTTTTTTTTTCTGAGGACGCGCGCCGGACGAAATCTGTGGCAGTCAAATGTTAGGGCAGACGGTGGAAACTGCACCGACCATGAGATGAGATGAGAATCTAAAAACGGAAAGCAATCGGGCCGGGGCCACGAAGCCAACGACGGACACGCATAATAGGATCTCCGTCTCAGTGTCTGATCGAGAGCCCCAACTGCGGAGGAGATCGCCTAACAAAAATCCGAGGGAAAGAAAGAACCCATAGCGAGAGAGAGAGAGAGAGAGAGAGAGAGAGAGTCAGGTGCTTAGTGCCTCTGCCGTCTCAAAAAAGGGATCTTCTTCTTCTTCTCTGCGGACGGCAGCCTGCTTTCCCTCTGCATGGACCCTTGGAACAAGGATCGAACCTCAACCGCAGTCAGTTGCTCCTTGCTGGCATAGTCAGCGAGGCTCGCCGGAGCAGTCAATGACCTCTCCTTTCCGGAACCAATATCGACGGTGTTCTTCTTGAACGTCTTGCCACCTCCTCCCTCAACCAGACCCGCTGGCCTTTTTCTCTTCAGATCCTTCTTCGCGTCCGGGAATCCCAGCTTGGCCAGTGAGGTCCCGAGACCCGGAAACTCCGATGCTTCGCAGGTTGAAAGCCGACGAGCATCGTCACCATTGCCGCCGCCGCCGCCGCCCTCCTGAGCCACCATCTGCTCCCTGGGCCTTCTGTGTTTTTTCCTGGCAGATGAATGGGAATCGCCCTCCTGTCTTTCCTTGTCGGAGCCGAAGGCGGCTTGGAATTCCCGATATGTGTGCTCCTTGTTTGCTTGCCGCCGGGTCCATTGCTCGGGCCGGGCCTCCAAGCTGCGACCAATTCACCCGCCAAGTCAGGATCCCAGTGGTGATTCACGAAGAAGATGGTGCAATCGGAATGCTTGCATACTTAGATGAACTCGGCACTTGTTCGATGAGTTGTCGAACACAAAAACAGAGAGAGAGAGAGAGAGAGAGATGGTCTACGACTACTACTACTACTAACTACTACTGGATAGAGAGCGAGAGAGAGAGAGAGAGAGAGGGAGAGAATCTGGAGTAGTAGGCAGAGAAGATTTGTTCCCAACATACCCGTCAATGTCCAGCTTCTTGATGATGAACGGTCCGTGCTTCGTCTTGGAGAGTTGTGTTCTCACGGCTAGCAACTCCCATGCAATGGTCTCTTTCAGGGACAGGTCACTTGCGTCAAAGCACTTCTCGACTGTGAACGAACCACAAGGATTCAGCGACAGTTCTCCAAAGCAGTCTTGAAGCCTTGAAAACGGAAAAGAATGGTCCATTTTGTGTTAGCAGAGATCTCCGAAGAAAATTATTCAGGTGAGAACGCCCTGAACCTCAAAGAGACGCCCTTTTCTGAAGTTCTTCGACCAACTTACTTCCCAATTACTTTGATCTTCTGTTGTGTCGATGAATCCGAGCAGAGAAACGCCTCAAGCACGCGCCCGCCTCCTGCGTCTCTCGCAGTTTGGACCACGTGGTTGGCGTCCATGGACAAGATGCTTCGGATGTATGGTTGGATCATTTTCTGGAAGCATGTGATGCTGAAAGGTAAGATGACTAGCAAAGCACACGACAGAGGGCCATGGTTGAAAAACAAATACATGAAAATTACCTTTGGAAACCTGAAAATTACTTGTAGTATCAGGCAACCCACTACGTGCATCTTCTCCCCAGAGGGCCATTCCCAGCTGGAAACCTTGCTGGAGAAATATCTCTCCAGAAAGAGCATGCGTGGAACAATGGCGCTGGGAAAATCAGACCCTGAACATATCGCGTTGGCCAGCGTCTGGCAACACTGTTAAAAAGAAGAAGACCAAAAGGAGGCACGGGTCAAAAACAGGTGCAGGCAACAACCTAGTGTAGCTAAACTTGAAGCAAAATGTACCTCTCGCCCATGAGTCTGAAGCCTGTGGCATGCAGCTAGGAGGGACGCAACTACCCCAGACTTGCCAGTCTCGAGAAGTTGCATAAACAGTGCATGAAGCTCCTCCCATATTGAGTCCACCTAAACGCCAAAATCATAATAAACTATTCGTCTGAGAAGATCAGAGACCAAGCCACTGATGGCATGAAGTCAAGCATGAATGCCAATCTTTTGCCCTTAGTAAGATACGGTAATGTTTCGATAAAAATCGAGTCGAATCGTTAAAACTCAGATGTAGCCACCCTCCGTCAATAAGGAGAACGACCGACTCTTACTTGAAACCCAGGCATTTGGCGAGTAGACATGAACCAGAGCATTTCATTGAATCTAATATCTTATAAGCAAGCTGCTACAAGAGTGGTATAATTTGGACATAATGCCACATTATGCGGTATAATTTTGTCTTATAAATTATGTGGGGATGTAAGATTGAACTAATCAAATCTTCAAGCCTCATTACATTGTTGCTTGCAGTCATTATCATCCGCATTTTTGTGTAGCCTTTCTGCAGTCGTACCGAATATCAAATGTTGATTACATCCAATGTAGATCACTTTACACGGCATGGAATAGCTAATGGATAACATAAAATTCACACTTCTAGGATACATACTTGCACTTGGGATTTGGCTGAAGAAAGTAGCGCTTGAATGACAAAGTTTCCACAATGATGTGTAGCAATCTTAGCTAACGAACCTCTGAACACTTTTGTGAGAATCTCATCGTATAAATTCTCAGGTGCCACTTCTAAAATGACCTGCAAGTTATTTCGAGTGCAATTATTTCCCTGAGCAAGCATCAAAAACCTGAAAATGCCTGCGTAGTAAATAAAATAAAATACAACCAAAGGTAAGCTACTGGGTTGTCTTCAGTTATTTTACAAAAAAATGACGGACTAAGAGAATACCAAGATGAGAAGCCAACCTCCAATAAATGACTAGATGAAGTGTCTTCTAACATACTCAGTATGCTCGGTGCGTCAGCAGTATCTATCAGGCAATCCCCAGGATCTCTTTCCTTCGAGCAGCCAAGAATGAGCAAGATCACATGCAATAGTCCCTCCTCGTCCCCAACTAGCAACTTCAAGGCAGTCTGCAAAATGCATTCGTAACCACAGAATAAAACGACCAATTTAATCATGTGAGGATTGCCTATTGGTCCACGGTCAGCTGTCGAAGCAATTCTTGAAATACCCATCCACAAGTGCACCAGTACATGAGGACATGTCACACAATCAAGAAACAACAGGCTAAAATAATTCCATCATTCAAAATAAAAAATGTGTAACCTGCATGACAAAGCTGCTGTACTTGTTGGCACATAAAGTTGCAATTTCATCCTCCGCTTGCCTTAACATTTCCATCACAAGAAATTTAAAAGTATCAGGAAAACCGTGTTGACTTTGATACGGATTCTTTCCCCTTGATTGAGAGTGCTTGACATTTAATCGCTCAGCTAAGACTGATGATGACTTTGTGACATGATATTCCTCCAAAGAATCGACAGCAACTCCCTTACAAAGACAAATGAGGCTACGGAGCACATGAGAGCCGTAGGGACTTGACATCACAGAGGCAGAATCGACAACAACAGCCTGATAACCACAACAAATCCTGTGTTACTTACGTAGACAACGTAGTTCACAAGGTAAATGATGTATACACGCCATATATACCTCACATATCTTCCTTAGGGTATCTTCAATTGCAGAGCGGGCATCTGGGTCTTCAAGATGAGCAAACAATGACTTGAGAGCAGTCTCAGCCACGTGAGATCCACACTTGTCAGTTGCAATATGAGAAAACACATCTGCACTACTCAGGAGAAAGCGACAGAGGGCACCAAAATCACAACCTTCCAGAAGAATCTGCAGGGTATGACTTAAAACTACATCAGTTGCTAGCCCCAGCTCTTCTCCCCTGGTTTCTTCCAAGGCGCTACCACATACAACAGGTTTTTCCTCCAAATCAATGCTGTTACTTTCGAAAAGGTTCGCAATCTGATAAAAGTAATTCGCCAACTCAGGGTTGACTTTCTTCCTGCATGGGATAAAGGAGCTCAGCAGCTAAGAAGACACTAAATTTTCTAAAGCAATGGAAATTAGGCATACAAACGTAAGTAAAACATGAAATCAGAGTAAATTTCCACTGTTCCCCAAACACAAATAGCAAACCTGAGGACAGATATTGCGGAAGCTGTCAGGCCTTGACCCCTCACGGATTCTAGAGCTTGCACATCTGTAGTGCACACTTTCTGTGACTTTTTTGAATGGTGATCCTCCACGACGACGTGTCCTTTTGGATATACATCCTTTATGTTCCTTGTCTTCTTAGGTTCACTAGAAGAACTATGATCCTTGTCCCCACTTCCAAGGAGTCCTTTCTTCGTCTTTAGATTTCTCTTGCTTTTTCTCTTTACTCCTGCTTCAGATGAATTGTAATCCTTAACCTTCCGACTGTTTTCCACCATGTTATCAGATGTATAATATGCACTCCTGAAGAAAAAAAGGTGCTTCGTGAGTCTGAATTTGACCTATATAATGCAACATATACGTCAACTAGTAAGAAAATGCATGAGAACCGACGGATAAGAGAGCTAGGGTCACAGTAACATTGGAACGTTAAAGCTACATAAAAACGACTATAAAAGTGCCCATGGAGAGGTTAACATTGCGATGCTGAACACGGGACGAAGCAACTTTGGACGCTAACTGGCGTTATGCAAACGGAGCAGGAGACCATGTGGGCTAGGTCGCCTCGACAATAGTCAAGTCACTATACTAGGCGAACTGATATTCTTCAGAAAAGCATACAAATCGTCTTCACATATTTCTGCACACAGCTCAGCCAAGTAATACCACTAGGATTGGGGACCCAAGTTATTATCTTTTCGGAAAACTTGAGGAGACTGAAATCTTACAATAACAAAAGAAGACAAGAAAGTGGCAGCCCTCGGGAAGCAAAAGGCCGTATAGGCCCATCCCGTACGGTGTTTCGTTCGTCTCCAAGAAAGAGGGGAATCCCACCGCGTCGCCCACCTTCCCGCGTCGCTCACGACCTTCACCGGACGCGGCCGAAGCGGCAGCGGAGAAAAAAGTCGCCAGCCGAGACCCCAGAGAACGGACGAACGGCTGTGGCGGCGGAGGAAGAGGAGCTCACCGACGACGGTGGGTGCAGAAGAGGAACAGGAGAAGCGAGTGGGGAGGGGGACGAAACGCTAGCCCAGAACGCCGCTCGACGGAGAGGCCAGAGTGGGAGCAACCCTCTTGTCAAATTGTTCAAATTGATATATTTACCCCCACCCCCCCCCCCAAATATTGGAGAAGTTATGAGATTGTATGTGTGACTCTCTCTTCTCTCTCCCCCACTTCTTGGTCCAATAAGCTAAGCTTGGAGGACCGTCGTAGCCGAGCACACACAAGTAGGAAGGGGGTAAAGAGCAAAGATTGGGGGTAAAGAACCAGAGTTGATATTCTTTAAGACAAAGACTAGTAGTATCTATTGGTTACTATGATTATAAAAATAGATAAACATCACCATAATGGAATGAACAAGGTTAGAAAATATATATTCAACATAATCATATGGATTCTTGCCATGTATCAATCAACTTTTTTTAGATATTTTTTTCATTTTCTTCTCTCCAAATGTTGTGGTCTCTTATTCCCTTGTAGAATGCCCATCTCATCCTTTTTCTGTTAGAAAAAGGGCCATTCTCAAATCAAATACATATATTGACTCTTGGCGCCTTTACAATTTTTTACAATGATAAAATAGGCAACAAAGGTAAAATAGTAATTTTATGCTTCTAATTTTTCTTGAAAAATTATTAAAAAATACTAAAAATATTTTTATAACCCTTGGAAATGTTTTGTGTGATTTCAATGTTGATTACATGACCTATAGTATTTCCTTTCTATGTTCAAGAATGACTCGGTTATTGAGTCAACTCACTTAGATCAATTTTACACTCATAATGAGAAGGACATTGTGTACGACCAATATGGTAATTTTTTATGTCAATTTTTTTTACTAGTAAGCTTTCAAAGTTTTCTTTATTCATTTCATTTATAAGAAGTGAGTCAATTCACTTGTTATGAGAAATGATGTGTCAATAAAAGTAAGTCAACTCATAAAAAGGTATTTTCTCTTCGATTGCATCGAAAGTTAATCTACTCACCTACCAGAAAAATATTTAATATAATTCATCATTAAGGAAATGAGTCCCCTCATTAAAAAAAGACGTCATTCTGTAACAATCATATGGACTCAATCTCTAAAGTGATCATCTTCCAGCCAATGTGAGTCACTAATTTGTATGCGTACTTTACATATTTTCTTGTGTCTCTACTTGATGGCAATTCTTATGTCAACTAACATGCCTTGAAGATCCCTATTTGTGACCACCACCTTGGGTCTTCTATCTGTATGCTCTCTCATACTCTTTGTGAATCATCCTACCGCATGTCCACTTGGCAAGATATTTGATATTTAAATTCTTATCTAAAATTATTTTTCTTTCATGAAATTGGTGATATATTTTGTTCTAATCATGCTCTTCTTTAAAAAACAAATTCATATCTTGTTCAATAAAAAATTATTGGTAGATATTAAAGAATTTTTGGCATCCATCATGCCAAGTTCCAAATTGGTTAAATCATCAACACTAATAGCCTCTTCAAAATGTTTAGAAATATTAATCAATAGGATAATGTGAATTGAAGGGTGATATATCTATATAGTCTATGAATTATTTTTTAGTTTAAACATATATTTTATTTTTCATCTCAAGAGATAATTTTATTCATATTATCAATCATTGTTTTAATACTCACTCACTACAATAGTCTCTCAACTACATCACATTTGTAGGATCTCACAAGCTAAGAGATGAACCAATTTTAGGATTATTTTTTTTAGAATTATAGTTTCTTAATTACTCACCATAGAACAACTAGGACAACCCATTGTTTCAATTAAGAGCAATAAAAGTTTTAAAAAAAGGTTTATAATGGTTTGGCATTCTTGAACTTACCTTACTCTGAAGACTACATTATTAGATTCCACTATCACTGAATGATATATTTTGTGCACGTTAAGTATTTAGCTAGTTGACTAAACAATACAGCTCCTATTTCCCCAAATATCTCTTCTAGTTTTTTTGCTCTAATATGCCAAATAAAATTATCATCAAATCAGTCTTCTAACTTGAGAATTATATATTTGCTCGAGTACATTAAATGCTCAAATACAAATATCACAAAATAGCACATAGTTTCTTTAAAAGTGTATGTGTGGGCTTGAAGATGTTGAAGTTCACTTTGTTATACATCAACTTTAAATGCATGAAAATGCTATGAACATATAGTTTAAAATCATGGACTCTCTTTTGAATGTTGAAGTAGTTAATCATTTCATATGATGACATTTTTATTGAACTGTATGTTTGAAACATTCAAAAACTAGTCTCTAACAATCATTACGTTGACTATTTGTGAGCAATCCACTAACTAGTTCGTTGTATTATATCACTTTTATAATTTTATATTTGACATCTTATACTAACATTTTTTGTGTGCTAGTGTTCTTTATATTAAGCTAGTTGAGTTGTGACGTGACTTAGTCGTTGTATATTAAATCACGTAAATCTAAAATTTATAAAACTAGAAAATATGATTTTTTGGATATTTAGAAGTATTTCTGAACAAATATATCAATTATAATTCAATAAAAATTACAAAAAATAATGATAATTTTCCAAGTCGATCACAGGGATGTAATATAATATCTGGTAATAATTCAGAATTTTTCTCAAAGAATACTATTTTCTATGAATTTTATACTAAGAAATGAAAAGGAAATATATTTAAAATTCACAAAAAAAGAAATAAAGGTGCGGACGTCAGGATGACATCAGTGCCCCAGCGAACGCGAATCGGGTGGAAATAGAATTCTGCCCAATGATTCTTATGTAAGCGATTATAGATGATTTAATTGATCAAATTAAGATCTGTAAAAGTCAGAAGAATCGTAATGAAATAAAGTATATCTTGGTAAATTTAAAATCAACAAATTATCACTAAATGAAACAAAAATTAAGTTGAAAGTAGAAAAATAGAGTTCCGACGTCGCGACGGCAATGCGTCGGCGATGCACCGAAATCTTGAGCATTTGGGAGGATCGTCGTGTAGTGTCCACGGCCTCGAAGGCTATCTTTGGATAAAAACGACGTAGGCAATCTCTAGATCTCCTTGTGAAGTTTAGAGATCAATGAAATGGGTTGTTGAATCGTCTTCGACGACTGTCACCCAGCGGAGCGGAAAAACGGTGACTTTGCGACTCTTCGGCGACTGTCACCCGACGGAGAGGAGCTGGATGGAGGTGGGGAGCGTGTCAGGGAGCTTCATCCTCAGGCCCGCGCAACAAGAGGAGGCTCTTCATCGCATCTGGTACGCTCTCAGGAGGTGGTGACTCATCTCCCGGTGGATCGTCCTCTTCCCGACGACGGCTTGTTCGTCGATCAATCGGAGATGCTTTACTCGATAGATTTGCGATCCTTTTATCGCGAATCGTTCATCAATTTTAGTAACAATGCTCCGTGAATCGCATTGACTAGATTTTCGCCGATGATCCACTGATTCTAGTTGCTTAATCCTTCACCGGCGAGCTGCAGGAAAGTTGCGATAATCAGATAAAAAAATATGAGTTTTGGCTTTGGGAGGATTCGAACCCACGCCGGTTGCCCCTCGCCCTTTTTAGGGAAGGTGACGCGGGTTTAGTCCCACATCGGTTGTGTGCCAAAGTTTCTGGTGAATATATAGCCGATTAAGTCCCTTTCTCGCGCATGTACAACCACTCTTTGCCCCATAGCCGGCTGGCCACCGGTGACGTAGAAGGGGGGTGGTGACACGTGCCCCCATCGGTTCAAGTCGCTCGAGCCCTTGTTCGCGGCTCCTGCTCGACTACGCTTTCGACCCGCTTGCAGGCCCGGCTGGCCAACGAGTCCCCCCCATTTTGTTATTTTTATTTTAATTTCTTTTCCTTCATTTATCTCAAAAGTAAGACTATAAAAATCATATAAAATCGTATAAAATCACATAATTACCCAAAAATTCACGTTACTCAACTGAAAACCACTTTTCACACTTTAACACAAATATAAGTCTATTTATCATGAGTTAAGACTAAAACTATATTATTTACTAATTATTAACTCGGATAATAAAGACTTATCAACTTGTAAGATACAAATTTTGTGGACACAAATTTCTTAATACCTAAAAGACTTTGCCAAATTCAAGAGTATAATATTATCATGAATTAGAAGTCACTCAATTATGATTATAATATAAATTTTATTATACTCTTACATTCTTAGTCAGTTATAGTGTAGTAAGTCTTACTATAAAGTGAGTCAATATTTTTCTTGTTGGCTTTCAAAGTCTCAAAGGTTTTACATTGACAACAAAAAATATGTCAATCTATAGAAGACAATCGCATATTATGTTTAATGTGTGAATTATCACAAATTAAATCATGTGTAAATCTATCATGGGTAAAAATATCTACATTCTCATCACAAATGACTAAAAAACATTAGTTGAAAGAGTCTCAAAGATATACATATATAGCCACTTTTTGAAAAGCACATTAAAATTAGGGTTTATGAATTATTTGTAGTTTTGCAGTATTAAAAAGTTTATTCTCTAGAGATCTCCAAGCACATGTGGCCCAACAAGGACTGCTCATCTAACTACAAAATTAATTGAGATGATTATTGTGATCTAATAAGCTTTGTACAAAAGTGGGCATTTCACCAAAAACCTATGTGGAGTTATTTTATGATTCAATAAGAGGTAATTAATGTGAAGAAGCTACTTGCTCCCTCAACACAATTTCTCCTAAGAGTTAAAACTAAATTATTGTCCTTAATGTTTGAAGACATCAAAGATCAATTATACTAAAGACCACATTGACTCCCTCCTACATTTTGAGGACTTCCATGAGTTGAATAAAAGGTTCCTCAAGCACCGAGAGCTACAACCTGATTTTTTCATAAATTTAAACTATTCTTGTCATTTGTAAAGATTGGATACATATGCTTGATGATGCAAAAACATTCAAGAATGGGTAAATCTAGCTCATACACTTGATGCAGGCCAATATATTGAGTGGATGATTTTTGGAACAAAGATTCAATGTTTTCTACTCATAAGTTAATAGAACCTAACATCATACTTAAATATAAAGTTTGTCTTATTGATATACTTAAGGACATCATTATGAATTCTTTGCATAAACTAAGAGTGTTTGAGTTTGAATTGATTGTCAATAAATAAAGATCCTAATTCACCCCTTTCTTGAACAATAAACTTGACCAACACTTATTTAATAAGTTATATTCATCATTATTGAGCGTTGAAAATGCTCCTCTTATTGAGTTGAATCATTTCTAATAAATAAGTAGAAGTATAAAATTTTAAAGGAACAGAGCTTAAATATATAAGATACTTTGTTCATGATTAAGATAAGATGGTATTACTTGGCTAAAGAATTTATTATTATACTGATAATGTATAATACTATTATATCTACACATAACATATCGACTAATAAGTGTTAAAATTATTCTTATTGTTTCTACTCCCTTCTTCAAAAATAGAAAATATACATCATAGCATATAAATAGCATACAATTGCATGGGACTTCACTAAGAATTGAGAACATATTATGATAATTTAAGTAAATTATACAAACTATTTTATACTTGTATATATCTTGCTAACATCAAATTTAAATGGCTCCACAAGTAAATAATATTATGTCTCTATCTTCATGATCCGTTGATTATGCTTCTCTGCTTTGAGATCTCTAATGAAAATGATATTTTGGGTCTTGATAATTGTTTGACTTTGTTCATTGTAAAATAATAAGCATACCCAATATCACCTCAATTAATCTGTAGATATCCTTAGATGTCACATCTTATCTAATTTGTTTGATAAAATCAATTCAAACTTAATAAATGAAAATAAATATCTTATTAATTTGATCATTTATTATTTCTAACATCCTCTAGTATTACACTATAAACTTATGTGAGGTCATTCTTATTTAACAAACATACATCATCTATAACTAATTGAGCTTGGATCATTCATGATGGGACCATGCATAATCTTATATTCATTATCCAGTCATTTAATCGTTACTTTTATATTCTCCATTTCACAAACATAGTTTACTGAAAACATTATTACAAGTGAAATTCATTATCTTAATCTGATTTTTATCAATATAGTGCATCTTGATTTCATCGTCAACATAAATTTTCAATTATTTATCTATAAGTATATTACCTTCAATCTTTTTCTCATTCACAGCTATTATTCTGTCTTATACATACATCACCAGCTTCATATCTATTTTTTGAATGGATTCATATAGTTTTACACTAATCACTTGTAAACTTTACAAAACACTAATCATTTGAATATGTGACAAGAAAGAGACACCATACATTTTTAGGAACCAACTCTAATTTTCTTGCATGTAAATTTAACTCACTTGTAGAGAAATTGACAATTGTATCAATCAAAAAATCTACTTGCGTATTTAAGTGCTTTCAACCTTGGCAGTTTAGGCTTTTTAAAACAAACCTATCACATTCCTATTGTGCTCAAAGATTAGAATGTACAATACAAAAAAAACTAAAATTTATTAGCATCCACAACTTTTTGACCCTATCTTTGAAACCAAAAGTCAACTTTTACAAGAATATATTAAGTTATGTTAGGAATAATTATAAATATTGAATGGCTTCACCATCACGAATTATGAAGGTCTCATCATGTGTCCATTGTCAAGTTGCAGGATTGAGATTGACTCATTAGCTTCAGTAAGTTACCAAAATTACTCATCCATGATAATGTGTTTGACATTTTCAAGCAACTATTAACAAACTCCAACAATATAGAAATATCCCAAAGTTGTAGCATCGAATAATCCATAAGAATATGGCCACAGAGGCACAAATATATTAGAGGCATCATTAAATTTCATGCTTAAATCATCTTTAGAGGCAAAAAATTTGATCATTAATGTTAATTACACCTTTAGACAAAGTGATTAATAATTATCTTATATTTATGTGCTTCTTTGTAGTTGTATCTATTTTAAAATCCAATATATTTCTCACAAGATTTAGCTTGCTATTAGAAGATCTATCTTCATGTATGGCATGGCATGTAGGGCCTCCTTGCTTGATCTCGATTCTTGAATCGTCTCTTCTGATGGCCTATGCGCTCTTTCTATGTGACACCATTTTGTTGGGATTAGATGAACAAAATTCATAAAGATGGAGAACAACAGGTAATTAATAGTGGGAGACAACATGTCATATGGGCTCATTATAATAACCATTATGAGATGGATCTGCTATGAACCCTTTTTTATAATAGCCATCAGGCTGTTTGCGGCACTGATGGATTGGCCTGAGGAGAGGAATGATTTCGTCACTCATCGCAGGACCATAGAAAGGAAATTCTATGGACCGACGGGTGCTTCCGACAGGCGTATAATGGATTTTCAGGCCTTCGTCCCACGTCATGCACCAGATCCTGCGCGTGCCCGATTTTATTTTCGTCGATAGCGAGAGATAGCGCGCGCGCGAGAGAGAGAGAGAGAGAGAGATGGGGGGGTGAGGTCGTCGGCGGACAAGTCAAACTCTGCGTGCGAGAGTTGGAACTGAGGCAGGGAGTGGAGAAGTACAGAGGGTCGGAAACCACCACCTGGTAAAGTCGCCATTGCGGAGGGGAACAGAGACGTGGATAGGACGGAGGCCGCTATAAAGGTGTAGTCCTGCGAGCGCATCCGCCTCCACGATGCTGCGGAGATTCGCGGCGGACAAAGCCAAGCATCTCCTCCGCCCCCTGTGCTCGTCCTTGTTGCCGGCTTCTGCCGCCGCGGCTGATCTCGTCTCTTCCTCGTCGCCTTTCTGCACATCCTCTTCCGCGCCGGCCGCTATGTCGTCCACGAAAACACCCCCTGTTTCCGTCGAGAACATCAATCCGAAGGTGGGATCCATTTCTTCTTCGTCCCTGCACGCGACCGTTTGGACCCCCATCGATGTGCGATTTTGTCGATGAGACGAGTTCTGTTCCCGTTTCCTCCATCTGGGTTTTTTCTCGTATTCCCCTAATGTAGAAAGAGAACTTTTCTTCATTTATTTTTTTCCCGTGGTGTCACCTGGTCTTCTTTGGGTCTGATTGTCTTCTCCACGTTGACCCAGATCGGATAATTTTTCGCTACATCGGTCTCCCCAGATTATCTCGTGTCTCTGTTCTGCGGTTCTTTGTGCGTGTCTTAGTAGATTTAAATTGGAAATCGTAAGCATGACTGCTTCTATATTGTGCGTGTTTTTTCAGATTATCAAATGTGAATATGCCGTTCGGGGTGAGATCGTCATCCTTGCCCAGGTAATAAGCGTTATTTTTCCTTTTGTGAACATTTACTTCCTCTTGATTTGTCTTCCCAGTGAACGTTTTGTATACGGCTGTAAGATCTGAGCAGGCAAGTCGCTCATCACAGCTATTTGTCCCCAAATAAAGCCAATAAATAGACTTTCATTTTAACTTTCTTGCAGCGCCTTCAACAAGAACTACAATCGAACCCCGGCTCCCGCCCTTTTGATGAGGTACCTACCCTTCCGATTTCTATGTTCTAAAAGTCAATGAAGTCTAACTTCTCAGTTGTTCAACAGAGAAACATTTTGTAAAAGTTTTGATGGAAAAATATTTGTAGTGTCTGCGATTTATCTGTGATTTTGAATATCATGAGATTATAATCTGGATATAGCTGAAAGTCCTTCTCTTTGCTCTTGTTGGCAGATACTGTATTGCAATATCGGAAATCCCCAGTCTCTTGGCCAACTGCCTATAACGTTTTTCAGGGAGGTTGGTATATGGGGACCTTTTACCCAATGTTCCCCCAAGGGATCGTCTGATAGTTCTGACGATCTATATATGATTCAATCTCTCAGGTTCTTGCCTTGTGTGACCACCCAGCCTTACTGGATAAGGATCAAACTCATGGCTTATTCAGGTATGCAAGATCAGTCATGAGTATTTCAATATCTTTTGAAAAATAATGTTTGATCTCATGGAAACAGGCTGGGCTAGGCTATGCTCATCACTGCCATGATTTTAAGTATGCTTTTACGCTGAAACAATTTCAGCAGATCCACCAGAAATTACTTGAAATAAAATGCAATCTGAGAAAATGGAGGGATAAGTAAAACCTCGTCATCCTTTTTGCTAAGCTGATTCATTATTTAAAAGGAAGCCTGATTCAGAAAGACTTCTTCGGTTGCTAATTTCTTAATTGATTTTTGTGATCCCTTTCTTGAAGTAGCCATGGGCATAAGTTGTTCTGTTTGTTAATTCTGGCGGCGAAGGTTTAGCCGCTCTCACTGAAAAAACTGTTATGCAGATTATTTTTTATGCGCCTAATTTTTATTTGGGACTGCTATAAATTGGGCGACTAATCATCTGGATATCTGTTTAGAACAATATGGTCAGTTAAGTTCTGCTAAATCCTAAAGAATCTGTCTGGAAGGAGTGATATATCTTTACCTGGCACAAACTTTCAACCGATATTTTCAACGGAAGGCAATTTAAGATAAGCACAGAGGTGCCTGCTATAGCAGACGATGTGGTGCATCAGCAGGAAATTCCTGACCTAATTTTCTAACATCGTAGCTCCTTTGACCATTACTTAGAGGTCGACACGTTCTAATTTGGTCAACTGTTGAAAGCGTGTCATGGTGATTGATCTGCTCTTTAACCATATCTCTGCTTTAGCTTGTCATTGGCTCGAAGCTGAATATAACCAGAGTGAACATGAGCTTTCTTCTGGTGGTTTTCGGCAATCCAATAGTAGTGTGAAAGATTCTGGTAGTGGGATCTGGAATCAGTTGGCCCTCTGACGCTCTGAACCCTGAAGATGACTGATTTTATATTGCAGTTCAGATGCCATAGATAGAGCGTGGAAGATACTCGATGTGATGCCCGGACGTGCTACTGGAGCTTATAGTCACAGTCAGGCAAGAACCATCCTCATGAAATCTTAGTGGTGTTTTATCCATTCATGGAGTGTAACATTCCCCGCTTGCTACCAGGGTATTAAAGGTCTGCGTGACTTGATTGCTGCTGGAATTGCTGCTCGTGATGGTTTCCCTGCCAACGCTGATGATATTTTCCTAACAGATGGAGCGAGTCCTGCTGTACATTCAACTCTCTCTCTCTCTCTCTCTCTCTCTCTCTCTCTCTCTCTCTCTCTCTCTCCCTCCCTCCGTAAACTACAGTAATTTGTTGACTACGGAGAAAGAATAGCAGGCATTTGTTCTCCGTTTCTTTTCAGGTCCATATGATGATGCAGTTGCTGTTAAGGTCTGAAAAGGATGGCATCCTATGCCCTATTCCTCAGTACCCTCTGTACTCGGCCTCAATCGCCCTCCATGGTGGCACTCTTGTATGTTCTATAGCTTTTAAACTAATATCTCCGCATATTTCATGTGCCAGCAGTGTAGTATTTATCTGGATGCATTACTGGACAGAAATTCTCATCGTCGGTTGCATATTTGCATGTAATTCCCAACATGGGGCATCTATGACAAAATCTAAACGCGATGCCTAGGAAACTCCCCATTCAGCATGTAATTATATGTTAAATTATTGAAATGAATGGAACAGAGCCACCACACACACACACGCATACAAGTGCACTTCTTGACATTGATTACTTGGGAGAGAGCCAAAAGTCTGATCTATCTTTTTTTTTTTGGTTGCATGTTTTTAGGTGCCATACTACCTTAATGAAGCAACAGGGTGGGGCTTGGAGCTTTCTGAAGTCAAGAAACAGCTGGAAGATGCTCGATCCAAGGGTGTGACTGTTCGGGCCCTTGTTGTGATCAATCCAGGCAATCCAACTGGACAGGTTAGCAGCCGTTTGATTCATTTCACACGAGCTTCCAAGTATTACTGCGGCAGCTATTTGCTGATCTAGACTCCCAAAATAATTTCTAATTCGTTTATTTTTTGCTTTGTGCATCCTTGGATTATTTATTTATTTATTTATTTATTTATTTGGTTTGATGCCCACTCGATCCAGTAGCATCCAAATGGCTATTTTATAATATATATTTTTGGGTGATCGGGCATTTAAATCCCGTTGACAGGTGCTGGCGGAGGACAACCAGCGGGAGATTGTTGACTTTTGCAAGGAAGAAGGGCTCGTTATCCTGGCAGATGAGGTGAGGACCTCGTTGCCTCTAGCCTGCTCCTTACCATCTCTTAGTCAACGACTTTAAATGCTTTATATAATCTGATGAGACTCTGTTCATGTGAATGAGTTGAGTGGGTCTTCGATGGCTGCAGGTGTACCAAGAGAACATCTACGTCGACAACAAGAAGTTCCACTCGTTTAAGAAGATCGCGAGGTCAATGGGTTACGGCGAGGAAGACATCGCCTTGGTGTCATTCCAGTCGGTTTCCAAAGGTGGGTGTGGGTGTGGGTGTGGGTGGGCTTCTGGCCGTCCGCCGGCCCCCATTGCCTCCCAGAAGGAGAAGTCACTGCCTTGTTTCCTTCTTCAGGGTATTACGGCGAGTGTGGGAAGAGAGGAGGCTACATGGAGCTGACTGGTTTCACTGCTGAGGTGAGGGAGCAAATCTACAAGATAGCATCTGTCAATCTCTGCTCGAACATCTCCGGCCAGATCCTCGCCAGTCTCGTCATGAACCCACCTCAGGTCTGTAGTACCCTTCTCTCACTGTGCCCATTCTCTCTCTCTCTCTCTCTCTCTCTGCCCATTTGACAGGGTTCCTGACAGAGAGGGAACGTCTTGGGTGAATACTTTTGTTGCAGGAAGGCGACGAGTCATTCGAGTCATACGTGGACGAGAAGGATGGGATCCTCTTGTCTTTGGCTAGGCGAGCGAAGGTGGGTCATCTCCGAGGGCTTCCTTGACTCCCACCCTCCTTCCTTCATCTTGTGCATCTCATCCGCGCCATTCTTTCTCTGCCCGATGCAGACGCTGGAAGAGGCGTTCAACAGCTTGGAAGGCGTGACCTGCAACAGGGCTGAGGGAGCGATGTACCTCTTCCCCCGCCTTCATCTTCCCCACAAGGCCATCGAAGCCGCCAAGGCAGCGAAGACGGCTCCCGACGCGCTCTACGCCCGGCGGCTCCTCGACGCCACCGGAATCGTCGTCGTTCCTGGCTCGGGCTTCGGACAGGTGAGCTTGCCAACTTATATATGCATACATACATAGCGAGAGAGAGAGAGAGAGAGAGAGAGAGAGAGAGATAAACTGAGAAACACCCTGGTTGGGCGGTGATGCAGGTCCCTGGGACATGGCACATCAGGTGCACCATACTGCCTCAGGAGGATAAGATCCCGGCCATCGTCTCCCGCCTCAAGGAGTTCCATGAAGCTTTCATGGCGGAGTTTCGCGACTGAGCTTCAGTAGAGAAGGAGAGGGGAGACGATTTCTGAGCAGCGTCGATCTGTTTCAAGCAATAAAGAGGACCTTCGAGGCTACGGCCCTCTCCTTTTTTTGTACCAGCCACATATTTATATCTCTCTATCTATCTATCTATCTATGTCCAATCAATCACTTTCTATGGAATAAAACCATGCGAGGCGAAGGCTGCTCTCTCCCACGGAGATCAATCACATCGCCAGCAATGGCTTCAATCTTGCTAATTTTCTTGCAGAGAATTTATCTTCTGTCTTTAAAAGCATGCTCAAAGCTACCAGTTTTTTCATGCTGTCTGCAGGATGAATGGAAGCCGTCCGGTACATTCATTCTACAAGGCACCATCTGGTAGTAACCTGAGACTCTCTCTCTCTCTCTACACAGGTACAACTCAAAAAAAATTAAAAACCCATTTGACCAAAACCAGTAGAACACTAGAATTTGGGAGGAATAAAAAAAATGTAAACGACTAGGGAGTAAAATACCGCAGATATTGGAGGGCGGATCGATCCTTCACGATCTGGGTTTCGAGTCCTTTGCATCAGGAGCAGAGCAGTTGTCGGCGTCTTCTTGCTTGATGCCAGACCCGGTGTTGTTCAGGGGCTCCACTCCACCATCCTTGGCCACCGGGTTGGTGGTCGTCTCAGTCTTTCTCCGATCGAGAGGAGTGGCGGCAATGGAGGAGCCTTTCCAGGCGGAGATGGCGGCAGCAAGGGCGACGGGCATGAGGCAGAGCCCTTTGCTCTGGAGGTACTGCATAGCCATCGTGACGTTCGACTCCAGCAGGCTTATGACTTCTTTCTCCGATTCAAGAGTGCCCTGAGACTCCTGCAGATACCCCTCCTGACCTAGAAGGAGGCTACTGGATTCCTGTCCGAGCATAAGATGAAAATTTCACCAAAATGTACCAGGAAATAATACTTCACACTGACAGCAGGAGAGATCGACTCTTAGTTCGCGATTAGAGCGTGGATTGAGAAATTAGAAGAAGAAACTTAATAAGGGCAAGCAGGGGCTTCGAGGGAATGAAATTGCCTAGATTAAGAGGTCAATCAATGTATTAACCACTACAAAAAGGTGGTGCGTTTTTTAAATATTGCGAAAGTATGCATGAAATAAATTATATTTTTTACAAGGTTTCTGGAAATACGAAGGTTAGCGAAGTTAAATGATTTAGACAACAAGTTTTATGCATTCCATCTAACGTTTAAACTAACCCTGCAGAAAGTCGCCTAGCTTTTGGATATGAATACGCAAAAAGAAAAACGAGGATGAAGAAGAAAGCACACCTCGGCTGGAATGTCAGTAACCAAGGGAACACCAGCACCACCAGCAGCACCCAACCTGCTCATACTGAGAACCTGCGAGATAAATATAATAATAAGTCTTATATTATTTAAATATTTTGAAAAAATGAAACTGCACTTGCTACTTCAATTTCTCCACCTTCACTTGAAGCTGTAGAAATTTCACATAGTCAATGATCTCATCAAGCATCGATGCCTTGTCTGTCTGCAAAACATTGGAAAAAACATTGTTATTTGGCAAATGTTAATTCTCAACTGCCAAACGATTCCATGACACTGGATTTCATAATCCGTCGGTGGCTTATAGAGGATGAATGTGATGCTTGATCCATGTTCATATGGCAGGACCTTCTCTGAGATCGATGAAGGTTTAGTTAAAGCAGTGTTAATCCCACCGAATTTGAAAATCTCGGATAGAATTTAGAGGAAATTGCTATAATCACCTTACTGGCGTTAGGAACAAGTTCCTGGAGATTCTTCATCCTTTCTGCAATTTTCTCCCTCCGGAGCTGCATTTTAGGAATACACTATATGAATCTAAAGGGTAATTTATTCGAGTTCGTATGAGATACACAGAAGAATCAGTGATTGGAAATGGGAAGGGGGGAACTGAAATTTCTTAAAAAATAAGGTAGATCCAACAAACTATGAAAGCGTCACAGGGCGCTGTATCAAGCAATTATTTGATACACTAACCCGTTCTGCGATGCTGTGAGGATCTGTTGCCTGACCTCGCCGTGCTCGGACACGTGCTTTCATAGAGTCAGTAGAACTGCCAGCATTATTGGGTGGTGCATGTCGCAATTGAGTAACCAAAGATTGGTTGATCAAATTCTCAATTCCATATTGTTCAGCAGACGGCAACAGCTGTCATAACATCGTAAAGTAATTCTGGATATATTCAAGAATATGTTTGAAGTAAGTACTCCAAATTGGTGAAGAGAAAAACTTCAACCTGTTGGGGGCACTGCATGGTCGTGGCGGATCCTGTAAACGTTCCCTGGAAACCAAGCGTGAAGAGAAAATTATCCTGTATCCCTATCCAATATGCACCTAAATTCTTTGGCGTTCATGGAAACTTTGAACAGATGACTACAAGAATCGTATTATTAATGAGATCAATTGAAATACTTGACACCTGTTGAGGTGACCGAAAACTGAATCTTTGTGCCGATTGGATCTCCTTCCCAGGTGAAAAATCAGGCAACTGGAGGGTGTTCAGCTCGTCATGGTCCTGAACCTTACAAAAGCACCATTATATTAGAAATAATAATATAAAGAAACTGGATGATTTTTATAAAAAGTATGGATGAGTTACCTTATAGTTTCTAGAAAAGCTTTCCATTTGTCTAAGTTTCACGTAATCAATACAGGCGTTACCCACATCATTATTGTCAATTTCCACCAGTTGCTCTTGCAATCCAAAATCTTCAATCTTCGCAGGTCCAAAGTATAAGGATCGATCAGATGGTAATGATGAGGCCCATAAATCTTGAACTGTGGACATTACTTGAGAATCTTGAACCGACTGTGGAAACACAGATAGATCACTACCATTGGTCTTCATGGAACCTGATTCAGCTAACGCACAAGGAGCTGTTTCCGTAGTGCACGAACCATTAAACTCTGCACCAAATGGTCCAGACAGGGTGTTGCCTTCAATTGTTTCCAGTAATGAGAAACTTCTTTCAGAAATTTCTCTTTCTTGCTTTGATGTGACTGAGAGGTCTTCGACAATAACCTGTCGATGCCCATCCTCTCCAGGAAGATCAACAAGTCCAAACATCATCCTTCCAGTTTCCATAACATTTTCCGAATGAATCGTCGATTTTTCGAGGTTGTTATCTTCTCCTGGATGTTCTCCGCAGTCATAAAGTAGGTCATTACCCAGAGGCTCAGCAGAATCAACCCACGATGTCCTCTGAGACGACTGTCCATTCTCTTCCCATTGGGATGAAGATAATGAAGACATAATGGGATCGATATAGTCGTCCATTCAAAGGTTGTTGTCTCACTATCACACCTCTTACATAAAATCGCAGCCCCGCTATAAAGAAGGAAGACGACGGACGTCAGATACATTCCCGCAAAAGAAATTCAGACCATAGGCTTCCAGCCCAAAATTGGTATGGAATGGTATGGTGAATAAGCTAAAATACATCACTGAACGTACGCAGATGTTTGACGAAGACGAAAAATGTAGACAAGAAAAGAATCCATGCTGCAGATACGAGACATGGAAAACATTTTAAGCTGTAGTACTTCGGCCGAAATCGCGACTCGGAAACCATCAACCACCATCATCGATGAATTATATATAACCAACGGGAGGGATGGAGGGGAGAGGTGATGCTGAGAAAGAGGAGGGGGGAGACAGAAGGAGCCGACCTTACGCCCTCATTGACGCCGCTTCCTTCTGAGGTGCTTGCTTCGGCGGAGTGGGGAGAGGGGGGGTGGGGGGGAGACAAACAGCAACCCAGTCCGATGCGTGAAATCAGGGGAGTGGGTCTTTTACTTCGCGCCCAACGGCCTGAAACATCGGGAGTCCGTTTTACACGTGTCACGCGCGTACCCTCTCCCTCTCTCTGTCTCTCTTGCGTATATTTATTATATTTCCTGAGTTGGAATTTTAAATGATTTTTTATTATACACTTCTTTTATCGTCTTTCCGTATCAAATTTATTTATAGTTAACGATATTTTACATGAAAATAAGAATGACGCCATCAAACAAATATTCTTCAAAAATTTATGGAAAATAAATAATTTCCCACGATAGATGGAGATAATTGTTTTATTCCACGTCACACAAAAATCAATCAAAAAATCAATTCAACCACCTTAGTCATCATAATTTTATCTCTAATTTTTCATTAATATATATATGATTCACATTACCACTAAATTACGATATTATTTTATACATTTACATTTTTTCATATTCCCTGAGTTTTAGTTATGAACGATTTTTGTCGTTTAGCCATCTTGACATGTTTTAAATATTTTTGATTATTTTTTTATTACAAATGATTTGATTGATATGAAAATAAATAATTCTTCACGCCAAAAAAAATCCTGGAAAAAATATATTTTCACAACATATGGAGAGCATTTATTTACTCAATGAAATATGCTCCGCATCAAACAGAAAATCAACCAAAACATTAAATTTAATCGCACAATTATTACAGTATTATGTCAATTTTATAATTAAATATATATGATTTATTGCACCGTTAAATTACGATATTTTTCTGAGTAAAAATCGGTCAGATGTGAAACTTTTTTTCAAGCACTGTTGTATTTTTTAGGATATAGGGGTTTTATACAATTATACCTATATTTTTGGGGCTAAAAGCGAAAAAGAATTGCAAGGAGATCCCCAGAGGACATCTGGGTCATTACATTTCCGTGGGTCGAGCTTCCGAGGGAAGCCTCCGGCAATCCAAAAATCAAGAAGTCGCTCCAATTTGGCGCCCTCGCAGCCCCCCCCCCCCCGCCCCGTTCAGTCCGCTTTCCTACCTCTCTCGTTCTCTGCATCTTCCCGCCGCCCGGAGCCGAAGCGAGCGAGGCGAGGCCATGGCGGCGGCGGCGCAGCAGCAGCAGCAAAAGATGGCGGAGCAGGAGGAGGCGGAGATGCAGCACGGCCCCGTTCCCGTCGAGCAGCTCCAGGTGGGTCGTCTCCTTCCCTTCCCCTCACCTCCGTCTGTTCGAAGCCGTTTGTTTCAGACAGATCTCGCGCTGGTTGTGTCGTCCCCATCTGATCGTTCCAGACGGGCGCGCAAGCGCTTACCTTTGTCTGACTTCCTGGGCCATCGACGATTGCGTGCCCTTTCCCTCTGGGAGCGTTTTGCCCAAGAAGTTAGTTTCCCCTGCCGCCTGGTTGCCCTAATTCCCCCCCCCCTCCCCTCCGGGGAGTTGGCTCGTAGCGATTTTTTGGATTTTCTTCGTGCGTTTCTCCCTCTCTGGGTAAGCTCTCGGCACGAACATCGAACCGATGCGACGCGGGGAAATGTGTAAATCGTCGGTGTTTGGTGACCGAGCGTGAACTCCTGCATCGTTGGATTATTCGTGCGGCCTGACCTTGCCCATATTTGTCCCCACCATTCACGAAATTTTAGGCATCTGGGATTGCTGCCCTCGATGTCAAAAAGCTTAAAGACACCGGTTTGTGCACCGTGGAATCTGTCGCCTACACTCCGAGAAAGGATCTCCTACAGATCAAAGGGATCAGCGAGGCCAAAGTTGACAAGATCATTGAAGCAGGCATGCTGTTCTCGTTGAATCGAGGCTCCTTTTTTTAATTTTTTCCGAGCCCTCTTCCCCACCTCACTAGACCTCGAAGTGTAATGTTCCTTTCTCATTCACTTGTCTGGCAGCCTCGAAGCTGGTTCCCTTGGGGTTTACAAGCGCCAGCCAGCTCCACGCCCAGAGACTCGAGATCATCCAGATTACATCGGGATCGAGGGAGCTCGACAGCATCTTGGAAGGTAACCTTCGCGTTGACGTGCCCCTGTCTCAGGAGATGCAGGCCGATCTTAACGTGGTCACCTCCCTTCAGGAGGAATCGAAACTGGATCGATTACTGAAATATACGGAGAATTCCGCTCGGGGAAGACCCAGCTGTGCCACACACTCTGCGTCACTTGTCAGGTGATTCGCCCTCGCCCATCGTTGTCTCGATCTCTCCCACAGAAATGCGGCAAGTTCGACGCCGCTCTGTTTATGTTGGGATGCTCTAGCCTTCATTTTCATTTATTTAAAGCTCCTCCGGGTCTTGTGCGGAGCCTCTTAGCTCATTCATGGGTTTGACCTTGTTCATCGGGTTTGGCCCTGATCCTCCCCCCATGTAGAGGAAATAAAGAACGTAAGGAGGATGGGGGAGAGAATGAATGAGCGTAAGGAGGGTGGGGAAAGAGATGCCCTTCGTTGAATCAGTCTGCCTTAATCTCCTGGAACAGAGAGAGACAAAGGATGCTAGTAATCTCCCTTCTTTTCAGCTCCCGCTCGACCAAGGTGGTGGTGAAGGAAAAGCATTGTATATCGATGCGGAAGGCACTTTCAGGCCTCAGAGACTCTTACAGATAGCGGACAGGTGCCCACTGTGACTGGAATAAAAAAATTAAAAATATATATTTTTTCTTTTACAGACCCCCCTCCCCCCCCCTTTTCCCCTTCCACGCTCTCTTGAAAGATCGTCTGGTTACATTTGCAGGTTTGGCTTAAACGGCGCCGATGTTCTGGAGAATGTAGCTTATGCCAGAGCGTATAACACAGATCATCAATCGCGGCTCTTGCTGGAAGCAGCTTCGATGATGGTGGAAGCCAGGTGATCTACTGCTTGCTTTCTGCGGATCTTGAGTTGATTAGTAGTCCATTGAGTTCGCATGTTTGGTGATCTCTCGAGGCTTTGAATCGAATAAACTGTCGTATTTTTTGGTTGATTGGGTCTGTTTCTTTCGCCGTCGATGGGCAATGCGCTTTTGTTTCGCAGTCCAGAAGCACAGATTACTCTGAAGTGACCCTCATAGCCTCACCCAAGAACATTTCTTCGGGGGTTTTGGGAGAAATATTTCAAAGTTTCTATGAGGATAATTATTTAATTCTGGAGATGGTGTATTGAGCGGGTGATAATTCTGAGCGGCATTCTCTTCAATTTGAGCAGGTTTGCGCTCATGATTGTGGACAGCGCGACGGCCCTCTACCGGACAGATTTCTCTGGGCGGGGCGAGCTGTCCGCGAGGCAGATGCATCTGGCCAAGTTCCTGAGGAGCCTTCAGAAGTTGGCCGACGAGGTAGGAAGCCTTTGACTTGCTCTCCTCTGCACACAAAAGTCAGCTCTTGGATGGCGTCTTCCATTGTTTCTCATGCTCTGTTCTTGGCGGGGGAGGTGCAGTTCGGGGTGGCGGTGGTCATCACCAATCAGGTCGTCGCTCAGGTAGACGGGTCGGCGATGTTTGCCGGGCCCCAGATCAAGCCGATAGGTGGCAACATCATGGCGCACGCCTCCACGACGAGGTGAGCCCCCATGGCGGATGCCTTCGAGCTCTGGTTTTTTGCCCCCATGGCAGATGCCTCACTCTGTTTCTCATTTTGAACAGGCTCGCCCTCCGCAAGGGGAGAGGGGAGGAACGTATCTGCAAGGTGATATCCTCTCCTTGCCTGGCGGAGGCGGAAGCCCGGTTTCAGATCTCTCCGGAGGGAGTCACCGACGTGAAGGATTGATGTCAGCGCGCGCCCATGGAGGAGTCGTTCGAGTTTCAGGCTGCTACTCTCCTTTTTTCAGAGCCTGTAAAAGCCACCCATGCCGTAGTCGTGATCTTTGTAAGATTTGTCGCCCTTTTCAGGGTTCTCTGTGATCCTCAACTCAAATCTTTCTCTTCGACTGTGCAGCCAGTGCGTTCTGATGATGACGATGATGATGATTAAGGTTTGGGGCTGCCCGTGCGATCTCATCAATCATCGTCTTCTCCCCGGCCCTCGACTTTCTGGGTTTGATCCGATAGGAAGAGAGTACGATGAGTAGGCATTGATGAGAACGGAGGTGATGGGGACATTGACTTTTCCGTCGGTCTCGGTCGGACGGGGGAGTCAAGGCCCCGTGCGGGGCATGTGGCTCTACTGTGGTCTTGTCTGGTTTCTTCCCCCTCCGCAGGAATTTATTTCTCTTAGGGCAGAAGCTAGAGTGTGCACTGTCGATGGCCACAGTCGGCCATCGGGGTACAACGGGGAAAGCCGGTGGTGGGTCTCCGCTCCCCCCCTGCAAGTGGAAAGGCGCGGGCTTTTCACCCTTTCTCTCTCTTCTCTCTCTCTCTCTCTCTCTCCTCTGTCTTATTATGGCCGTCTCCCAAGGCTGTCGAGTGAAGAGTAGCTTTTCCGCCCCCACTGTCGCACGTCCTCTTGCGCTCTTCCTGTTCTTCCTCGTCGTTGATCGCCCGTCGCCATGCCGAAATTCCCTGAGGCGGCGGCGGCGGCGCAACTTGGCGGCGTGAGCCCATCCCCAACCTCTCCGTCGTTAGGGTAGTAGCTTGTGGCCCGCCCGCCGGCGCTGGTTCGTCCCATACATGGACCTCCAGGCCCCCAAATACTTGCAAAGCCTTGCCGTCTTCCCGTCCGCTGAGGGGGTGAGCCTCTCTACTTCTTCCTCCCCATCCTCCTCTCTTTCTCAGAAGACTTGCAGCGTGCTGATCAGCTTCCTCGGCGGTTGCAGGAGTCGGCTTTCTACGGCGGCGAGAACCCGTTTGCAGACGCCTTCCCCGACCCGCTCTGCAAGCTCAATCTCAAGGAAACCTCGGACTTCGTGAGAGCGTTCCCGGCGGCGGCAGCTCAGAGGCGGAGGGAGAGCTCCACCGGGCGGCGGCTGGAGGCACCGCCCACCCCGGGCAGGCCCGTCTTCGGCTTCAGCCACGGAAATCTCTCCAGGAAGAGCGTCCCTTCCAAATGGGACGACGCAGAGAAGTGGCTGATCAGCAGCTCCTCCTGCCATGCCTCCCCCGCCCACGCCCCCAAGCCCTCCATTGCCAACCCTCCCAAGGCCGCCACCAAGCCGGCGGAGGCCCTCTTCCACAGGGTCCCCGAGGAGGCGGCACGGAGGCCAGCGGCGCCGCCAAGCTTCCCGCTGGAGGATACCCTGAAAGGTGAGCTTCCCTGCCGGCGATCGTCGGCTTCTCGCCGCCACGGAAGAGGGCCTGGATTTGGTGGATTCTCAGCGCATTGAGCCCTTTCCTGTTTCAGACAAATTCACGGACAATGTGGAGCCGATCTTCCCCGGCTTGCAGTGCTCCGAGCCGGCCGGAGAGGTCTTCTTGTTCAGGAACTCGATCCGCGAACCAGCAACGAGGGTCGGCGGCGCCGCCACGGCGGCGCAGCACAGAGACGTCGGAACGGAGATGACCCCCCTCGGGAGCTCGACCACGTCAAGATGCCACACCCCCTTCAAGACGTCGTCTCCGGCGAGGCACAACACACCGGCGGACAGGTCCGGACCGCTCGCGCCGCCGGCCAGCTCCGGCGTTGACATCTCGGAGATCAAAGAGTGCCACTTTGCGAACCTCGCGCTCGGAGCCCCCTTCGACCTGATGGTATCCAACTGGAGCTCCAGGGAGGAGGAGGAGGAGGAGATATCGAAGAGCCTGCGGCACTGCGAGGTGGGCGGCGCCGGGAGGAAGAGCATGGCCGAGTTGAAGGCCTCCGCCTGGGAAGATGAGGAGAAGAGCAAGATCTGCGTCAGGTACTGAGAGAAGAGGAGAGGGGAGCTCGATGCTCCGAAGAAGTTGGAGCCCTCTTAAGTTTCTTTCTCATCTCATCTGGGTTATCGTGTTCGACTTGCAGATACCAGAGGGAGGAAGCGAAGATCCAGGCTTGGGTGAATCTCCAGAGCGCCAAGGCAGAGGCGGAGTCGAGGAAGCTCGAGGTAACTCAATTCTCACGCCTCACCCTCCCTTTCAGTTGTTCTTCTTCCTCTGCAAGGAGGATCAGAGCTCTTCCTCCCTCCCTCCCTCTCTCTCCTCTGCAAGAAGGGCACGTTAGGGTTGCTGTTCCTTCCGTCCTGCATTTCCTCGACAGATTCCGGATGATGCCCGTATAAGGAAAACGTGAGAATTGGACTGGGTTTGCGTCAGATCCGAGCCAATGCCGTTTTGTCAAATCCGCCGGCGAGAATATGTGATTATTATTATTATTATTATTATTATTGTGATTGCTAGCCATCTCCATCTTCATGGTCGTTCTGCTTGAAGACGATCGGATCCTCTGCTTGGTTTGTTGATGGACAGGTGAAGATACAGAAGATGAGATCGAATCTGGAGGAGAAGTTAATGAAGAAGATGGCGGTGGTGTACAGGAAGGCGGAGGAGTGGCGGGCGGCGGCGCAGCTGCAGCACTCCCAGGAGACGCTCAAGACGAGGGAGCAGGCGCAGAAGATGAAGGCTCTCCCTCTCCAGGGGAGCTCCCTCGCCGGCCACCACCGGGCCTGCGGCTGCATTCCCCTCCACCCTCACCAGCACCAGGGCCACCACCACCACCACCACCACCACCACCATCGCCACATCTGATCGGATCGGAGGGAGGGTATTAGTTGGCATCTTCAACGGCGAAGAAGAAGATGACTGCAGAAGCGTCTCTCTCTCTCTCTCTTCTCTCTCCTCTCTTTCTCTCTCCTCCTGGGGGCGTTCAAGGATTGCTGTTCCGGGACATTTTTTACGCAAAGATCATATGCTGTTCGAGATTTGCGGGGGTTGGCGACGACAGATCCTGTTCCTGTTGACCTCCTCCTCCTCCTCCGGTCAAGCGATTCTGCCTTTTCTGGCTGTGAAAGGTCCTCCGCTCTCTCTCTCTCTCTCTCTCTCTCTCTCTCTGTTTGGTTGCGCGGCTGTCTTCTTCATCGTTCCTGTCGTGCACAGTTCGATGTATTTTGAATACTCCAGGATAGCAGGGGAGAGCGGCCTTCTTTGACTGGAGCTGCAAGTCGGTGCTGCCCGCTTGTCCCCTGGTTCTCTTTAGCTTCAGAGAACCCTACAGAGAGAGAGAGAGAGTGCTACTGCTGCTGCCGCTGCTCTCTCTCTAGTGGGAGCTCGATTTCCCATCGGGCGATACACCTATCTTCACAGCTACGAGGACAGAGAAGAGAGAGAGAGACTGTCAGTGAGAGTGTTTCTTCTGTCCCTCGTTCCTCTCTGAACAAGCGAGAGAGAGAGAGAGAGAGAGAGAGAGAGAGAGAGTGCGTCGTAGACACCTTCCTCGATCGGGTTTCCTGCCCCGTTTCGAGGGAGCTGCGCCCTCCGGGAGGAAGAAACCCCGGCAAAGACGCTTTCCAATTTTTTTATTCTTTATTCACTCAAATTATATTTATCACATAATTTTATTACGAATTTGTCACACCCCAACACGTTCTATCCGGAATCCGTCGCACCCGTCCCATGCAAATAAATAATAAAAATATTATTTTCCCTCTTGGAGTTATAATTTCACCAAATTACCACCGAAATATTATTTTCTTGGCCCTCTCGGTTTGTTGTTATGTATTAAATATTTTGTATGAGTTCTACACCATAAACTATTATATCACCACAAATATAAAATAAAAATATGGAATTTTCCGCTTTGAATTCCAATTTCACCATAATATTATTTTCTTGGCACTCTCGGTCAATTGTTATATATTAAATATTTTTTATGAGTTCTACACCATAAAATACTTTATTAAAAATCGAAAATGAAAAATAAAAAAATATGGAAATTTCCACTTTGAGATATAATTTCACCAAAAACATTATTTTCATAGCACTATCAGTCTATTGTTATATATTAAACATTATATATTACAAAAAATACAAAACTTCATCTCTCTCCACAGGACGGGAAGGAGACGAACAGCCAGCAGGGTGGGAGGGGGAGGAAGAGAGAGAAACAGATGGAGAGAGAGAGAGAGATGGGGGGAGTGTGTTGGATTTCTGGTGACTCGATCCCCCTGATCTGACTCAGACCGTCTGATCTTCTGCCTGGCGTTAGATGAGATTCTGCTAGGGTTTACTTACCTGGGCCCGGCCCATCCCGGAAGAGCCCACCTTTAAAATTGGGCCGGAGTTTTATGGGCTCATGATGGGGAGGGCCACTGAAAGACCGATCGAAAGTTTGGCTCCTTGATGAGTCGAGACCTTCTGCGATGATCCCGTTGGTTGCCGCTTAGCTAGCGCGGACGAGACGAAGAAGAAAGAGAGGCGGCAGAGGGCGGCGGTAGATGTGGGGTTTTTCTTCTTCTTCCGTCCTCGTTTTGTTACTGTTTTGCTGCTGCTGCTTTCCTCTCCCTTCTCCCTTCTCTCTTCTTCTTCGTCCGAGTGCCGCAGCCTCTTTTCTTCGTCTTCCATTCGGCTTGTTCCGCCTCTGCCTTGGGGATTTCGGTGCGATGGCCGCCGCCCAATCTCTCTATGCTTGCATTGAGAATTTTGAGGAGGTGGGGTGGTGATCTTCGCAACGTCTCTCGTTTTGGTGTTGGTTCTGATCATCTCCCGTTCAAATGGTTTTTCGCTGATACCAGACACTTGGCCCCGCGTCTGTTCGAAAAAACACTTCTCGATCACCCTCGTCATTTCTGCACTCATTAGAAATGGTTCATTCGCTTTCCACTTTTGGGGATTACCCTAGGACATGGTATTTTCATGTCTTTTTTGGTGTATTTTTTATTTTCCTGTGGCACTTTTCGACTGATCAAGATATTTTTCTTTTGTACTACCTTTTAATGGCGCTGACAGAGGAGTATGCATGAATGGCGTGGAGACCTATCTACAAGAAGGTCAGATCACCTTCCTTTGATACCATGATAATGGAATAGTGTAGTTTGTATCATTTCTATTTCATCTTTCACTATGATATTCAGTCCGTGAAACATGGCCACTTTGATCCTTCAGTTGTGACAGCATTTTAAAGAACGGTTTTTGTCATTGCGAGTATATGAAATAACTGATGCTATATTCATTCACGAAAAAAATACACCCACATCGTATATGAACATATTCCTCACTTGCCTGTGCATTACAGTAAGCTGTTGTGTGTTTTTTGGGTCAGAAAAAGGAGCACTCGTGTGTCTGCTGAGTTCCAAATGGTCTCCAATTCCATGCCCTGATGTCGATTGTACAGTCATTATAGCTTTGTAAAATCAATCCTGAATCAACTCTTGGAAAAAAACCTCTTTCTTACCCAATGGCTAGCAGTCTCATGAAGATTTTTGAACATGACAGTGCCAAGGCATCTCGTGATGTGCTCCAAAGTTACGGTTTACTAACCAGTAAATATGGAATAATTATTGTGAGGAGCTTCTTCGTGTCGCTACTTATGCTTGCTTATTATTTGTGCGTCAAGGTTTATGAACCAAAAATGTTAACATCCTGGATCAGTTGAGAACAGTGTGAGGTTGATTCGTTTACGGAGAATCTCAGTCTTTCACTCACCATGCAGTTTGGTCGGCCAAAAGCAAGCGGTCTCTGTCCCAGTTGGGTCGGAGCGTTGGAGATGACAAGTCCTGTTGCTAAGAGTTTTCTGTTCTTTGATCATATAAAGAAGACATCCAGTAAGTCATGCCAACTTTACCTTGTCATTTCTCTGGATAATTACTGTTAGTGCATGTATGCCCGAGGACGTCTCATGAACAATGATTTTTTAGTTGCCTTTAAAGAAGTATGTGTTTTTCTACGGCGTCTCCTGTCATTGAAACTTATAGTTCTTGCTGCAGGTTTTCCAGTTAGTGCGGGATCTGTCCCTGGCTCCTGCTGCCCATTACTCAATCAGCATCCTATCGTTAGGTGCGGTGGCTTTTATTTTTTCCATTCACTTTCCAGTGTTTCTCTCACGTCAACTGCCTCCTCTTTCTGGAGGCAAAGCTTTTAATCATCATGTGAGCTGGTAAATGGCTTCAATTGCTTTTGGTTATTACATGCCATGGGTTTCTTCTCTCCTCAAGAATTTATGCTACATTTTCCCTTTCTTTTTTTTCTTCTTCTTTGTTTGTATATGAAAAAAACGAAAATGTTGAGATGAACTTTGTCTGAATTTCGTACATATGTAACCGAGGCTCCTGTTCTTTTACAGGCATTTCCATGCTACTGCCGTTCAATCCGCAAAGAGAAAGGAGCAGCCCAGTAATGGTAGAGATAGATCTTTGAAAGTAAGAAAGGAGAAGCCTCCTCCTGTGGAAGTTCCATACGTGCCTCCCAGACCAAAGCCTCATGTTGAAGCACCGTACATACCTCCCAGACCAAAGCGACCCGTGAAACCTCTGCCTGATAGAACTGTGGAAATTTTCGATGGCATGACTGTGGTTGAACTTGCGAAACGAACAGGTCAAACTATTGCTCATCTACAAGAGATCCTAGCAAATGTAGGTGAGAAAGTCGTCTCGGAGTTTCATCCCATCGGCATTGATGTCGCTGAGTTGGTCGCAACGGTAAGCTTCAATACATATCTTTCCTCTACTGGATTACTTATTCTAAAACGATGCCATTGAGAATTTTACCCTTTTGGTGCTGGTTCTATATGACCATGTGGACACCCACACGTTTATATTTAGCCTGACTTGCGCCTCCCTTTATATATCATTCGAGGCATCTGTCTCAGAAATGACTTCAATTGCTCATCCGAATCATAGCTTCTCACTCTGAATAAGGCGTCTCATGGTTGTAGATATTTCCTTGTTTTAAATCCCTACCCTTGCTTCCCGCTGAACTTGCATCTGGCCCAGAAGTAGCCTTGTAACTATTCAACATGATCTTGCATCCCCTACATCGTATCTATTTCACAAGATGTACTACTAGCTGAACTGTCTCATTCTGCTATGAAGGCTAGTCTCAACACTGGTTTATCTGTAAAATTCTTCGTGGTGCATTTGTTAATGGTGTCCGAATCAAGAGATTTCTCCCTGTCTGTTTTGTTGATTTGAGTCTATATCTTTCTGGCTGCATGCCATTGGCTCGGCCCACATCAATCATCCTCTTCTCGTGATTTTCCCACGGAGGATCACAACCTCGAAATATCACTAGGTTAGGCCCACTTACTCTTGCTTACGCATTACAGACTGATACATCACCTTTTGACATGTCTATGGGTTCTTCGTATGTCTCAGACATATCAAAAGATAGAGCCATGATCTTCATAAAATTCGAGCACCTTCTGTGAGTTGAAATGAAAAATGCTCTTTTTCTTTGTGTGTTCATATCCATCTCCATGGGCCTTGTTGATATTCTCTCTCGTTTTGTTTCCCGCCACCATTGCCCACTGGCTGTAACATGGCACATTGATGTTTTTGGCGTTGGTTTCCTCGCATTCATGCCTTGTAACTGCTGGTGCCGATTAACCTTGTCTCCAGGAAGTGGGAGTTAATGTAAGAAGGCTACACTCGAGTGAGGGTTCGGTGCTCGAATTTCGGCCCCCCGTTGTGACTGTCATGGGTCATGTGGATCATGGGAAGACTTCTCTTCTAGATGCCCTGCGGCAGACCTCTGTTGCAGCCAAGGAAGCCGGAGGCATTACGCAGCACCTGGGCGCATTCGTCGTGGCCATGCCTTCGGGAGCCTCGATCACATTCCTCGACACGCCCGGCCACGCTGCTTTCAGCGCGATGCGCGCAAGGGGCGCCGCAGTCACCGACATTGTAGTCCTGGTTGTAGCGGCAGATGATGGCGTGATGCCCCAGACTCTCGAGGCTATGCGGCATGCAAAGGAGGCCAACGTGCCGATTGTGGTGGCGATCAACAAGTGCGACAAGCCGGGTGCCGATCCTGAGAGGGTGAAAATCCAGCTGGGCTCGGAGGGTTTGCCCTTGGAGGAGATGGGTGGCGATGTTCAGGTTGTGCAGGTCTCTGCGTTGAAGGGGACTGGCCTTGACAGACTGGAGGAGGCCCTGCTCCTCCAGGCCGAGATGATGGAGCTGAAGGCACGGATAGATGGGCCCGCACAGGCCTACGTAGTGGAAGCGAGGCTCGATCGGGGCCGCGGGCCTCTGGCTACGGCGATCGTGAAATCGGGGACTTTAGTCTGTGGGCAGCATGTTGTTGTGGGGGCGCAGTGGGGAAGGATCAGGGCTATCAGAGACATGGCGGGAAATGTGCTTGAGAGCGCAAGGCCTGCGATGCCGGTTGAGATTGAAGGACTCAAGGGGCTTCCCATGGCGGGGGACGATGTCACAGTTGTGGGAACTGAGGAGAGAGCGAGGCTGCTCAGTGACGGAAGGAGGAAGAAGCAGGAGAAGGACCGGTTGAAGATGGTCAACGAGGAGAGGTACCCACTGGCGGAACCAGGTGCCGAGGAAGACGAACCAGAAAAACCGCAGACCGTTGAGCTACCCATCGTCGTCAAAGCTGATGTTCAGGGATCTGGGCAAGCGGTGAAAGATGCTTTGAAGAGTCTCAATAGTCCTCAGGTGATAAAACGCCGGTCAAAATTCCGCCTTTCTTTTTCTTTTTCTTTTTTTTATAATCTGCAATTTAATCATGAATTCGCAGTATAATTCATGAGCTCCCAGTACTCATTCATATTACGGCGATGTACATATATCGTGTGATATGTGGGAATAATATGTGTATATATATACCCGGATGAATCTCTTGCCTATGCTCGGCTGTTTTAGTTCGTCCCCCGGGCTGCAGGACTCTCTTTATTGTTGATTCATCTTAATCTTCCCCTGTTTCTTTGCAGGTGTTTGTGAATGTCGTCCATGTGGGCATCGGCCCCATCGGTCAGTCCGACGTCGATCTTGCGCATGCCTGCGGGGCCTGCATAGTCGGCTTCAACATACGAACTCCGCCGAGCTCCCTCAGCCTCGCCGCCGACCGGGCAAGCGTGAAGGTGAAAAATCTCCGCCGACCCCCGATTGAATATGTCTGCATTTAGATCTATTGCTTACATCGATGATGGAAACTAACGAACTTTATAGATTTGAATCGTTTATAGAACAGAAATAGATGGAAGCTAGCTAGCTTTATAGTTTTGAATTGCTTGTAGAACAGAGATAGATGGAAGCTAGCTAGCTTTTATGGATTGAATCGTTTATAGAACAGAGATGGATGAAAAAAATTAAAGCTTGGGAGGTGGCGGTGATGGCAGATAATCATCCACCGGGTGATCTACCATCTGCTGGAGGAGATGGGGAACCTGATCGTGGAGCGGGCGCCGGGGACCTTCGAGACGCAGGTGGCGGGGGAGGCCAAGGTGCTCCACATCTTCGAGCTCAAGGGGCGGAGCAAGTCGAAGGGCCCCGACGTGGTGATCGCCGGCTGCCGGGTCCTCGACGGGCGGCTGGTGCGCGCCGCCACCCTCAGGCTGATGCGGAGCGGGGAGGTGGTCTTCGAGGGTTCCTGCGCCTCCCTCAAGAGGGAGAAGCAGGACGTCGAGGCCGTCGAGGAAGGCGGCGAGTGCGGCCTCGTCATCCAGGACTGCCACGACTTCCGCGTCGGCGACATCGTCCAGTGCCTCGAGCAGGTCAACCGCAAGCCCAAGTTCGTCTCCTCCGAGAGCGGGGCCGTCCACATCGAGTGTTGACCCCCGGCTCCCCCCATTTTTCTCCGCCGGCCATTGCCCCCTGGTCAACCCTCCTCTCCTCCAGATAATTTACAGGCAGCAAGGAGCAGCAGCAGGAAGAGGAAGAAGAAGAAGAAGAAGAGCTCTGCCGAGATGGGTTCTTTGGATCTTGTAACATGCGGTTTATTGTTCTATACACGATGGGTATTGATTTTCTCTCTCCCCCCATGGACGCCGAGGACACGGGAGAGCAACAGTTTGTCATCGGAATACCTCATAATCTTCAATGAATAACCTTACAGAGTCTGTGTGATGATGCTGATGCCCTCGACTTTCTCTCTCCTCGCTACCCCCGACACACAGAAACAGAGAGAGAGAGAGAGAGGAATTTGTAATGGATTTGTGCTTGTGGGCTGGCCATTGCAGGCTTTCCAGTCTCTGCTGTGGAAAGGAACGGGCTGAGCCCGTTAAGAGAGCTCTTCACCCTCCCCCCACCCCCACCCCCCCTCTCTCTCTCTCTCTCTCTCTCTTTCTCTCTCTCTTCTCCTTACAGGCTATCCGCGTCCTTCTCCCTTGCTCTCTCTCTCTCTCCGGCTGCCGTTCGGTCCCTGTGTGTGGAGGCTCTGCCGGTCCCGGAGATGTGGAAGCGATCGGCGTCCTTCGTGCTGGACAACCGGCCCCAGCAGAGCGCCGGCGGAGGCGGCGCAAGGGAACAAACCCTAGCCGCGGCCGCCGCCACGGCGGTGTCGGGGTACTACCAGACGCGGGCGGAGCATCACGTCTTGGTGTCCGAGGACTGGCTGGAGCAGGCGGAGGAGGCCGCGTGTGGGAGAGGGGAGTCGGAGGCGGCCGCCGGCAGGGGGAAAGGCGGCGGCGCGTTCGATGTGATCGACGAGTTCAACTTCTGGCGGAAGAAGCCCGACCTGGCGGAGGCCGTGGCGGCGATCATGGCGCTTTCGGTGGTGATCCGATCGAGCGAGGCGACCACCATGATGGAGCTGGAGATCGAGCTCAAGAAGGCCTCCGACGCTCTCAAGGTAGATGGCGCGCGAGCCCTCTCTCGTATTTACTTCGTTGCCACCTTCTCGCCCTCTCTCTCTCTCTCTCTCTGTACCAGTGATCTAGGGTTGTTGATGTACATATTCTTCGCTCAAATGCGATACCTCAGAACTTTCCTGTCGATTTTCAGCAGAGTTTTTGCAGTGGGAAGGGTTCTAGGAGATGCATCAGTCCCTCTCCCTAATCAAAAATTAGTTAGGAAAGGGGGAGGAGCTCCTAATCTGTTCTTCTTGTATCCATTCTCCCTGGAAGCTGGTGAAAATGTCGAATCCAATCGCTTGAGCAATGGAGTCGGGCTCCGGATTCGAAGGCAGCTTCAAAAACATTTGCTAGGGATTCTTGGGAAGAGCAGTGCCAGGGATTCGGATGAACATTTCATACAGAAAAAATGTTTTGCATCCCCTTCTCTGAATGAATCTCCTGTCAGCCGGCTTCCTGAAATCCTGGGTTCAAATCCCCTGTTCTAGGCTAGAAGAAGTTGCCCCGGAGTGCATGTTCTTGGACAACCGACCCTCAAGTCAACGCGATGTAGAGAAGGGGATGCAATCCCATCACCCCCCCGGTCAACCAGTTCTGGTCGACTGGGGCAGGTGGAAAAACGGAGAGAATTTGCTGGGATGACAAAATGTTCACTCCCTTTTTATGTTCTGTCGTTCTATCCGTTTTTGGCGTTCTTGGTTGGGATTCAGGCGATGACCAAGCTCTCGGGGTGAAATGCTTCTGACTTGCGTCTGCACCAGTCCTCAGATCTTACCTCCATCTCCCTCTCCGCCGGCTGCGATCTGTTCACGCGCTACGTCACCAGAACCAAGGCCCTGGAGTACGAGGACTTTGACGCCGCCAAGTCCCACCTGATTGAGCGCGGGGAGAAATTCGGCGAGCTTTCTCTCAGGGTAATCCTCTCTCTCTCTCTCTCTTTCTCTTTCTCTCTATCTCTGCATTTCATCTTCGACGTTGTCCTCTGCATATCCAGGCGCGTCGGATCATCGCGATGCTGACGCAGGACTTCATCTTCGATGGGTGCACCATCCTGGTGCATGGGTTCTCGCGGGTGGTGCTGGAAGCTCTGAGGATGGCGGCGATGAACAGGAAGATCTTCCGGGTCCTCTGCACAGGTCCGGCGGCGCTCTCTCTCTCTCTCTCTCACTCACACACACACATTACTTACTCTTTCTCTCTCCCTGGCGGCGCCGCCGGGTTGGTGTTGAGAGTCTTCTCTCTCTCTCTCTCTCTCTCTCGCTACCTCTCTGTGCGTGTGCAACAGAGGGGAGGCCGGACAGCACGGGGGTGAGGGTGGCGAAGGAGCTGGGGGAGGTGGGAATCCCGGCGAAGCTTCTGATCGACTCGGCGGTGGCGTACGCCATGGACGAGGTGGACATGGTCTTCGTCGGCGCCGACGGCGTGGTGGAGAGCGGCGGGATCATCAACATGATGGGCACCTACCAGACCGCCCTCGTCGCCCACTCCATGAACAAGCCCGTCTACGTTGCCGCCGAATGCTACAAGGTCCTCTGCCTTCCCTTTCTCTCTCTCTACCCTCTCTCTCTTCTCTCTCGCTAGAGGAGTTACTGGTGGGTTTTGGGGCAGTTTGCGAGGCTGTACCCGCTGGACCAGAAGGACCTGGCGCCGGCGCTGCGGCCGATAGACTTTGGGGTGGCGGTGCCGGCGGGGGCGGAGGTGGAGACGACGGCGAGGGACTACACGCCGCCGCAGTATCTGACGCTCCTCTTCACCGACCTCGGCGTCCTCACCCCCTCCGCCGTCAGCGACGAGCTCATCAAGCTCTACCTTTAGTTGCTGCACCTTTAGACCTTTAGACCTTTAGAGAGAGATTGATAAAAGAGAGAGAGAGATTGATGAGAAAGAGCAGCCGTCGCCACTCTTCTTCTACCACCATCTCTTTAGTCTCTCTGCTCTGTGTGTGCGCGCCTGTTCTCTCTCTCTCTCTCTCTCTCTTTCTCACTCTTTCTTAGGACTCTTCTTCCTGTCGTACCTTTGCAGGTCGGCGGTCTGTCTACACGTTTATCAGGCTGAGCTGCTGAGTTCGGTTCAGAAAGAAAAGGTAGCCTCGGCCCGGTCCAAGACTCTCTCTCTCTCTTTCTAGCTCTAGGACGGCGGGGTCTGGAGCTGCCACGTAGTGGAATGCACGTTTTCCACGGAAAACGAACACGTCCGCCTGATACGGAACCGCCCGTGGGTGAAGGCCCACAGAGAGAGAGAGAGAGAGACTGCGGAGAAAACAAAGAGTCACGTGGAAATAAACTGCAGGGGTTGCTCAATAATGCACATCCCGAGAGAGAGAGAGAGAGATGATGTGGTGGATTTGCCGTTAGGAGGTGGAGAGTGGTTGACCAGAGAAATAGGATCGGACGGTCAGATCGTCCGAATAAACTGTGGGCCAATTTCTCCAGGCTAGTTATGAGCCTAGAAACTCAAATAATTATAATAATAACTGCGTCAGACAGAGGATATGTGACACGTGTGTAGATAGATATATCTCCCACGGCCCCCCTTCTCTGTCCTACGCCCGCCGGGCTGTTGACCCCTCTCTGTACTAATTAAACCATGTGACGCGGAGAGAGAGAGAGAGCAGAAGAGAGAGAGAGTGGCTGGGTACTATAAGAAGGGTGTGATCTCCCGTCTAGGAGGACCTCTTCCAAATTGTTTCTAGAGGGAAAAAAGGATGATCCCAAGATCGGGGAGCATCTTCACGGTGGGGGAGGAGGGCGAGAGGGCGACGCCGCCGCCGGCCATGGCGACGGCGGCGGTGGCGGGAGTGAGGATCCCGAGGGGGCGGCACCTCGTGGGGCTGCGGATTCTCATCCAGAGCCCCTCCTCCTCCTACTCCTCGCGGGAGTTGAAGGTTGTGGCCAAGTCCTCCGTGAGGCTGCCTTCCTCCCCCTCCGCTTCTCCGGCGAGCTTCTCCTCCTCCTTCCTCAAGGCCTGCCGCCTCTGCAACAAGGAGCTCTCCCCTCTCGACGACGTCTACATGTACAGGTACACACAGAGAAAGCCAGAGAGAGGATTAAGAGAGAGAGAAAAGAGAGAGGGAAGGAGTAGTATGACGAACCAAGGAGAAGCCTAAGAAGAATCCTCGATGAATCAATGAATGAATGGATGAATCAATGAATGTTTTGTGGTTGGTTGCAGGGGAGATCAGGGATTCTGCAGCGTGGATTGCCGGTGCCGGCAGATCTCGCTGGACGAGAGGAGGGAGCTCGAGGCCGCCGCCAAGGCCCGGCTCCCGACGCCGCCGCGCCTCCGCTCCGGCCACCGCTTCCGCGACTCCGACCGCCGCCGGCGAATCCTGGCCGTGTCGTAGCCCCCCTCACCGAGCCATCCCTCAAAAACTATACATAATCCTCCAAAAATATCCTCCGGAATCTGATCCTCCCGCCCTGCAATTTCACCAGCTCCCGCCGATCTCTCTCCTCCGACGCCGGCGACGGTGACGGGGAAGAAAGGGAAGGGAATGGAAGGGAAGGGAAGAGCCTCTCTCTCTCTCTCTCTCTCTCTCGCTCTCTGTTGTCTCTCTCTCTCTCTCGCTCTTTGTTGTCTCTCTCTCGCTCTCTGTTGTCTCTATCTCTCTCTCTCTCTCCGGGAGGAGCTCTTTTCCTTCTCCCACCGCCTCTTTTTTCTTTTTTTTTTGTTACCAGAGATTATAGAAAAGACGATGAAGCGATTAGGGTTTAATCAGTCCGGTGTCATCCTCCTCCTTTTAAAATGGCCCCACCAACCGGACGTCGCCATCTGTCAGTTTCGCCTTGATTTCCCGCGGGGTGTGGATGTACTGCTCCCGGAGCATGTGGACGATTCCATATTGGAGTGGGGTCACCGCTTCCCTCCGGGCAGTGAGCTTAACCGACGGGAAGGAATATCTCTGATGAGTCGGATCACGAGATGGGAGGTGGTCCCCACCTGTCTTGTCACTTTCTGTCGCGCAAAACCGGGAGGGCCCCACTCCCTGAATGGTGGGCAGTCAACTGAAGTTAATGGAGGTGGGGACGCGGGGTGCCGTCTGACGTAGCTGGGCCCCACTCGGGGAAAACCAATTGATTGTCTGGTCCAGTGGGCCCCAAGATGGGGCCTTTCTTGGTAGACCACGTGGAGTGGGCCCCAATCGCGCGGCGAATCTGGAAAGATCTCGATCCTCGAAAAGAAAGGGCAGGTCAGCGTGGGGGGGGGAACCTAGGCCGCCTGCGATGTGGGCCGAGATGGGCTTATATGACGGCCGGGCCCATCCACGGCACAGTAATGCAACTTCTGTAGCCGTTCATCGGACGCCTTAGAATTTTGGTCAGCCACAATGACGCTTCTCCCTGTCTTCTCGCAGGGGAGAGAGAGAGAGAGAGAGAGAGAGAGTTTGATCGAGGATGTCGACAACATGGGCAATATCAAGACATGCAACAGATATGGAGGATTAAGCAAATGGGTGCTACATATAGAGAAATATATTGCACATTATCCTAGATTGGAGCCTCTATTTTTCAAAAGTATGGCCAATTCGCCTCTTGTACCTCACCCCACCCAAGAAAAAGGCATAGTAAAGTGAAAATAAAGTACAAACAACGCACCAGCAAGCGACATTAAACATAAATAATCAATAAGTTAGCTATTTAATATCTCAAAAGGAGAAGAACAATGTAAAAATTACGGAAGAATTATGTACTCAAAGAGTGTACCAAAAATTCTACGTGTGCATCTTCCCCAATTGAACATATCCTAACAACTACGATTGTATGATGCAAAATAACAAATCATGAGATTTAGTTAAAGCTAGAGATGTGTTTATGATGGGAGGCTTTAATGGAAAACAAATGACTTGCCCACCCATTAGAAATGAGGATGACCCATTAAATGACCTAAAATGGATCAAATAGAAGAAAACTTAAATAAATAGCCATAGTCAAAGGATTGATATGTAGAATTATGGCCATAGATAGTTGAGGAATATAGTAAGAGTGAAGCTAGGAGGAAGTATTAGAATCTATCACCTACCAATCACATAATGCCCCCATTGACCATGAAAACAAACATAATTTGTGGATGAGAAAATATATGTAAGTAATAAGCAGTAATTTGTCGTATGGTGAGTGACTTTGATCTAAAATACTAACATTTTCTATGGAGCGATGATGAAGAAACAAAAAAGAGCATTTAGCTCTTGTGAAGATAAAATATTTATATTTTTTTTTGTTAGTGAGGTAAGCATGGTATTTGATTGGTGCTATAATTCATAAATGAGGCACTAATTTCCTTTCTAATACCTTGGCTGCTATTTCTGATGCTTGCTTAACAACCATGGACACTAAGCTCTAAACCTTGTCTCTCATGAGTGTGTAAGCTATGCTTAATCAATGATGATTGGAATATATTATACATTAATCTTTGAAGAATTGTCATGTAGTCAAGGACCAGACGCATCCCATTTCTCTCTCTCTCTCTCTCTTATTTCATGAAAAGGAGTTGAGTGACCATGTGACAGTAGGGTCACCAACTTATTAAGATAAGCACCACATAACAAGATAAGAAAGAGACAAAACCACGACATTTTCGCAACAAACAAGCTGCTACAACGACAACCAAATGACCATTTTCTGACTATTCTAAGCTGTAAAAAAGTTTGAAAATGAAGTATATGTACAACTATTAACATTTGCATTTGTATCTTAGACTCATACATCTGAACTTTCACTAATCTTAGAGAAATCTAAATTAAAGATTACTATGGCCCCAACTGCACCAAGTTTCTATCTTCAAAGCCCAAGGTGCACATTCATGAAAACTCATTTTTAATTAAAAAAAAAAGGTGAGCAGTTATTAATTATTTACATTTTTTAATGAACTCTAGAAGGTCGTCACTAATGGTGTTGAGTATAGGATCCACCTTTCTAGAATAGTGAATCTAAAAAACGGTAAACTAGGGTTAGAAGGGTAGCATCTCGGACCTCTAGAGTCACAAATCTATAGTAGATACATGCTGAAGCCTTGCTATTCAACAATTCTGCTATGTAAGTGGGACACTATAAAATTAATATATATATATATATATTTATTTATTTATCTACATAAAAGGATTCGACAGTTCAATGAAATCTTATCCCTCTATGCTGCTCTGAGAAGGCTGATTCATACTACTCGCTTGTACAAGTGACTTAGAGGAGGCATGCTCATTCACAATAGGCTCACTAGCCGTCATAGCGAGAGAGAGAGAGTGAAAAGACCAATGGCGTACCCAGCTCCCTCTAGTTTTGAGAGTATAACCCACATGCCATGATAGACCAAAAGGAAGCGGAGCAAGATGGAGTGAATTCGAGAGTCTGCAAGGTCTCGGACGGGGGAGCTGTACCTGATGAAGAACGTCGCTGTCATGGAAAGAGAGGCGGTAAGCCCAGTTGAAGGCGGAGAAGAAAAAGGATGTGGGGCCCTGACTGATGTTCACGAATGGAACGGAGGAGTCACAGGTTGCGAGTACTAATCCTTCGCAAGCTCTTCGCGACTAAGGATAATAGATTGTCAGCAAAGTTGCGATTTTTCCATCGGGTCAGAAGCAAGGAAGAGCTATCGGCAGTCGAACGCCTTCCAAAACCCACCCGCTGATAATCATCGATGAGTGGACTTTCGTCTCATTCATTCGCAAGGTGGTGGTCGTCGCCGCCGACGAGGGCCGTGCAACTTATGCCAAATATTTACGCTAATTAGGAAACCCACGTCCCGTATCATCTTCATAGATTTGCAGACGACCACACACACACAAGAAGAAACGAAGAAACGAAGAAACCAAGGGAGGACGAGTCTCAAACGCAAGACACTGTAAGAACGGGAAGAACAGCAACAACCACTCCCCACTCCTCCCCCCCTGCGAGTTTCGGGAAGGGACGATAAGCCTTGAATTTCTTACATTCTCGTCGAGCCCAGATGCTGGAGCTGTCTCAAAAGATGGCCGGAGCCGGCGGCATGTCGTTGAAGCACCACAGGTCGATCGGGTTCTCGCACTCTTGGACCCAGCCGCCGGCGCCGCCGCCGTAGAGGATCTCCACGGAGTCGCCAGCGCACCCGTTGAGGAAAGGGACCTGAAGGAAGTTGACGTAATCGAAATCGGGAATCTCTGCGGATAGATCGAACGGCGCGCTCCCCTCCTCCAAGGCGACATCGGTCTTCAGCTTCTTCAGCGGGCTCTCATCTTCGAACCTAGTCGAGGCGAAGACCGAGTTGATCTCCGCAGCTTTGGACTCCTGAGTTGCCCAAGCGAAGCTCGAACAGTCTGAGTTGCTGCCCCCAGTGGAGGTGAAACAATGGCCTCTCTCATCGGAATTGGAGTACTGGGGCTGCTTGACAATCACTTCCTTCTTCTCCTCGACGAACTCGAGCTCGCAGGAGGAGGACCCACGATCGAGATCGCCCTCAAGATTGAAGCTTTGATAGGAATTGGCCATCCCCACGGGGTTTACGGGCTTTGGAACCTTCGGGCCGGCGGCGGCGGCTCTGGGAGTGGGCCTCCGGGCACCTGCCGCCTCGGGGAAGTTGACCTTGGCCTTCTGACCACGGATCCTGCGGGCTTCGCAGTCGTAGGCCCGAGCGGCTTCCTCGGCGGTGTTGAAGGTGCCGAGCCAGACGCGGACGCCCTTCTTCGGGTCCCTGATTTCCGCCGCCCACTTGCCCCACGGGCGCTGCCGGATGCCCCGGTACTGGTTTCTCCTCTTCCTCTTGGAGCTTTTCTCGGCGAGACCCTCGGGTTCGGCTGGTTCAAGACGACGGAACGGAAGAAGACCCATCAGCCATGAATCAGGTCGAGATCAATTTCTGGAACTTAAAAAACCATTGTATGAGATCACGCCAGATTTTCAGAAATTAAATTAAACCGAACGTAGAAACGAATTGGATCGTCCTCCGTCGCGACGAAGCCCTACTCCAACTTTAGAAGATCATAGAGAAATCGTAGTACGATAAAAAAAACAATAATAATAATTCGCAGGTACGCATGAAACCATCAGATCAATCCGATGAACTAGGGCATGCCCCTGTTTCGACATCGGTACGAAGAAACAGCAAACAGACCGCCGATGAACTGGGATTTGATATCTCGACTAGACGAGGGAGGCTGAAGAAACCGAGGGAATTGAGACTAGGAAAACCGTCTGGAGATGGTCGAAACCCGAGAGCGGAGCAAAGCTGTGACAAAAACCCTTCTGAGGAGAGAGCATCCTTCGGGGAGCCGCACGGAACATTCGGAACCAACTTCCGAAAGGACCAAGGAGTTTAGAAGAGCGTATGATGGTAAATAAGGCCCAAATCTTCCAAAGACTCGGCTCCATGAAGGTAGATATGCCTGAGACGGAGAAAAACCATAAACAATCCTCCGCGATGGCCCTCCGAGAACCAACCAGAAGATCCAAATCAAGGGAAAGAAGGTGGATCATATTAAAAAATCAGGCCGATTAAAGGTGGACAAAGAAGATTCCACCCACCCCACAATTTCAGGATGCGAAGCTACCAAAAAACTGCAGAAAAATGGAATAATCGGACCCAAGGAGAGAGAAAAAAGTAGAAAAGGGTCGGTCGCTAATTAATCTAACTGGTACACGATTCTGTGCAGGATTTTACCTCGGGGGAAGGGGGATATCGCGGAGAAGGCGAAGGGCTTGACATCGAGGAGCTCCTGTTCCTCCTCCTCGGAGCTGTCGTCAAACTCTCGGAAATCGGCCTCGAAGTCGTCCTCATCCTCGATCAGGAAGGGGGTTTTCTCCTTGTGGCCCTGCTTCTTCTTCTTCTGTCCGGAAACGTTGAGCCAGTCCCCGTCCGCCGGCGGCCAGAGGTGGTCAACGGTGACCCGCCTCGACCTGGCGGCGGGTATGAGGTCGGAGAGGATTGCTCCTCCGCACATCCCGGCGGCGCAACGATGGCAGCACGGAGCTCAGAGACGGCCTCAGCCCGATTGGAGTCGCTAAAAGAGAGAGAGAGAGAGAGAGAAGTCCGTTGGCGAATCAGAAGAGGTGGAGAATCGCGGGCCTTGATTTCTGCCGGTCGGAAGCTTTTCTGGAGGGGCGTATCCCTGGAAGCGATGGCAAGGTCTTCTTCTTTCTTCGAAAATGTGGGAGAGATGGCCACTACGCCGGGGCTCTTTATATTCCTTCATTATACAGATAGAGATTGAGAGAGGTAGAGATAGAGAGAGAGAGAGATAAGAGTGGCCTCTAGACGGGTCGGCCAGCTGGTGCGTGCGGTGACTCTGGTTGGTCTCCTTCCCCCCTTCCTTCCTATCACGCGGTCATCCTTCGAGTATGACGACGCTGAGCAGATGGTCACCAGCCCCCCCTTTCTTCTAGAGAGAGAGAGAGAAAAAAAAAATCAGAAAGAGAGAGAGAGAGAGAGAGAGAGAGAGAGCATGTCGGCCCATTTTCCTTCACTGTTTTTTTTTGACTTCAGCAGAGAAAGAAAATGTCAGCCTTGGGACTGACCCGACTCAAATCCAAATCAAAACCAAGGAAAAAAAATCTGATATTTTTAATGTGGATAGAACCCCCCGGTTGACTATTTCCATTTACCGGCAAGAGATGAGTCTCCGGTCAACTTAATCGGCCTACGCTCCTGATCGAAATCCATTATTTAGGTGAGATATTTATCAGTTCTCATGCCCGGCACGTGCTAGATCCTTGTTTATCTGCCACGTGGAAGACCCAAGCCTCCCCCCACCGAGTTTTAGATTCGCTCAACTACCCCCCCCCCCAATGTGATGACGTCATGGCGGCGCTGCGGGAGAGAAAATATCTTGCCGCAACGCGTGCCCGCCGTCGTCGGTACGTCGGGATCATCATCAATAATCGCGTTTAATTAAACCAACACTACTTATGGTCTTTTAATTGGGCTTATTCGCAAAATCAACCCCCCCCCCTTGATGCGGCACGACAAACGGCACACCCCCGTTGATGCTAAGGCCCAATCTGAGATGGGGCCCACAATATCCGACGTGGCTTTTTTTCTTATAGCGAACACACGTAATCTTCTTCTAGCAAGTAGCGGGGCGTACACACTTCATCCGTGACGTCATCTGTCAGAAGTCACGGAGATATTTGGGCCAGATTAAGGAAAGCAAGGTCAGAATAAGCCCGGGCTAATCGACCTCGTTTGGGCTCTTTATTACTATTTTCCCTCCTCATTCGCGCAATAAAAGTACGACGACAAATATATAATTGTTTTTCCATCCCCCCTCCTTCTCGTCTATTCCCTTGTCCACATCACGTCACCATTCTTGAAGAGAGAGAGAGAGAGAGAGAGAGGGGGGTTGAGCTGAGCTGGACTACCTCGGGTTGAACGTGGGTTGGGTTGGCATTTAGTTAAGCTTATGCGTCTAATGATGTCGACATAAATGTGTAATCTTCACGGAATAAATTTGGGCCTGGCAAGCTGAGCGCGTGGCCCGGGCCCCCAATTAGCCAGCCCTCTAATTAGCCACTGGGGTTGGGGGACGAGGTGCCTAGGTCGGCAAGGGTTCATCGCCCCCATCAAGGATTGGCCGACCTCTATAAATGGTGGGCCCCACAATAGGCCAGCTGGCTGGGCCCCACCGTGCCTCTTCATACCCCATCGGGCCGGGATTCCCCAGAACCCGCGCGTGGATAGCCCGCGGTCGTTGGATTGGAACCCACCCCAAGTTGACCCGCGGGGGCGTCTGTCTCCTCACGCATCCTCTCTCTCTCTCTCTCTCCCTCTCTCCCGTTCTCTCTCTCTCGCCCTCTCTCTGTTAAAAGGAGTCGTCCGTGGGAAGAGGAGGGGGGGGTGGCGTTGACTGCGCCGCCATTCTTATCTGAAAGGACGAGGGGACAACGGGACAACGGGGGTCAGGACTGTCCGTGAGTAGAGAAGACCAACGCCCATCTCCTATCTGTGTCTCTGTTTTTCTCTCCTCTTGTGGGGAAAGAGCAGTAGTGCCGAGTAAGGTTCCTAGTAAGGGCCGGACCGTTGACCGTAGATCAACTCAAGACGTGGATATGCGAGCTCAGGCATAAAATTCAACGGAACCCATTTCGGCCCATTTAATTATTTAATTGGCATTTATGAGTGTGGCGGTATATTTATCCGCGGCAGATCGAACCAGCGGGGACCCCCTAAGCCGCCAAAAATAAATTGATCCTCATGGAATCTGGTGACCGTATCTCGCGAGTTATTTTTTCCTTAAATTCCTCGAATGGGACGTTAATGGGCTGGGCCCTTATGGGCCTCTCCCCAGCCCAGCCGCGGTTTAAGTATCCTTCATGGCAGGTTGGTAACTTACGTGTTAAATGAGGGGTAGTTTAGGTATTGTCAATGGAAAAACCCCTCCTCCTCCGACCCCCGCGTTAGGGTTCTTGGCGGGGATAGGAAGAGAGAGCGAGGGAAGTGTGGGGGGGAGGAGTTGATGTTTAATTCACGTACCTTGTGAGTCTTAAATCACCCCTCCCGATTCTCTGGAGGAGTCGGAGAGGATTCAAACTGGAGATGAGCGGGAGAGGAGGGGGAGAGTCGGCGACGGCGCCGCCGGGTGGTGCCGGGAGTGTGGATGTTAAGAGCGTGTTCATCGGGGCGGGTTGCAATAGGATCGTCAACAACGTTTCCTGGGGACCCTCCGGGCTCGTCTCCTTTGGGGCGCAGAATGCCGTCGCCCTCTTCCATCCCCAGGTCTGATTTCTTCTCATTGCTCTCTCTCACATCTGCTCACTCTGCACCTCGATTCGGCCGTCCGTCTTCTTCCTTCTGGACATTGGTTTTGAGTGTGCCATGTCTTCGAACGTTGCTTTCAGAGTGCTCAAATATTCACCACGCTCCCTGGGCACAAGGCTGCCGTCAACTGTACCTGGTGGCTCCCGTCAAAAAAGGATCCTTACGAAGGTGGCTCCTTTACTCAATACTTCTCCACTCTGGTGTTTCTTGTGTGAGAATTGGATTGAGCTGCATGTTTTCTGGCGAGAGCACGATGAAGGATTAAAGTTTGTGGTCTAGGAAATTCATGGACGTGGCAAAGCTTTTGAGATAATTCCATCGAAGAGAGAAACCTCAGACTTCGAGATGGCAGTGGGAATTCTCTAGAACATGGGTTTCTCGCAGGTGATGGAAAATGAGGAAAGCTTGCTTGGTTGCAGAGGCACGTGAAGAAGAGTGGAATATGGACTCATCTGTTGTTCCTTAGGTATGGGTTGGAATGGTGGGCCAAGGAACCCATTATTTTTTCACGACAATTAGGAGCCGCGCTGATAAGTTACCAATCTAGTTTTCTTGCGCAATGATAGATCAAAATTTTCTGAATGGAGTGATTTTGAATATAGAGCAATTAGAAAATGATTTCTTTTTTTCACACAATAATTGGTTCCTAGATGCGTGACGTCTTGGCTCTAAGTAATGTCCTGGCTGTGTGGACAGTATGGTGCATTGTGTCTGCATGTCGTTGATGTCAGAGTTTGGGTCATATCTGGCACTACCATGAGAAAGCTGTTTGTCGTGTCTCAGAAACTGTTCATTCTCCTTGGCATATCCTTCCATAGATTGTTGAGTATAATCCTCTCATATGGACATTTACTTGTACTATTTCGTTGATTTCCTTTCTACTCTGATAACTCCCTACTAATACGTACACTACATGAAAATTGCCCAGTGCAAAATGCAGAGAAGCATTACCTACTCTCGGGAAGTGCTGATGGTGTCATCCTCATTTGGGAAGTCCATCCGGCAGAGAGAAAGGTATTTTCTTCCACTAGCCATATTACGATATAAAAATTCGTGGAAGTCACATGAAGAAACAAACATTTGTTGTGCTATTCAACTTACTAGTTATGAAAAAAATATTTTATCAGAAGTGAATGTGATTCGGTTCTCTTTGGCCTATCAGGATTTCATCATGTGTGAAGTGAACATGAATAAATGTATCTCTTTTCTTTGATTTTTTGAATTCGGGGACACTTTACTGGATTCTTCTAAATGCATGATTATCTTTTTCTTATCATCACAGATTCACGTCATCATGAAAGCTTATCCTGTCAAATATGGGTGTCAACTTTTGGCTAGGAACTCCAAATCCTAAAGATTTCGCCACTATCCTAAAAATAATTCGTTCACATATCGTGAACGTGTTATTCAACCATCGAGCATGCGCTTGTCCTCACTTCAGGGGACGATCAGGATAGTTCTGAGCCAACATTCGTTGCGAGGTAGAGTGGTCTACTAGGACAACCTATGACGGATGTGTAGGATATAGACAGAAAAGAAACTATTTCTGAGGAATCAGTAATTTAATGAGTACATTACATTGTTAAAGGAGGAAGCAAAAAAATAGAAGTGGACTAAATAATAGAAGATGAAAGAGAATGGCTGGCATAAAGGAAGTATAAAAATGATACAAATAGGGCAACCTCTGTATTGCATATGGGCGAGTCAGATTTGAATGTTTCAATCTACAAAAGGAGCTAAATCTTCGAATGTATATACTTCTTCCATTTTATGGGGCAGAAATATCTGATACATGTAGGTAAAACAATGTTACATTGCAAAAGGTTTATCTCCATGGTTGGCTGGGGGATGTCGCCAACAAGTGATCTTCAAGATTCCTATGCGCAGAGAGAATCAGTCTTCGAGACTTGCTTTCACATCTTTCTTTTGGAACTTGAAGGTGCCAGTAAAGTATGGACAGGGCGTTTTCTGAAGAGACGTGGGTATGGTGGATATTCACCAGTGTCCTTGAGCGTTTAGTCCTCTGTTCTCTGACGAGTCATCCGTATTCCTAGTCAATATATTCATTGAGCGTGCTTTTTCCCAGGATATTCGAACTTTTTCTTTGGTCTTACACCGTCCATTCTTATTGTTCCACAATTGTGCCAAGCCATAGTTCTCGTCATCATGGTGATAGAACTCTTGGTTATGATGTTCCTTTGAATGAAAATTCCGATTACATTCACAATATTATCATCTTTCCGTACATGTACACTCTGTCTTTATGTCAGCAAATACACAACTCACATGTCTATCGTTGTCTACCACCAGAATTATGGCCGCATCCTTAAAAAACCCTCTTAACTTCATGAATTTGTGCCTCATCAATTTCTGTGCGTACGATATTACTTCAGCAACCTTGGGGGGCGCCCCCCCCCCACTTATCCTACACCTCTCAAGTCATTTCACGGAGTCGGACTAGAGTCAAGCTCAACAGGGTCTTCTTTCCCCGCTGATTCCACCAAGCCCATTCCCTTGGCTGTGGTTTCGCCGGATAGTAGACAGGGACAGTGGGAATCTCGTTAATCCATTTATGCACGTCGCTAATTAGATGACAAGGCATTTGGCTACCTTGAGAGAGTCATAGTTACTCCCGCCGTTTACCCGTGCTTGGTTGAATCTCTTCACTTTGACATTCAGATTACTGGGCAGAAATCACATTGCGTGAGCATCCGCGGGGACCATCGCAATGCTTTGTTTTAATTGCTTTCTTTGTCCTCACTGTCCTTTTGCCTGCGTGAATGGCATCTTTGATCCTGTGACCTAGTGTACTAGTGCATGGTCAGAACTGATTTCATTCTCTCGCAGCTTGGATGCACATAGATTTTAAGGAGGTATTTCGCCTTTTGTTACTATAACCAAAGGCTGATAAGATTTTTTTCGTTGAAATGGGTTGTGGTAGTAGCTAATATGTCTTTTTTGTCTGTTACTTCTTTGATGGAAGCAGTTCCTGTTGTTTGTTAAATTTTATATGTTGGCAATTTTGCTTAATTTTTTCCATTTATTTCGTCAAGTTCTGTAACCCACTGATGACCTGTCATTTAAGGATAAAGTTGCTTTATCATTATGATATAGACCAGATAAGTATCAAGTCATAAAGATAATTGCTGTAAATAATTTTATTGAATATTTGCTACTATCATCGACCATGGTAGAATTTTTTTCATGTTTACAGTGGAGGCGAGTACTGCAAATTCCAGAGTCGCACAAGAAAGGAGTCACATGCATTACTAGCACTTTTATTTCCCTAGATGTTGCCTTTATTGCTTCTACATCTTCTGATGGTATGGTACTTGTGTGGAAAATGGTCCTTCCGGCAGATAAAGCTGGTGAGTTAAGATGCTCTTGATGTGTACCTTTGGTTCTGTAATTATCACGTTGGATAATTTTTGGACGAAATTATACTTTACAATAGTTTCTGGATTGTCTTTCATATGCGTTTTACATTCTCACAATCAGATGGAATACCACATCTTCCTCTGGGTCTTTAATGACAGCTAGAGTTTAAGAAGGGACAGTTTTCTTTCAAAAGCTTTTGCAAGACTTCACTTCCCAATCACTTCTGGTTATAGAATTATTCCTGGCAATAAATTTGGTCCTTGACTGTTGGGTGTTGCGCTATCTAGTTATTCAACTTATGGCGGAATGACCAGATTCTAGATTTTTAAAATACATCTCAGTCGTTCAGCTCTTTCTCATTTGTCCGTTACACATAAAATAGAAGGGAACTAAACAAATAGGATAAAATGCAGTTATACAAATTCACCAAGATGTTTCCCGTTTTTTATTAATTTTGTGCCACCTACCCAAAACGGTGCTCTCCTCAGTTAGATTCACATTATCACCTGGGTAATCTCCTAATTTTCGCCTCAACCTTCACGTTGAGAGTATTATTTTATAACTAAGTAATGATATGCCATTCAAAATTACACACTTCTCGTGGATTTTCCTATCCTCGAACTCTCATCTGCAAAACGAACAAATCCATATATATCAGATTGAATAAAGCATTGAAAATTAGCAAAAGTCTTCATATTGAATGGCTGCAAACTTTACCTGAGAGTGAACTCAACAAATTCATGTGAATGTTCATGAAAAGTAGAGTTGTTGACATCAAGGTGCTTGTCAGTCAATTAGGATTAAGAACTGATTGACAAACAGTGGCACAACAGTTTTCTGAAGGCATTACAGATACTTTTATCTTGGTAAAAATATTTTCTAAGATGTATTAAGCTGCTTTGTAGGCTATTGCGCAAATTTTTTTGATACAATCTCTGTTAGTGATTTGCTACCTTTCAGTTACATTCGTGGATAGTGCAAACAATTTTTCTTTCATTTTATGTATGTACTCTTAGTAAATATTTTTGGACCAGATATATTTGTTATAAAATGACATGGTATATAATGCTCGTCAGAAATGTAAGAAAATTGTTCTCCACGTAGGCCCCATTCCTTGTTGCGAAAGCAGTAAGGCACTAGGCCACTGCGTTCTTTGCCTCAGTCATCATGATGATGGTGGCTACCGTCAGGTAAAAATTATGAAGAGTACCGCGATGAATTATAAGACTCTTTCTCCTAGTTAAAGAGATATTTTCCATTTACGGATCCTCCCCTTTTCTTTGGGCAGAAGATTGCGGACTGACATGTGTGGAACGTATCCCTGTGGGTTCAAAACCAATGGTTGCATTGTCTTTAGCAAAATTGCCTGGTCAGGAAGGGACCCTTGTCTTGGCAATGGGTGGGTTAGATCACAAGATTCATCTTTATTGCGGTGACAGCACAGGGAAGGTGAGTTATTTCCGAGGTTTGATGCACATATTATTGGATAGAGTATTTATCATATCCGTGCGTTTATATCATCATCTGACTAAATTAAGCTTTCCTCCCCTATTCTTCAGTTTCTTCAATCTTGTACGTTGAAAGGGCACACAGACTGGATTAGAAGCTTGGACTTCTCATTACCTGTTCATTCCAAGAGTGGGGAAAGTAGTATTTTTCTTGTTAGTTCATCTCAGGACAAAAATATCAGGATCTGGAAGATATCCTTGCTTACCTCTCCTGTGAATCATAACTCACAACACAAGGAAAGGAAAGATGAAAAAGGCTTGGCATCGTACATTGAAGGGCCCAAGTTAGTGGCTGGTTCTTTTTCCTATCAGATATCTCTAGAATCTCTTCTTATAGGCCACGAAGATTGGGTGTATTCAGTGGAATGGCACCCACCTCTACCAGTATCTACGAATGTAACCGAAAGGTGTCAACCATTGAGCATTTTATCGGCATCAATGGATAAAACAATGATGATCTGGAGGCCTGAAAAGACTACAGGTATCTGGGTAAATGCAGTGACTGTTGGGGAACTTAGCCATTGTGCACTGGGGTTTTATGGGGGCCATTGGGGCCCACTTGGTGATTCCATTCTAGCTCACGGATATGGAGGCTCCTTCCATCTCTGGAGAGATGCTGGCTGTGGTTTCGAGAACTGGCTGCCGCAGAAAGTTCCATCTGGTCACTTTGGAGCTGTATCTGATATAAGTTGGGCAAGATCTGGCGAGTATTTATTATCAGTTAGTCATGACCAGGTTAGCTTTGCTTTTGAAATTATGATGAACAAATTTATGGATGAGTTCTATTCTATCCTTCCAATGTATTTTATTTTGTGTATTTTTCGTAAATACGGTTTACGAACGCTTTACCAAATCAGTCTATGAGTTATTTATAGTTCATCATCCATTCCATGACATTTTAGACTGCTCGGATTTTTGCACCTTGGATTGATGAAGCTTGCCAGGCATCTTGGCATGAAATTGCTCGTCCTCAAGTCCATGGCCATGATATCAATTGTTTAGCTATCATTGAAGGGAAAGGGAATCATCACTATGTTAGTGGTGCGGATGAGAAAGTAGCTAGAGTGTTTGAAGCCCCCTTGTCCTTTCTGAAGTCACTGAAGTATGCCAATTTTCCAAAAGCTGGGAGCAGTGAAGATCTTCCTTATGACGTTCTGATTTTAGGTGCCAACATGTCTGCCCTTGGGTTATCGCAAAGGCCCATTTATGTTCAAGGTGAACCCATCTCTTCTGAGAAAAGAAACTCTTCAGCCTATTTGCTTACTAATCGTGAACTTCAAAGTGCTAAATATTGTTGTTCTCTGTTTTTCTGAATGCTTTGCCTAATTCAGGAAGAATGCCACCAAAAGCTAATACTTCTCCACACCTTGACTCTCACCATTAAGTCAACGAACACTCTTGTCATTCGTGTTTTGTAATTTTATTTTTGGAATCTATAGTTGGATTTGATTTTGTTAAAAACAAGTGTGGCCTTACTCTTACTATATTGATTTATTCATTTTATCTGAGAAGAACTGTCTTTTGCCCTTTGAGGAGTTATTTTGCATCAATCTTGTTTCTATAATATGGGTATTGGGGCACATGACACGGGCTTCTAATATATTTACGTGGAGATGTTTTTTCTGACATTGGTCATCTTCTCCAGTTCCGGTCACATCGATAAATAACACATAGGATTACTTGAACCACAAGATGATATACTTGTATCAGTTGGACGATGTTAGCAGCTTCTTGCATTTTCTTTTTTTACAATTATTTTTCAAGGAAACGGCTTCTAATATATGCTTTTATATAAAATTCCCTTCTTCAATTCGTGCAGCTTCAAATAATACCTCGGACGGCAGTCCGAATGCTGCGGATTCTCTGGAGTACGTCCCTGACGCAGTGCCCACTGTTTTGACCGAACCACCTGTTGAGGATCAGCTGGCTTGGCACACGCTGTGGCCTGAATCCCACAAACTATATGGCCATGGAAATGAATTAGTTTCTCTTTGTTGTGATCATGCAGGAAGGCTTGTTGCTTCATCTTGCAAGGTAGATGATCCTGTTCTTGCTGTATTCGTCTTTTTGTTAATGATCTTCCTACTATTGGTTCTGCTGGCTTATTATTTTTTTCTCATAGCAACGATCTTTGGTGGGTTGTGGAAAGTTATCTGGCGATTCGACCATGATGATATGATATGAAACCCTTTCCTGATTTGATGGTTCTGCTGTACTTTGATTATATGTCACTACTGTAGTTCTTTTCCACTACTTTTTCTCTCATCTGATGAACCAACCGAAGTTCCAAGACCACGACTCCGATGAGAAGTTCATGGCAGTAAATGAAGCTGCTGTGAAATAAGAACATTATATAAAGATCAAGAAATAGAACTTGCAGTGAAATCATGTCCCGTCAACATCCTTTGCATGCGGACGAGGATCATGGATTGTTGAGATGCGATATGATCAACTGAGGAATGACAGAGATCATTGGATGTTTGGCAACTTGTGGGCGATGAGGACTTCCAAGTCAGAAAGTGATAAATCTGATTAAAAAAAATAAAAATCATCTTACTGATGGTTGGACATGTGTCAGATTCAATTGCAGTTTTGTTTTTTTTCAGAGCAATCAGAAAACTACTAAATAATTGTCAGTACATCCCATGTTTTTTCTAATAATCATCAGCGTCTCTAATAATCATTCGTAGCTATTCATTTGCAGAGTTTCTGTGTATTATCTTGGGTTGATCGCCCTCGTGAAACCATTCTGCAGGCACAATCGGCGCCAGTTGCAGAGATCTGGCTCTGGGAGGTTGGGTCATGGAGGGCTGTTGGGCGATTGCCCTCTCACAGCCTCACCGTGACACAGATGGAGTTCTCTCCCGATGACTCTCTTCTGCTAGCTGTGTCCAGAGATCGCCATTTCTCTGTCTTCTCCATTGAGAAATCCGGTAAGCAAAGCCGTCCCCGCTCTATTTAGGGTTATGTAGTTTTAAATCCCTGAAAATCAGCTGAAATCCCTGAAAACCAGCTGAAATCCTTTGTTCTTCAGTCGGACTACCAGGTACTGAGAAGCTATCGTGTTCTTATATTTTAATCCCTCTAGTCTAATTGAGTAAAAGACTAAAATGCCCTCATAAGTAAGCTCTCTCTCTCTCTCTCTCTCTCTCTGTATGATATCTTCTCAGTCTTCCTCTCTTATTGTTATCAGCCAAATAATAATAATAATAATAATAATAATAATAATGATAAATTGGTTTTATTGGCTTTTTCTTCAGGGTGTGAGATGGACTGTCGGCTGCTGGCCCGGCAAGAAGCACACAAGAGGATAATCTGGGCATGCTCGTGGAACCCATTCGGCCACCAGTTTGCCACCGGCTCAAGGGACAAGACCGTGAAGCTCTGGGCCATCGCCGGCGGCGCCGTCCGGCTGGCCCTCACCCTGCCGCCGTTCGGCTCCGGCGTGACGGCCCTCTCCTGGGCCGGCCGCAACCGCTCCCTCAACCATGGGCTCCTCGCTGTCGGTCTGGAGAGCGGGCTGATTGAGCTCTGGAGCCTCACCGGCGGCAGCGGTGGCCCGGCGGTCATCAGCGCACAGCCCACCGCCCGCCTCGACCCACTCCTCTGCCATGTCTCCACCGTCAACCGGCTGCACTGGAGGGAGGACGATCACGGGCCCACTGCCCAGCTGGCTTCTTGTGGCGCCGACAACTGTGTCAGGGTTCTTGAATTCAGTCTCCGTTGACCCACTGGCCATCCATTGTTCGGTGAATGCCTGGATGCTCCGGAGGGGGGGAGGGGGATGTGGGTCCCACAATAAGGTGCTCCCCACCCAGTGGAGCAGTCAAGGGCCCGTGGTTGTATAGCATGCCGGGCTGTCTCGGTTAAGATATTGGCCCACTGGGCTTTTTGGCCTGTATAGCAGGCCAAGCCTGCCTATAACAAATGGCAATCTCACGGCCCGGCCCAACTGAGCCTCGCCGACCCCGGTGGCCCGTCTCTGAACTGCGTTCGAAGTTCTGTTATCAAGGTCTGAAGATTCTGCTGCTGCTTTTCCTTCTCTCACTGTTCTTGTGAAGGGCATTCGTGAGGAGGGTCGTCGGGGAGGCGAACCAGGTCCACGTGGAGGAGTTGACTCTGGAGAAGATCAACCAATCAAAGATGCAAGCTTACGATGATCGAAGTGATCTTTGGGTTTGAGGAGATGGTGGGCCAGACTATCATCTTTGTGATGACTGACGAGACACGACGCCGGCGTGCTCCTCCATCCGTGGTGCCGTTGACCACGCCGTCGGAGTGATTCAAAGAGGTTCTTATAACGACCGACCTCCTTGCTCGTGGGTATGTATGACCAAGCGCGGGTTCGTGGGTCCTTGATCCGATCATCACCTTCTCTTGAGGTTGATTCGATCGCATATGCAGCCCGAGTTTAGTGCGCTTTATTCATCTATCTATCTGTCTCTCCATTAAAGGTCAATCTGGCCGTTGACTACGATCTTCCGGTGAAAGCATGGCGCTGTTCGGTTCGAGAGATTCAGATGCAGCCGGCAAGCATAAACGAGTCAATGCGGGCCTTTTGATTCCCAGAATAGAAACATCTTGGGACGTGAAAAAGTGCCCAAAATGTGGGAGCTCCCCCTGTGAGGATGTGAGCTCCAAAAAGAGGAATTTCTTTCTTTTTAAAAAAGGGATTAATGACGTCATTTTTACCATTGGCAGAACATCCCACAAAGTCAACGCCTCCAGGTACGATATATAGGATCAGATATTCTCCACTAAGATCTTGGTGGGTGGGCTAGCGGCACAATATTTTTTCCAACTATTATTATACTATTTTTTTCTAGTTATTATCCAGCATTGAGTTTTTAGACTCATACATCGTCATTTTTAGAATAATAAATTTAATATATATATATATATATATTTATATATATATTTATATATATATATATTTCCCCATTAACAACGGGTTTCAGCGTTATAAAAAAAATGCTAATCGCATTATTTTTCACATATATTTCAGGAAAAGGGGAGGTCCTCCCTCAAACCGCTAAATTAAAAAATGTTATTTTGATATCCAAATTAATGATGAATAGTCTTTTGATAATAAAATAATACGCCTTATAAAAATATTATACCACTAGAAGAATACGATGCTGTGGTGGTACGGATACGCACCCCTACTAGAATCCGGAATGTTTTTGACCGCCCAATCCACCGTCCGTGGCGGGTTGTAGATTATTGATCGATGAGACGCTGTCCGTTGGATCCGTGCGCCCCATCAAGTGGAAGTGTCCTTCTAGGGTTTGCCTCCCGACCGGGGAAGTATAAATTCTTCAGCGAGCCATAGGGCGGGTGATCTCCTCGCCGTCGCTTGGGTTGTTGCTCGCTCTCTCTGTGTGTGGAATCGATCGATCTCTCAGGTTCCGACCATGGCGGCGAGGGCGCTCTCCCAGAAGGAGGCGGACATCCAGATGATGCTCGCGGCGGACGTCCACCTCGGCACGAAGAACTGCGACTTCCAGATGGAGCGCTACGTGTTCAAGCGCAGGAGCGATGGTCAGTGGTGGATTGTTTGCCTTCTCTCCACTCCACTCCCCTCCCGCCTGTCGTCGTTGATCGTTCCTTTTGTGGTCTGAAATCCAAGGGTTGGTTTTGTGGCCCAGATCTGTTGGCTCGACGTCGCTGCTTCTTGGCTCTTCGAAGTGGATTTTTTTACGTTTCTATGTTCGGTGTTGTGCGTTGTCATCGGAGATCAAAGCTTCGTATTATTGTAGTGTCTTATCATTCTCATGTTCGCATTAATATTCTTCTTCCCTGTCTCTGTACTGAAATGTGGATATCCAGCTGCTCTGGCTACGTACTCCATTCCTTGAAGACATCAGTGGGGAATTAGAACAAACCGTGATATATGATCCGACTATGAGTTCGTGAATCTTATTTTAATTCGTATCATATTTTCCCAGTTTAGTGTTCTCACTGTTTAATTCATCCATTACGTGGTTTAGTTTGGTATAATTGATAGTGTTGTCGCAACTGCCTTGAATATGCGAGGGATGCTTACTATATTTAAGATTTCCAAACAGTTTATTTATTGATCAAGCTTAGAGAATACAATGATAGAGCACTGGTTTATGCTGAGGACTATTTTTGGTTATTTCAGTCGTGATAGCATACTTTTAGCTAATGTTTCTCATGACACGACTATAATGGGTCGTTTCTTTCTTATTAGTAACGTCGTACTGTTCTTGTCAGCTGCAATAAAAAAATGATGTAATACCAGGAAAAGTATGTTTTTTTGATAATTTATTAGCGACGGGAACGTTTTGTTGTTTGATTGTTGGGTCTGAGATCTACTCTATCTTTTTATGTTCAGGTATCTTCATCATTAACCTTGGAAAAACATGGGAAAAACTTCAGCTTGCTGCCAGGGTTATTGTTGCTATTGAGAATCCTCACGACATCATCGTCCAATCTGCTAGACCCTACGGTCAGAGGGCTGTTCTGAAGTTTGCTCAGTACACTGGTGCTCACCCCATTGCTGGGCGTCATACCCCTGGAACATTCACAAATCAGCTCCAAACGTCATTCAGTGAGCCTCGTCTTCTGATCCTTACCGATCCCAGGACTGACCATCAGGTGGGTATCACTGTTTTCCTATTAGTCTTCGTGCATGGCCATTTTCATTAGTTTGTGCCTACTTTCTCATTATTCGCAGCCAATTAAAGAAGGTGCCCTTGGAAACATCCCCACCATTGCCTTCTGTGACACGGACTCTCCAATGCGCTATGTCGATATTGGAATTCCTGCGAATAACAAAGGGAAGCACAGTGTTGGATGCTTGTTTTGGCTCTTGGCTAGGATGGTCCTGCAGATGCGTGGTACCATCCTCCCTGGTCACAAGTGGGATGTGATGGTACGTGATGATACTATACTCTCCTTTTTTAAGTTTTCCATCTCTTATTAAATTTTTAATGCTTGCTCTCTTATCTTTGTACACACTTTAGACCAAATTAGCGAGAACAAGGGATTGAATTTATGGGTTGTTTTTAGTTGCGTCTTCTAAGGTAACCTGATATAAGAATGGGACCGTGGATTATTTTAGCCGACCAAACATTATTATTTTGATTATCCTCCTCGCCAAGCAGTTGCTTTTCTTGGGAAATATTTTGGGCGACATGAATTTTCAATACTGAATAATGTCTCTTTCTTCAGTTTGGGAGCTTGTATCTTAGAACCATATCGGGGTCCTAATTGTACAGCTTTTGTATGCCTTCAAATTCGTGAGATTTACGTCTCCTTGAACTCTTGTCCCAGTCAAATCGAGTCACATTGGGTTAATTCCCCTAATATTTCCTTGTGATGTAAAGGTGGATCTGTTTTTCTATCGGGAGCCTGAGGAAGCAAAGGAACACGAGGAGGAAGAGGTTTCAGCCCTTGCGCCCCCGGAGTACGGCACCATACCGGAATATTCTGCTGGCCCGCTTGGTGTATCTGCAGACTGGGGCCAAGAACAGTGGGTAGCTGGAGAAGTGCCTGCAGCGGCGGCGGCCGTCACCCAGCCCATAGCCGGTGCGGCCGAGTGGACTGCATCGCCAGGTTAGACCCTGCGGCTGGTGTTCATCCTTTTCTCCTCTCCGTCTGCGCCATCTTCTTGATCTTTCTGAGTGAATTTTAAACTTGTGTGCCTCCTGCAGCCCCCGTGGCTGCGGCTGAGGGGTGGGACGTGGCTCCCGTGCCAGTTGCTGCTCCCGTGATCGATGGTGCCATCCAACCCACAGGATGGGAGTAAGCGAAGAACATTCTTTCCATGCGCCATCCATCCCCGCAACCTGGTATCTTTTTTTCTTTTTTTTTTTTTTGGGGGGGGGGGGTTACCTTCAAGAAAGAGTTCAGTTCAGATGCATGCATGCTGCAGCCTTTGTGGAAAGCCTCGCCTTTTTGTTGCAATTAGGTGGTGGCGAATCCTAGAAAGTGTAGGAATTTTTTTGAGTACCAGTTCTTGTTCTTGTTCTTGTTCTTGTCATTACTATCAACTTATTTCCTCTCTTCCCCGTCCGTGGGCTTCTTCTCTCATTCCTAGCAACCGGGGCCACCATGCATCCTCCGATTTTATCTCTGATGCTTCTTAGTTTAGTTCTTCTTAACTCTGGTGGGTGGGTATATTATCATGTTGCCTGGAATTGAGTTGATGACAGCGCTGTGCTAGAGAGAGAAGATAGATTAGTGGGTTATTAATGGCATTGTTATTCATAAAGGTTTGTCATTTCCTGGGTGATTTGGTGGAGAAAGGCGATGATCCAGCTGGGGAACCAGCATTCCGATTCCCTCGGAGTTTGATGCTGCCTGGGGTTGGCCTGGTTTTGTCGGCCGCCTTCTTGCCCACGTGCTTCATCCATTGCATCCTCTTCTTAATCTGGCTTTAAGAATCCCCCCCCTCCCCTATGAGGCCTAATCCTGGGATCATAATCATATATATACATGGGGCTGCCCAGCGGACCGGGTGGTGCCTGGCCCTAGAGTGAGAAAGGGCCCAGTTCGCGGGAGAGAGATTGGCTCTTCCGTCTACACACACACACAGGAAGCAATATAGAGAGAGAGAGAGAGGGAGGGCCTTGAATGGCGCCGGATTGAGCGTATTTATCTCACGTCGGTGTGATTGAAGATCCTATATCCATCTCTCTACATTTATCATCTTTTTCTTCTCTCTCTCTCTCTCTCTCTCTCTCTCTCTTTTTCTCTCTCTTTAAACCGTCCATGTGATGATGATCTTATCTTAGCAAGCAGAAGGGCACCAGTGACCTAACCCATGCAATCCGGAAACCGGCTGTAGTGCACTACCATGCAATCAACCCCACGCATTGTCCTTCCTCTCTGGCAGGAGAGACGGATGGGGATATAGAGATATATTATATATATATATCCTCTCTCTAGAGAGAGAGAGAGAGAGAGAGGGAGAGAGAGGGAGAGAGAGGGAGAGAGAGGGAGAGAGAGAGAGAGAGAGAGAGAGAGAGAGAGGGAGAGAGAGATTTAATCATCCAATTGACGCAGCTTGATCATGTGGGAATCAAATGATGAACCCAAGTTGGGAAGATTAATGAAATTGTACCCTAACCACCGCCGAATCGTCTCTACTGTTGTACAACGGCGTACTCTTTCTTTTTTTTGTCAATATTTTTATTAATAAATGCACAGAGAGAGAGAGAATAGACCGATTAATTAAATGGTCGAGTGAAAATCAATTGGTATTTGATAAACCATAAATCAGCCTAAATGTATGTATTCTCGCTTGATTGGCGTTGAATATTTCAGTAGAAGAAGCATGAAAGAATGGGTCATATTTAACGAGGCATGGTCAACGTCAAGCCGCTGCATCTTCTATTAAACACAAATGTATAAATTAAATTAAATTAAATTAAATGACGAGTATCTTGACGATGGTTCAATGAATAATAAATTGGGTACTCAAATATATAAAAATGATTACGGCAACAAGTAATGTTACGGTGAATAATAAGAAAAGAACAATAAATTCTGTATTTACCGGGGGAAGTGGTCCAACGCAGACAGCTCGCGTCCCGACAAGAACCCCACCCGAATGTTTGTGCGGGCGTGGCCCCCCCCCCCCCCCGTCGTGTTCTTGTCATGTCCGAGTGGGCCCCCGACTTCTCCGCTGGGCCCGGGCCCCACCCCAGCTGTTCCTCCTCCTCCCGGGTTTACATATACTCACGCCCCTCTCTTCTTCCTCAATCCTCCTCCAACTCCCTCTCTCTCTCTCTCTCTCTCTATCGGGTATCGAGAGCTGCCATCAAAAGGGCTCCTGGCTACTGGGTCTTCTCTGGCGGATGGCCAAAGGCAGCGGCGGCGGGGGCGTCCTCGGCAAGCTCAAGTGCATGGTGAGGAGGTTGCACCCCGCAGCCCCTAGCGACGGCGGCAAGTTTCCGGCGGTGGCGGTGGCGGTGGCGGCGGCGGCGGCGAGAAGCAGAAGCAGGGCCTCCTCGACGGCGGTGGGGGACAACGGGGACAAGGGGATGTGGCGGAGCGACGGCGGCGCGGCGGAGGAGGAGGTGCCGCTGGGGCTGCACCCGGTCTACGTGGGCAAATCCCGGCGGCGGTACCTGATAAGCTCCGACCTCGTTGACCACCCTCTCCTCCGTGTGCTGCTGCAGCGGTCGGCTGGCGCCGCCGCCGAGGAGGCCGGCGGCGGCGGCGGCGGCAGGCCGACGCCGGTGGTCGGGTGCGAGGTCGTGCTGTTCGACCACCTCCTCTGGATGATCGAGAATGCCGATCCCCAGCCCGAGTCTCTCGACGAGCTCGTCGAGTTCTACGCCGTCTGATCCACGATTCCTTCTTCCACCCTCTCCTCTCCTTTCAATCCCAGAATGCTTGCCGGCATTCATCGCCGGGGGCCTGATAACAGCCGCTGTAAATCTGTTCTAATGTTGAAGCTTCACATCTCTCTCTCTCTCTACAGTTCTTTCATTATTTCCTTGATTCGTTTCCATGTAAGGGCAAGGAACATTGATGCTAAACCCATTCCAACCCTTCAGATTTACTGCTCTCTCTCTCTTCTCTCATTCTCCTCCCCTTGTCTTGCTTTCCACGGAGAAGAGTAATCCAGCTCACGCATTTTAATTTATATACATATCTACTCATTATATGGATATCCCCAACGTCCGGAGAAGCTTCGATCGCACAGAAGAGTGAGCATATTTTCGATGAACACGAACAAGAGCTCAGACGGCGGCGGCAGAGTCGAGTGCGGCCTTCCGGCGGCGGCGCCTCGAGAAGGAGAGAGAAGAGGGAGGATATCCGGGTCGGGTGGCGGGGGCGGAGGTTGGCAGTAGTTGCAGGGTCGCCGTCGGTGGGGAAGACAACCCCATGTGCCCGTCGCGGACGCAGTGGTGGCTGGTCGGCTGCCGTTGACCGGACCCGACGCCGCCGCCGCTTGCCATGGTGGACCAGGCGGAGGATGATGGCACGGGACGTCGGACTTCCTCTCAAATATCGGTTTGCTTGGCGTAAATGGGGGGGGGGGGGGATTTCCTACGATGATTTCGATTCCATCCTATTACAAACACTAAAAGAGTAAACGTCTTCGTCGCTGAGGAAGTCAAAGTGGATCAGAGAACAAACAAAAATTAAAAAATGGATCTAGATAAAAGGAAATTAGACATCTATTATCCGCACACATCAGCAAATGATGAGATCGAAAAAAAGAAAAGAAAACCCGAGAATAATTGTTACAAGCAGGGATGCCCCATGGGTCACACTCTCCTCACGGCTCTAGCCGGAGCTTTTTATTTATTTATTTATTTATAATTTTTTTATTTTAAATTCTGTTCTTGAATCGGGCCCCTGACCCACTATCTACTACGTGTCTAATCCAGACACCGGCGGTGGCGGGCGGAGCTCCTCCGAGATCGCCGATCTTCCGGGCCCGGTCCAGCTAATGGTGGGGGCAGTTTTCTTCTTTGGGGAAGTTTTTTTTCGTTGGGAGCTCCTCCCTGGGCGTGAAAATGGGAAGAGCGGACCTCTTGATGAATAATGTGTTCTTGGGTCCGCCATCAGGTATCCTTCTCCTCTGGTTTTCGGATCTCGGGGGGACCAACGAATGGTGCTTGATGAGCAATCTAATCTGCCCTTCTCCAATGCCTTCCAATGAATCAATCACCATGCATAAAAATGAGGCATTTTTTATATATTTTTTGGGTCCACGTTGGTGCCTCAAAATTTGGTATTCTCTCTCTAGCTTGCGAGGGAGATCTTCAATGCGCAAATCGTGTGACCAGGAAGAAGACATGGATTTGCCTCAGCAGCACCGTGAGCTTGATTGCTGCAGAACGGCTTCTCGGGGGGACACCATTAATGGCCCGGCAAAACCCTGCCCCCCCTTTCTCTTTCTCTCTCTGTCTACCCAATCTTCTCTCTCTCTCGAGCTCTACCTCTATCTACCCAATTCCCTCTCTCTCTCTCTCTCTCTCTCTCTCTCTAGATTGCGATCGGACCGTTCCAGAGCAGAATGAACGGCAGGCTCTGGAAAGGGGCTCAGAACCCCGCAGTGATCCCTGTTGCTACTTGGGCACCCATCCATCTCACACGCCCGAGCGTAACAATGTGATGTTACAGCGAGAGAGAGAGAGAGAGAGAGGCTGAGGTGGGGGCAGAGACAGCGAGTGACAGACGGTGCCACGTGCTCTCTCTCCTTCTCAAGAGACCACACGGTGGCTGTCAAGTGTTGGATTGACGGATGTTTCAGATTTGGATCTCACAGGCCGTGACAAAGCAGAGGACGAGGTGCCACGTGCGCCGACGACTATCCCCTGGACGCGTGTCGACTGTGATACAATCGTACACACCGCGGCCAGAGAGGTCAAGCAGGAGAGAGAGGGAGAGAGAGAGAGAGAGAGAGCTTTCAGGTGCGCTTCTTGGTGAGCCGCCGGCGCTTAGAAGAGCCCTGGCGCTTGAGATCCCACTTCCTCTTCTTAGCCTGCAAGTGGAAGGATCTCCCCAGGAGGGAGGGCTGCTCCTTCAGCCCGAAGCTCCTCGCAACGTGCCCCAGATGGAGCTTCCTCACCATGAAGATCCTCTTCAGCTCGCCCTTGTGCGCCGTGTACGCCCGCACCCACGAGCAGAACGCGCTCTTCGCCAGGTTCCTCAGCTCCGGCTGAACCATCAACACAATTATTCCCACAATTAAAAAACAAATATTATCAAATAAAACATACAAAACATAATAAAAAAAATATATTTAATCCAGGGATGAGGAGGAGGAGGAGCGGTCGGTTTACCCTACCCCTCCGGATATGAAATTCTCGACAGCCTTCTGCAGGGCCATAATCCAGGGATGCGTGTCCAGAGAGGAGGGCCTGCTGCTGTTGCTCTTCAGAAAATTTACAGAGAGGCCATCTATGACCTTCTGCAACGGGAACTCGGCCAGAGAGACGCTGTGCCTCCTCAGCTCCTGCAGATAGTCGACCTCGATGGGTTGCAGGAAGAGCAGGGCCTCTCCTTTCTCTCCCAGCCGGGCAGTTCTGCCCACCCTACAAACATTATCAGCGATACATCAGAGAAAGACCACGGCCAAGTCTAGCCTTTTAAAAGGAGGAGGAGGAGGAGGAGGTCCAGGCGTGTAGTACCTGTGGACATATTCGGTGGCCTCCCCAGGGGAATCATACTGAATTATGCATCTGACCTTGGGAAAATCGAGGCCTCTTGCGGCGACATCTGTGCATAAAAGGAGTGCCGACTTCTCGGCGTTGAAGCTCTGAAAGGCGGTCCTCCTGGCATCGTGCTCCATGTTCCCGTGAAGGCAGAGCGTCTTACATCTCAAAAACGGCTGCTTCTTGATGGTTTCAAGCTTTGAATGGGCCGACCAGTGGAATTCGTTCAAAAGGGCATAGTGGAAGTCTACTGCATCGCACGTAGAGAAGAAAACCACAATCTGTACAGTAAATCCGTGAGCAAACCTGCTTGGTTGGTTATGAATAAAAACGATAAACCTTGACGTCAATAAAAGGTGACGAGAATGGTGATCGGACCTTCTGTGAATCTTCTTTCTCGTAGAAGATCCTGAGGATGGATAGAAGCACTGACAACCGCGAGCCACAGGGCACTGCAAGGGGCGGGCCAAATGTTCAATAATGATACTCACCAGCCAGGTCCCCGCGCACTAGAGGTGAGTGAGTGACCAATTATACCTTTTACATATCTCTGAGATAGTCTCTCAGGGAGCCGATAATCGTCAGCCAAATGGCTTGAAAATGCTTCACCGTCTTCTGATCGGTCATTACCCTCCAATCCTTTAGGTAGTAGATGCGTGAGTGATGAACGAGGTGCCTTAGATGTCATCTTCTCGTCATCTAAACCAATCATGATGGGATCATCTAAGCTTATCTTAGCCAACTGGTTCACCTTTTCATTTAGAGTCGCTGAAAGTAGTAAGTTCTGCCGGGGGAGTTCTCCTGTTCTAAGTTTCCTGTCAGACCCACTTTCATCTGATCGTAAAAACTCGATTATCTCCTCTATTGCCTTTCCAAAACCCAGCTCAAGGATCCTGTTCAGTGTAGAATAGCACCATTACTGCAAATTTCGACTAATGACAACATAAAAGGTTGTAAAACCAGACCACGAGTCAGAAAGTGATCCAGTTATCACGGTGAATGAAAAACGGGGGACTCCATCAAATATAACCTATTGTATTTTGATGCTGTAACAGAAATGATGTACCTATCCGCTTCATCGAAGACTATCCAGTGCAAATTCTTGTGCAAGAATGCCGATGTATTCTTTAAGTGATCCAAAAGACGTCCAGGAGTTGCAACAAGTATAGATATTCCTGAATGCAACACCGGATGATAACGAAGTTATTCAACGAAGATGATGACGGCACAACCAACCAAAATTCAATAAAAGCTATTCTGAGATGGCTCACAAAGCATGGGGTATGAGAACTAGTAGCCTACAGATATTCACAATGGCACTAACTATTCCGGCATTTTACTTGGCCTCCCAGTGACGAAGGATGAGGTGTACCCAAGCATGGTCTTCCTCTCAGTGCCATAGTTATTTAGTTTAAAAGTAAAATTAGTGTAATTCGTTTGACAAACGCCGCAATAAAACTAAAATGGCAATAGTGATGAGCCAATGCATGGGTACCTTATGTACTTCTCCCTAGAATTGTCGGTGTCAAGGATAGAATCCTGGGGATGGGATTACGTTTAGATTATTGAGGCTAACACGATGGGAATTTGAAGGAAAAAGTGTAGAAAACAGTCTTTCAATCCCTACACATCACACCCAGTGAGACGCCCACCTCCTCAGCTACATTTCCATCAGTCTCTATAACTCTCCTCAGCCGCCCTACGGCTGCTTCCCTCATGATTAAAGGGGGCACATATGGATGTCATGTTAAGCAATGGTAACTTTCATCCACACTCCTCCCCCACGCAAAACTCCTCCTGTTATCATAAATTAGGAAGTCATACAAAGGAATAAACAGAGAATGAGGCTTCAATGTCAAAACCCCAATGCTTGTCTTCTGCCGGTATGTTAATAATAGCACATATTGGGGGTTGGCGTGGATCCAGAAAATCATCAAAGCCATGCGAAATTGACCAGTTGCCTCTACTTCAGGATACTTAAACACTAATGCACGCTTGTAGAAAACATTGACCTTCTCAAATAAAAATGATTTAACACTTATCCAATATGCCATTAAACAGAGATAATCAAGATAAAAAAAACCTATGATGCACCAATAGGGACCATAAATAGTCAGGAAGAAAATGGGATCAACCTTTGCGCAGCCTGGCTTTCTCCTTGGATCTATTTTCGCCACCAGTTATGTAACCCGGAACAATCCAGTGAAATCGGTGTAACAACCTCTCAAGAATTTCATACACCTGTATGCACAGCTCCCTTGTCGGCACCAGTACCAATGCTGTCACCAAATTCCTCTGTTCAATAAATTACTTTCGAATTGAAGACATAAATCAGTTACTCTGAATCTTCCGAAAGTGTAGAAGCATACCGAAAGTACCATCGGCTCGTTGGATTCGAGGATTGCGCATCTGCAGAAGGTGCACTATCGGTGCAAGGTAAACGATCGTCTTGCCAGTTCCAGTGGCAGCGTTGACGAGGCTATTTACCAGAGTCAAAGAAAGACTTGCAGCACATTTTAAAAAAAAAGAGACGAATAGCATCCATATCACTAACTGAAATATATACAAAAGGATATTTACGAGACTCAGGGTGGTTGTGGAATGGCCAAATCAGTTGGAGGAGGGATAATCTTAAATCGGGATAGGCTACTGTAGATTACGATTACGATCACGGGAAAATTGAACGCAATATTCTCTGCGCGCTGGAGAACGAACATACATTCTGAAATACCCAGACAATTATACCGCTGAACCAAGGAAGAGACATATACAGCCGTCCAGCATCAAAGCTACATAATAGGATACACATCCTTTCCCGATACGACGATGGGGATTGCCTGCGCCTGGATCAGTGTAGGGACCTCGAAACCCATCTTCTCTGAAGACAGGTCAACAAGCGCATTCATCAGCATTCGAAGAACCAATGTAGGCCTCCCAAGGAAGCCCCATCACGGGACCACGCAGTGGAGGGGAGGAGTGGGAGCGGGGTGCAGGACCTTTTAGGTGCTGGCAGAGCGTGGGGTGGAGCCCCAAGTCTTCGAAGGAGCAGGAGGCGAAGACCCCGTCGCTGCTTCCCACCGCGCCAAGTCTCCCCACATCAGAAGCGCTCTTCCTCTCTCCATCGTCCTCCTCCACGGCCGCCTCCACCTTCCGCTTCCTCTTCCTCTTCTCCGCCTCCCCCATGGCAACGAGGAACGGAAGCTCCAAATCTCTCTGGTTTAGGGTTCTTATTTCCCGCGAATCCGCTTGATGAACCGAGGAGTACCATGAGCCAATACATTATGAGACAAAATATTATGATGCGTGATACAATAAGAGCCCCGCGGGGCTTACAGACTAAATTAAAGTACATGATCGGTGTTGCGGTAAGGTTCGTATCCAAACCGAACTCGAAAGCGGGTTAAAGGTAACCGTTAACAAGATCCGGACCAATTGTGATCCGATTTAGTTGCGGGGAGGGAGGTCATTGCGGAAGGGTTGCTGGAGAGAGGAAAGAGAAAGAGTAGCCGTTCTTCTCTCCTTCCTCTCTCCGCCATGAGCTGCTGATCACTGCAATCTCACTCAGGTAATCCGATATTTCCCTGGTTTCTTCAGATTTTAGCCTGAAGCCGAACATCCATCCCTTCCTAGAACCTCTCAGGGGCAAACCCTCGAGTTTCCCCCGCATTATGTGTTTTTTTTTCCCCTTCGGGCAAGATCGGGTGAGGGATCTCGTTGATCGTCCCTGAAATTTTAAGATTTTTGCGGTCGGTGAAATGTCTGATATGTGATCGTGAAACCCTTTTGTTGTGAATCATGTGGGTTCGGCAGGTCGGGGGGCGGATTGTTCCTCGCATCGTTGGAAGGGATTTCGCATAATCAGCCGTCCTTCCTTGTGGTGGATTTTGGATTCTCAGGATGGGGACGGTGGAGCAGGCAGTGGAGATCGATTTTCTGGAGAGGCAGCCGCTGGCGGCCTCGTCGGGCGGCGGTGAATGCGACGAGGAGGAGACAGTCCTCTGCAGCGCGTCCTTCGAGGACATGGAGGACAGCTTCCTCAGATACCAGACAGCCCTCTGGGTTCTTTACTCCCTGCTCCTGATCTTGGCCTGGGGGATCGGGCTTCTGATGCTGCTCTATGCCCCCATCCGCCGCTACGTTATGCGGCGGGAATTCAGGTCCAGAAAGCTGTACCTCACTCCTAATGCCATCGTCTACAAGGTACGGATATTTCCATGGGCCTTTCTCATGCTTTATCATCTTCCGATGAATTCCCAGCACATCTTGGCGAAGAATATTATCACCAACTAGCGTAATTCGGCTTCTCTGCTCAGCTCGGGAAGGTGTCTTAGGGATAGTTCCACAAGGTGGTAGAGGCCTTGTTTGGATATGATATGCAGTCTCCCTGGAGAAATTCTCCATGGTCTGCTCTTGCCGGCCCCTCTTGGTCTCTGAGGAGGTCTTCTGATGCTGCCGTTCTTGCATAGAATGGCCGTGAAGCGGTCGATCCCACCACAGAGCTTGACGGCGGATCTGATTCTACCGTTCTTGCTGGGACAGTAGACGTTTCTTGGTCCATATAATAATTCGATGAATTACGGCTGCTCATTGCCTCTTCTCCTGTGGATTCCAGGCTCTGCATCATGGAGAAGTAAGTAGTCTTCTCATTAAAGGCCCATGCTTGATTCTGCAGGTCACGAGGCCCGCGGCTTTTCCCTACTTTGGGGTGCTTAAGAAGGAGAAGTACGTGGTGCTTCCTTCGGTTGCAGACATCATGATTGAGCAAGGTTGAGGACGATCAGAACTGAAAGCTGAAAGGATCCACACCACCCTGATTAGGCGATGCTAACACTTGTCTGCCATTAGCAGGATATCTCCAGTCCTTCTTCGGCGTGTACTCAATGAGGATAGAGAATGCGGGGGTGCAGAGGCCTGCAAGTGACTATGTTAAGATCCAGGGGGTGGCCAATCCGAGAGCCTTTAGGAAGGTATCCCTTCCTTCAGCTGGCATCATTCTTTCTTATGTAATGTTTTGAATAAATGATCTACTTACTCAGAACCATCCTCTGGGTGTATTATTGGCCAGGCTGTTCTAAGCTACCTTGCTAAGATCAAAAGTGGGAGCTTCAGTCGTCAAGCTTCTATCCAAGAGGATCTGCCGAGTTTTCTGTCTGTTGGGGTACGATAATAATTCTACTAGATTTACGGCATTTAAAATCATTGAAGTCCATCTCTTCACCTCTCATGGTGGCTGCAGAAGATCCCAGACGTACCCAAGTTAGAGATTTTTTTTTTTTTTTGTTGTTCAACCGAATTGTTGGCGTTTCTTCTTGCAGCGGTTTTTCAGGCTTTGTTGACCCTGTCTGAATTAAACGTCGCCTAGTGATAACATGAGAGTCCTCTCCAGGAGGCTTCACATGACTTTCCGTTGTAGAATCTCCGCTTTGATCTCATCTTGTGTGTTTACAAAGCCACAAACCAGATGAGAAAGAGAAAAAAAAAAAAAAGAAAAAGAAAGAAAAACTGGGGGAAAGTATTTATGCCGAACCCATCTCTTACATGGTTATAAGTATCATTAGTAGTAGCAAAACTGCGCTTGTGATTATGTTTTTATGCGTAGATAAATCCTAACTTTGAATAATTTGGCTTTTCCCTTCTAAGTATCAAAAGCATTCTTGCTGTAAAAAATGCAGGTGTCACCCTCGAGATCTCACAGAATCACCCCGCTAACCCCATCAGGGGATCAGATAATGCAGAAGCTCGAGGAGGTTGGATCCTCTGTGAAGGTCCGAAATCCATGAGGCAGACTCTCCCCCCTCCCCTGTTCTTCTTATGCCTGATCTGTTCATCTCATACTTCGAAGTACTGCAGAGGGTTCAGAGCCTAATCGAGAAGCGACAGGGGCACCCCTGACAGACAGCCGCCGCTTCGGACTGATGGCGAACTATGGCAAGAACCCGTGATTACGAGCACTGAATAATGGCTTTCTAGCATGGGTTTTTAGTGATCTCCACTTTTTATGGTCTCAGGTCAACGCCGACGAGCGAGTGGAGCTGGGCGAGGCTGCGGTTTTCAAAATGCCACGTCTTATTATATTGTATGGCGGATGTATCTACTACCAATGTGTCCCCGCGAAGATGAGATCCTCTTCCTTCGCGGGCTCTGTGAACCTTGGGGAAAAGCTGTCAATATGCTTTCATCCGGCTTTTATTTCCCAAACCATCTTGTCGGTTGGAATGCTGTGGCCTCGCCTTACATGCACTGTGGGGTGATTATCGTCCCGCCTACCACGTGGCGGCTCCTGTTTGGGCCTAATTGTACTTATGGGCTTGCTTGGCTTAAGGCCGAAGTTAGAGAGGGATGGAGTTGGTGGGGCCATGCACGCCTTGTTGGATTGCCACGTGGCTGGCCTATCTGTCTTCAAGGCTTATTTTTTGAGCCCAACTCCGCAAATCCGGGTCCAGGCCGGATTCTTTTTTAGCCAGGAGGGGATAAAAAATAATGTTCACGGAAATAAATATCCCCCCTCAAATACTGAAATACGTATTTTCAGTATTTAAATATTTAAATACTGAAATACGTAAAAATACGCTATTTAATCTGAGGAATGAGTAGAATATTATGAAACAGCAAAATCTAGAAACATAGAATCTACATTTTTTTTTAATTTTTTTTTTTTATGACTACTGCATGCAGGTTGACATCCAGGATAAAAGTAAACTGAATTAATCCATACAAATAAATGAATCCTAAAAATAATACAATTATAATACATAACTGTTTAACATTACGGCATAAAAATTTCCATCGGGGAACGAAACTGCAAAGTCAGGAGATCCTAAAAATCTTCCTTGACAGCGAGGGTTTCTCGAACATCCGTCAAGGAAGTCACTGAGGGTCATCTTCGATTTCTCCGAGGTCTACGCTAAGAGATTTGTGCAAACGAAGCGAAAGAGGTTAGCTTTATGAACCAAGAAGACCAGATCATTAGTGAGCACTCCTCAGATCAGCGAAAGGGGGGAAAATTATCCAGGAACCGAACAGTAAATTGCTCTGAGAGGTTTTTCTCAGACACTTGGAAGGTCTTCCACTTACAATGGCCAGTCATTGTCTTGAAGCTGGAAGTGTTCTGGGAGGAAGTCATCCATGTATTCTTCTTGATACCGCAGCCACGTGGGGGCGTCCTCCTCCACCTTTTCTTCTTCTACTCCACTAGCGATCCAATCGTCGTCCAAGCCTGGAGGGGTCTTCACCTTGTCTCCCTCCTTCGGGTGCAGGTCCCTCGACGTACTCTCTGTTGTGACCTTTGCAGAGGGCCGAGAATTCCCCGGTGAAGCGGAGTGGTGTGAACGAGCTGACCAGGAGGAAAGGTGGTGATGAAGGTTGCCACAGGGACCGCCCAAAGTGGTGTCGTTGGTGTTGAAGCTGCGGAAGTCGAGATTGAGACCCAGTGGTTTGACTGGGAAGGTGAACTCCGTCAGCTGCGAAATGGGTTGGAATGGACCATCGAAATAGCTGAGGCTTGGTTTGGAGGAGGTGATAGAGGGGAGGGCTCTAGAGTTTTCTCTGGTTCTTATTTCTTCCCCTGTTTCAGGCTGAAGTAGCAGCTTCTGCTCGCGAGCTTGCTTCATCGCGGCTCTGTGGAACTTGAGAGCCGCGAGAATCTCTCTCCTGACACCAGCAACCTGAGACGTCCTGCAGGTGTACGATTTTCTTATTGCTTGGCACTTGTGTTGGAGCTGGGATTGGGCTAGTTGCCGACCCCTCCGACGCCGCTTTACCGTTTCTGAAAGTGCGCTATTCCTAGTAGCGTGATCTGGTCGCTCTTCATGAATAACGGGGGAGTGTGGGATTCGTACCAGGGTATGGTCGGAAGAAGCATCACCACAGAGGGGAGGACTCTCCGCCTCCATGGTTCCGCTCTCTTGCTTAGAAGTTGCTAGGATTGTCCTCTCTGAGTTGCCAACCCTTTTCTGCATCTCTCTCCCCCTCTTCGCTCTCTCTCTCTCTCGCTCTCTATCTCTCATTCGCTCACTCTATCCACATATATACCCGCGGTGCCAATGGAGGTAAAAAGGATCGAGGGCTTTCCCTTGTCTCTGGATAGGAAATGGCTTGGCTGTTGGGAGCATTAAATTGCATGGCGTGGGCCTTCCTTGGACAACTCTTCGTCACCCTCTATTCGTTATCCAAGGCTGTTCGAGGTGGTGGGGAGAGAGAGAGAGAGAGAGAGAGAGAGAGAGAGAGAGAGAGAGAGAGAGAGAGAGAGAGAGCTCTTTTGGGTGGGTTTCCGTTGCAGCTACATTTTGGATCCGCATGCCGCGCTCTAAGGATTGATGAGACGGGAGACAAGACGAGGGATACGTCTCGATGGATCCCTTTAGACGGTCGACGGTTTCTTCACTTTGTCTGCCCATCCGCAAATCTTTATAAGGATTGACGTCAGGCAATCCGATCCAATCCAATCCGACCTGTTTGGATAAGGTCGGACGGTCAGATAACCCAGTACAGAGGATGACCCAAATCAGGTACAGAAAGAAAGAAACCAAAATCATATATTCTATGAAAACGATTTTGAGAGGATACATTTAGCAAAAAATAATGATGAACATGGTCAGTGGCTTCCGGTTGCGATCCTGATCGTCCAATTGCACCCATCACTGTCTGACTCCGGCTTGGAGGACACGGTACTGGCCAATAGCATTCGGGGTTGACTCTCGCAATGACGAAGATAAAGCTGGGCGGGGTCTCAATCGGTTGAAAGCTGTCCACTACAAGGGTCTCCAAACCCTCGGGGTTTTAGAGGGCGTCAATAGTTTTTTTAGGGCGCGAATTGTTCAGAAGGGTGTCAAATCATTTATCACTGTCAACACGTAACACGTCACAACAACAAGAATGCAGCCATTTTACAGCGAGCATGATGCAAACAAAAGTGCGTCTCAGTGACGCCATCAAGACTCCGCATCAAGACTTTAGTAAAATCAACATTTATTCTTCAATGGGTCTGCTTGGAGCTTCACATCGTCCTCTCCGGGTGATTGATTTTGTCGACGACGCTTCTCTGTGAAGAAAGATTATTTTCAGGCGCCGAGATGTAGCTGACACGTTGTGAGGAAAGGTGAAACCATTAGCATCAGTGCCCAGCGTTGCTTGAGCTCCCGAGTAAGACATTTCCTCTTTTTCTTTTAAATAATGTACGGATTTTTATGAATAACGCATGATCCTTTCATCCACATCGAGGATGATATGTATGATTCCATCACAAATAAGTCCAGTCGGATCAGAGTATTTATGTTATGGAGTTGTTAGATATCATGGGGGTTGCAGTCAATTTAACCATGAAATTATTAAGACGTGTAAGAGCTCTTGTACGGTCAAATGACCTTTAGCTTTTAAGGGCTTCTCTGTTCGTCTCCTTTCCTACATGTTCGTCCTGACCAGTATGGATGTTTACCCACGAAACTAGCTTGTCGAGGAAGTCCACTCTGATTTTCATTAGCTTGTAAGTTCTCCTTTGTTGTGATGTCCACAGAGGAAGCGTTCACCAGAGAGGGTGTCATCATACGTTGTCATAGTGTCTCTCATGAACCCATGATTTTCTATAGATTAAATTTTATATTACTTCAAACTGTTAATTATTCTAACGGGTTAGTTTATTTTCTCCCTTTTTTATTTTCTCTTTTCGCAGTCATAAACTTGTTGGACTTGATGAAGATGCTTTTAGATAATCTGGTAATGGATCAATTACACCAGGCCCAATACCTAGCCCATCACAATGGGAGGTTAAGAGGGAAGAGAGAGAGAGACAAAAAAGGGGACCCCGAGAACTAGGCAATAATGTGCTGGGCGTTCGAATCTCGTTAGTGACTTCGGTTTTTCAAACTATTCGTAAGACTTTATCACACATTTCGACACTTGTTATGCTATTGTCATAATCAATGAATGTTGCACTACATTACTTCAATACAAAAGAACATCTTAAGGGCATGAATTTTTAGATTAATTATTAATCAGATAATTATATAGAGCATCATCAATGTATATGATTTGAATATTTATCAATTAAACTTATCTCATGATGAAAATAATCATGATGTATATTAAGATTCAATCAATTCAAAAATGATTTGTAAATAAATTTTCTTTTGTATGTGTTAAAACATATTGCTTGTGTCAACATCGAGGACATCTACAAAATACTCTCTCTCTCTCCTTATCTTGTAACTATTTGTGACATTTCAAATTTTAAATATTTTTCTGTACAAATTCTTTTTCCTCATCTCCTCCTCTCCAATCAATCATATGAACTTTTAACAAAGAAAAAATCATGAAACGTGTTCTAAAATCCATTTGATGTTTTTCATTTAATCTGATTATATTTGACTATAGTAAAACTGATATTTCTTAACAATTAGCTTTAATTATCATCTAAAATTGATGCATTAATAATTACTCACTTCAAAACTAGAAAATATAGTGGGTTGAAGGTTCTTGATGTCGAAGGCAAAGATGACCACATTGGCCAATGTCTGGCTAATCGTAGTCCCTCCTAGCAATTCTTTGATCTTCTTGTGGACTTTTTTACCATCATATTTAGGTCCAATAAAAGCCTTGGTGGATTTGATGGATCTCGTGAATGGGTCCATGCCAGTCATAACAGAGCAAGAAGAAAAGCAACTCTCATCAAGCTCTCTTGCAAGATGTCTAATAGATAAACTCGACTGTTGAGTACAGGAACAAGAGCGAAAGCTGCATCAGTTTTTGTCCATAGTATTTTCCATGAACGATCGGAGAGTTGTGGTTCTTATTGTAACAACCCATCAACATTGATATCTTCACATATAAAACCTGAGTTAACTTATACGACCTTAGTTGATATATTTATCAACGTTGAGGGGAGGGACTTTTGGAAAGTCGGTCGTTCATTTCACAGATGAAGACACGCCATATCGGAGAGAAATACATGGCGACCGGGATCTTGGACATTCGAAATAAAACCAATGAAATTATGATCTTTGAACGTTATATGAAAAAATGGCATGTCGTTATGAGTTTGATCAGAGATATATTTTCTTTAGTGCTCACAGGAGCACCCCCTAAGCAACTTGTTTACTTATAATCAGCATCGTAAGTAAGTATATACCAATTCCGGGGGAAGATCAAGGGGCACTGTTCCAGATAGAATCCTTGATATCTCTGGCGGCGAAGAAAGGTCGTTTGAGTTCATTGGGAGCCGTCAGCATGGCCGTAACAAGCCCCACGGTGCTTGTCCCTGTAATCACGTTGAAGTACTATGCGATCCTCGCGTTCTTTCCATCGAAACTGTTTCACGTCGAGGACATGAGTCTTTATTCTTGTTTGGAATATTTATAATGAATATGCGGAAATCAGATCCTTGGGAATGTATAGCCGATGCAAGGCCGCGAAGAGAATAACCTAGTTGACAACAACTAATGCACGGCGTTCTACCAAAAAATTAGAACAAATCTCTCACATTGATTTATACGATGATGCAAGAATCGAGGTTTTATTCCAACACGTCCGTTCCTCGTCGCGTATGGAGAACAGGATGTCAGTTCGTTAACAGTAAGATGTAGTAAATCACGAACTACTTGGGAGGATCGATGCCCACATAGATGAGAAATTGGAGAAGTAAACGAAATCCTCCACTCTCTTTGTGAAGAAGATCACATGAGATCCCTCATATTCTGGAGAATCGGGGACTCTAAATGTCAATACCATGATTTATCTCCTAAGAAAGCATGGATTCGATAGCCAGGATTTAAACTAAAGTTCAACTTCCAACATGTACCCACCTGGAGCTCCATCTCCAAGCAGGCGAGAGTGATGGCCAGGATTATCCCTTTGATTCCACCTCTGTCAATACTGAGGATGGCTATATGTTTATCTGCGCTGGCCTGTTGTTTCTGATCTGCTATCTCTCCGGAGGCCGAGCTCATGTTTCTGGAATAATCACTCTTGAAAGCCTCAAGAGAGTAGAGAAGGACAGAGAAAGAGAAGTTGAGCAAGAAGAAGTATAAGAAAGTGAGGAAGAAGGGAATCTGTTTTACCGACAATATGTTCTCAAAGATATCTGGAATTTGTGCATCGCAACCCGGTATTTATAGTCCGAACACGGGGGATAAAGAACAAGGCAGACCCATTTCGTGGCTGTTGGGGTTCCTAATTTTCAGATTACCGCTGGAGGACGTATCTTACCGGTGAATAGTTCATCCGGTTACGCACTCGTGCCCTCTCTCACCGGAAGCCTTGTGGCCGAGTGGAAGAAGAAGAAAACGTTTTTAAATGCAAATGAAGAAGGAGATGAATACGTCATATCAACGGTGGGCCTAGAAACATGTGCGCTAGCTTCGGAGGGGGGGAAGGTTTCTACCGCCTTGCAGACGCACCTTGGCCGGGTTTCGTTAATCATGTTGTTTCTGCCATTTAGCCAAAATCATCATCGTCTTTGTTATTTCGGTGCCAAACAATGTTACTTGACCCAATTCTCGTGTCTCCTCCGTCGCCTACAGGACCTGCTTAATTGTTGACTCGATTCAGTAATTTCTAAGGCTCTACCACAGCAACACGATTTTGGAGAGGGCAGAGGCGCCGATATTTTAATGATGAGTAAAAGTTTTGGTCTTATAATTTGACAAGCGATTATTCAATGTACGTTTTGGTAATTTATTTTATCTTTGACCCCAGGCCATTTGGACGGGACTTTACCAAAGCCTACAAAAAAAGACACCGCATAACATCTAGTCTAAGCTCCCATTCCATGACACGGCCACCTGCATGACTGCCAATGGCTGCCCGAAGAGGAGGGTATGACGGGTCAAGGATCAGCTCACCTCGATTCCTCCGGAACTGGTCTTGGTTGCTCTCGCCGACACCAAGGAGCCTCTTTTCTCCGAGATAACGTGGAAACGTGGACGGTCAACACAAAGACTCTGATCGACACAGGAAGAGACCCAACTGTAGTAGGCCCCTCACAGTCGGAAAACCCGACTGTGACCTTAGGTACGGAGATCCCACCCAACTTATGGAATAGAGCCCTCACGCAGACCGGATCCGAACAACTGCGCCCGTGGCAGGAGGGTTCCAGGGTTTTACTGACAGATGGCATTCAATAGGATCAGGGTGTGCTCCTTGAGGTGTGGAGATGATTGCGACCGAGAGAGATTGACGCGTGTAGAATATATGGCTTGGTGTAGAGAATACGTGCCTGCCACCTGTCTAGTGTTGGAGTCCGACATTACCGAGCATCGACACTGCAAATTCACACGCCACCTCGGGTACTTTATCTTCCGACTTTAATTTGGATTCGTAAGCCGAAATGGAGGAGTGGTTCCTCTATAATCACATATTTTTCTTGTCGTGATGATATGGAACTGTTTTCAAAATTTTGGTTTCGTCTTCAACTTTTATGTGTTGGCATTCCACTTATTATAAATTCTACTCCTTGTCGTTCGAGTTTTGCAGGTACTTAAAACTTTTGATTCTATTAGCAGTTTTTGGTAGCGGTTAGATAACTGGTAAGAACTAGAATAGGCAGGGTCATCTGAATTTCTTTGAGATAAACTAGTTGTCCGAGTTTGACAAGCTTGGATGACTAAGCGTTTCATGTGGGGCTCAGTTACGGACAAGCAGGGATAAAGTTGCATCAACTTGTTCAAACACGATGGACGAATGGTGATACCCAGGCCGCTTAACATATCCTTGTTGTTACCAAACAGAAAACTAAATTAACTTTACTGGTTAGAAGTGGAACATGCTAGGTTATCTGGAGTTTATCCGAGAGATTCGAATTGTTCAAGTTTGATAAGCTTGGAAAATTGAGCATGTTATATGAGGCCCAGTTAGAGATCAACAAGGATAAAGTCGCATGAACTTATTAGACCAGCGAGGTCAAAGAAACCATGAAGACCGAACCCCCCCTGACATTTTCTAACGTTGTCTAATCCAGGTTATATTTCCCAGAATTTCATATAATCTTGGTACCTGACCTATCAGCGTCACCTAGGTCAAGCATTACGTATGCCCAAATACTTAAAGATAGCATGGAAATAGTTCCCCATATCCAAATGTTTCTCATTTCCAAGTTTTCATTTCATTCCTTTTTAATGTACTGAGGTATTGGTAAAGGGAGTAGCTCACTCTTTTCACGAACTATCATAAACATTCAAATAAAATTCAGATCAGCGGAGGATTATTGGTCATATCTTTATAAAATGGACCTGACATGTGTATCCTGGGGGCCATTCGTTATTTCACTAGAGCTGAATTAAAACCTTCGTCTTGCAGACTAGCAAATGATAATTTTAAAATTCTTATGTAGTGCTTTTTCCAATTTTAGGAAATCTGAAATGAATATGTTGTAAAATATGCCATTGCTTCTCTTTGTTTCCTTGAAGTATAATTCGGCCATTTAACCAGAGTTAGTAAGCGGTGCAGAGTTTTCATTCCTAAAGCACACTATGATAAGGGCCATATCCTAAACCTTATAATCTGTTTGGACGGTGTGTCCGTACATTGTATTTTTGATCAACCAACGGGCTATTTAGAGATAGAGGCAACGGGTAATCCATCTCTTAAAGTACACAATAAAATTACGAATAGAAAGAAAAATCCATCTCTTAAAGTCATACAAGGAAACATATGCAGTATAAATTACAGAATAGACCTATTTCTGCAAAGTGCTCTCTCCATGTCCGTACAAGTCCTGCAGAGGTCCCCATCATATTTTTTTATGGCTATTCTTCTCTATGGCTAATTTTTTTGAGGCTTTCTTTCTTCCGATAGTTGTTTTGCAAACCTAAAGCAGAGAGAAACGGCGATTTAGCTTTAAATCAGAATTATGGATGAAGAATAGAATGATCAAATATCATCAGAAATGACACCATTTAGTAGACCTGCCATGCCAACTCTACGTATTAACTACAGTTAGGTCCATACCAGATTCATACTAAAGTATTACCCGTATACTTAATGCTAAATAATTGCATTGTCAAATTCAAAATCACAAGGAAAACGGTTGAGGAGCCCTTTCAATCCAATACCATGATGTGACTTATAAGTTCCGATAAATCATTCCCCTAATATGTATGTACCTATAGTCCCTATATTTCGGCTGAAGTGATAACTCATCTACTATCAGTTGAGAGTGGAGATGTAGTTAATCGAGTTTGATAATCAGTTCTAAACCCCCAAGACAACAGAAAAATCCCTGATTGGTCATTTAAAAAAGAACGGGTTGAATCATCACCTTTTAAGGGCGTCCCTGTTCGTCTCGTCTCCGAAGGGTTCATTCCGGCCAGTATTAAGGTTGACCCTCGAAACTGGCTTGTCGAGCAGCTTTTTTCCAATGTCGATAAGGTTATCTAGGTTCTCCTTTGTCGAGATGTCCACCGAAGAAGCGTCCCCGGAGAGCGTGTCGTCCTGTATTTTATACCATAGCTTATGAATCCATCAAGTAAACTTCAGATATATATATATATATATATTATAGGTTTATATACTATGCAGTCTAAATGGCCATAATAGATTAATATTGGAATGTGATTTGATTCCTCTGTGTAGTAAAATTACGAAATTAGCAGTTTACCTGAATTCTCAAATAATTATCTTCAGATTTTAGAGCCTGGAAGACAACGGAGATGTGGATATCGACCATGTCAACTATCGCTTGGCTGAAAACGTCGATCAGGGGGTTTGAGTCGCCGTTGATAATCCACCCTAGTGCACCCCAACTCTTGGCCTTCTCGGCAGTATATTTTTCCTCCTGCTTCTGCGTGCCTGTGCCAAGTGAAATAACTAGATATTTTCGATAGTCCAGCGGTCTCACGGGGAAGGCGGAGTCCTCCCTGGAAAGCTCCTTCGTTATCTCTCTCATTGCAAGCAGTGCCTGCGAGATACACTTGAAGTTACATGAGGATCACTACGGGAAGGAATAGATTCATCGTACTTGATGGATAAATGCCTTACCGGATTGTTGGCCGCCACACCTCCGTCAATGAGATTGTACTCCTTTCCATTTGCCGTAAATTGGTGAGCCGGGAGGTACGTGGGGGCAGCTGATGTGCTGATGGTGACGTCAGAGAGCTTCACATCTAGGTCTTTGTCGTTCTTCAGCTGTACGCAGGTCCACTCATCGTTAAGGCCACATGCAATCAGAGCACACCCCCTGGAATGATCAGGAGGGTAACTATTTTCTTCTGTAGATAACAGGCAGGATGGCACAGATCTAAAGGGACGGGATCTGGCCCGAACTCTCCAGAAGCCAGAACAGTTCTACGTGCTGCCGTGACTAGGGAGGGCGACGGAGTCAGGACAGGGAAATGGAATGGACACCATAAAGCCTCGGGCGAAGGGGTCCACACTCATGTTGTCTTTACCCTCTTGTTGAAAGCACTGGTTCAATCCTGTGATGCCATTGTCATGGTCATCCGAAAGGGTTTGCACGTTCACCATTTGGTTAATATCTAGGTCACTGTCGTATTATGTGTCGTCATGAATGTTTGTACACGTCTGTATTATTAAATATCGTGACTGCGAGTCCCATAATATCTCGGCAATGGACACGAAGTCTTTTCGGTTGGACAACTTACTGCTAACTCATCAGAAAAATCAGACGCGACCTATCCTATCGCTATTCTTACAAGGCATCTACGAATAAGGGAAAGGTAACCATCCAAATGGATAACCAAAAACAAAAGAGAGAAATAGTAATAATAGAACCATATTAGTACGTCGGGTGAAATTCAAACCTCAAAACTGGAGAAGATAATCGGTTGGAGATATTTGATATCAAAGGTCGGGATGACTACGCTTGTCAACGTTTCGTGCACCTTTGTCGTTCCGAGTTTCTCCTGGATTATCTTGTGCAAGTATTTTCCATCATACTTAGGACCAGAGAGCTGTTTGACCGTCTTGACAATTCCGGTGAATGGCCCAGCGCTGATCATCATCAGAGAAGAAACACCTTCATGAATCTTTTTTGTTGTGTTTTTAACGGTTCGTTTGTTTGAGGAAGATGAAGTTATTAGTTCTCATGGGAATAACATATTAGCGGATTCGTAAAGCAAAAGTTTTACAGTTGCTAATTTGAGCAGTAAACTAAAACCTGATCCTAGTTGAAGTTTAAATTCATGTCGTTGATTCTGACAGATAAAAGAAAAGTCAACAGTGCGTTAATCAAATAAAGTATTGATAGGGAATCTCAACTAACTCAATTTCAAGTTGAACATAATACCAAAACTAATATTGTCCAAACTTGATTATAAAAGGACCAAAATACCGCTTCTCAAATGGTAGAACGCACAATATATTACCCATTCATAAAACTTCAATTTGTCAGAATTATCAGCTACTAATTGTCAGTAGTTACCTGACTTGGGGAAAGATCTTGGGGCAGTGTTCGAGGTAGAATGGCGTGATATCACTGGCTGCATAGAGGGGGCGACCTTTTTCATTAGGAGCTGTCAGCATGGCCGCCACGAGGCCTCCAGTGCTTGTCCCTGCGATCACATCGAAGTAGTCCACGAGCCTTGCATCATCTCCGTCCAGCGCCTGTTTCAGTTCAGTGGAATAAAAATTGTGTTTACTTTGGACATCTCCAAGGAAATTTCTATGTAGGAGTATTTACGCCATAGTTTCGTATCCGGGAGTGGGTAATGCCATATAATGATAAAAATACTACGATTTCGCCACGGCAAGACGTGTCAATTCCCCATCTTAACCTCTCTCTCTCTCTCTCTCTCTCTCTCCCCGTCTATCTCCCTCTCTGTTGCTCGCTCGCTTTCTTAGACAGTTGTTTTATCATCCTCGCGGAGTGGGCAGATCCAATTGTGTACATGCATCGTTTAGCCGTCGAATATCTTATACTCTTGTTTTTGGTTGAAAAAGAAAATCCAATTGTGACGCGCATGCACGTATACATTTGAGTGAAGAAAATCTTAATTCTCTCTTCCAAATCTAAGAAAGTAAAGAAGAAAGAATTCTTGGTGAAAATGTTTGATATTGGGGAGAGGATATCAGCTCTTGCTTCAACGTACCTGGAGTTCTTTCTCAAAGAAGTCAAGAATGGTGGCAGGGATGATCCCTCTGATCCCGCCTCCGTCGATGCTAAGGATGGTGACCATCTTTTTGCTGTCGCGCTCCTCAGCCATAGCTTCGTCGGGTAAAGAACAGGAAAAATGGAACAAGAGGCGGAGAAAGCAAGACTAAGACGAAGAAGAACCAGATGTTGTCGGAGGAGGAGCTCAATGATAGAGTTTCCTCGGAGAACCCCCAATATTTGTAGAGGTCCAAACCAGGGATCTTCGGACTTATTTCATCGGTGGTCGGTATTTGGTCAGAGGACATGTGCAAGTCATGGAAAAAACAAGGAAGCGGAGGTGGGTAGACCGTTCTGCTACTGCGTACGCCGCAGGGAGAGTCCCACGGACGTGATAGTGCGTGTGTGATCTTTGGATTGGTTGAGCTTATGGACCATGTGTGAAATCATTATTTGACTAGTCGCGCGTTTCTTGAGCGACGGCTGAAACATTCATAGGACATCGGCCGCCCGCCCGCCCGATCACCGCGAATCGGTCTTCCATGTAAAGGCGTCCCGCTCAAGTTAATAATTTCGTTGCTAGAAAAAATATCCAAGATTTTACGCTCTCGTTGAATAGAAGTCAATGTCGCATTTGCGAGAATAATTTTCCTTCGGTAGAATGAAAATAACCGTCTGTGATGAAGGCCCAAAGGTTTAATACACGTGTGAATATCGTGCATATATTACCTTTGTGAACTTGTAAATTGCAGACCGTTTATCCCCACGCTGGTCAACCGTAAGACAGAACAATAAGTCCAATAGTTTTTAAAAACCTATTTCAACTTTAACAGAACACCTGGCCATCAAAATTTCACTCATACGCATTCAACCGTGGAAGGGGTGACTCATGTACATAAACTTCTAATATGATAATAACACGCGAGCTATCTAGTAGCTGGCTTTGTCGTGACCTGTGGACACAGCATTAATGGGGAAAATTCAATATGACTTGTCTTTTAAGACGAATTTCAATAACGCCAGTTTAATAACGCCAGAGTTTCAACGCCCAGTGGGGATAAACGGTCTGCAGTTCTCAAGTTCATAGTGGTAACATATGCACGATATCCTCACGTGAATCAAACCTTTGGGTCTTCATCACCGATAGTTATTTTCTTTCTACCGAAGGAAAATTATTCTCGCAAATGCAACTTTGACTTCTTTTCAACGAGAGAGTAAAATATTGGAGTAGAGACGGATTTATTTTTTCTGGCGGCGAAATTATTTACTTGAGGCGGAAGCCTACCCATCGAAGACCAATTCGCCGTAATCGGTCGGTCGATGCCTTCTGAAGGCTTGAGTTACTGGTCAAAAATTGCCGTTTTCCCCATTAATGATGTGTCCACAGGTCACGACAAAGCCAGCTACTAGATAGCTCGCGTGTTATTATCATATTAGAAGTTTATGTACATGAGTTACCCCTTCCACGGTTGAATGCGTATGAGTGAAATTTTGATGGCCAGGTGTTCTGTTAAAATTGAAATAGGTTTTTAAAAACTATTGGACTTATTGTTCTGTCTTACGGTTGACCAGCGTGGGGATAATTCTGAGATATTAGGGCAAAAGAGCTTATGTGGTTTGGAGGTACAGTCTTTTAAATGGAAATGAAACTTGAAATCAATTAAAGAAATTAGGGGCCACCAACTTAATTTAAGAGCCAAACAAACCGGAGATATTTAGCTGTAAAAGGATAACCAATTATCACTCTAGAGACTCTAAGAGATACAGTCTTTTATATTTTAGCAGTGATTGCGAGACAATTCTGAGGCTGAATGCCTGATTAGGACATTATAATCATTAACCTTGTCACCTCCCGGTGTTTGAACTCTCTAATAGGAGGTGCGTGAGACTTATTCAATGGGCTAGGCCATGTGTACTCTGTAATTGGATCGACTGAGTCGTCGAAGTAACGGTGGGATCTTCGTTACAGCGTTGACACATGGAGAGGGATGGAGAGAGAGAGAGAGAGAGAGAGAGAGAGAGAGAGAGAGAGAGAGAGAGAGAGAGAGAGAGGTTGTTTCTAGGGTGTAGTGCTCACTCCAGGACTACAAAAAAATACGGGTTGAAGTTTTTTGAAATTAACAGTGGAGACGACCACGCTGGCCAGTGTCTGGCTTATCCTAGTCTTTCCTAGCAATTCCTTGATCGCCATGTGGAGATATTTACCATCATAGTTAAGAGGGAAAGGAGACTTGACAGATTCAACTGAGTGTCGTGAATGGGTCCCTGCCCCTCATTATAGAGGAAAAAGAAAATCAGCAAGCCGTCTAGTAGATAAACTCAACAAGAGAGTAAAGGTGACCAAACAAGAGTGGAGGCATTGTGATTTGTCGTTCATAAAATTTTCCATCAATAATCAGAGAGTCTTGGTTCTAATTGTAACAATGTATCAACATTGATATCTTCACATAAAAAGATGAGTTGACTTCTAGGAACTAAGTTGATATATTTATCAACATGGAGGACAAACACTTATGGAAAGTTCAGCTGTTCATTTCACAATGAAGGCCTCGGGTATCGGAGAGAAATAAAGAACAACGGGATCTTGGAAATTGAAAATAGAATCAATGAATCCTGACCTTTGTAAGTTGTATGAAACAATTGGCATGTTGTTAATGATCTATCATCATTATGATAGGGAATATTTTTGAGCCATCACAGCAGCATTGCCAAAGCAATTTGTTTATTGAGAATCAGTGTCGTAAGCGAGACAAGTTATGTGGAAAGATCTTGGGGAATAGTTCAAGGTAGAAATCCTTGATATCTCTGGCAACAAAGAAAGGGCGTTTCTGTTCATTAAGAGCCGTCAGCATGGCTGTAACAAGGCCCCTAGTACTCATCCCCATTAACACATTGAAGTAGTCTACGATCCTTGTATTCTCCCTATCAATATCCTATTTCATGTTGGTGGAATTGGCTTTCATTTTCATTTGGAATATTTATAACACATATTCTGAAATCAGATTCTTAAGAATGCATAGCCGATGCAAAGCTACAAAGAGGATTACCAAGCTGATGTTTACAAAGATCCATGCGTGGCGATTCTGCCCAAAAGTTCGAACAAAACGTCTCAGATTAATTTATAGATGTTGAAGTAGAAGAGGAGACGACAAGGAAAGAGAGACAAATCGTCCCTACTCATTAGAGAGAAATTAGAGGTTACATATAGGAGGAGAATGGATGCCAAAAGAAGAGAGAAAGTCATAGAAGGTGGGAGGATGTGGGAGAGGGGGAGAGAGAGAGAGAGAGGGGGGGCAATCACTCATCTCCTATGTGGGCCCACTGGGTCATATTCTCACATTCACCCATATTAGGGATCCTACCTGCATCCCTTACAAGCGGGAGCATAAATGTCAATTAGTCCTAACTTATGTGAGAAAATGTCATAAGACAATATGCTGAGACCCTTTGTAAAGATGATTCCCAATTGTGATTCGCAATAAACATTGCTGCTTCATTATCATAGTATATGGGCAAAGCCCCTTGTATGAGATAACCCAACTCCTCAAGAAGATTAGCTACCTAGAGCATATAAGAAGACGTCTCGTGCATAGCTTGATACTTCGCTTCACAGCTGGACAAAGACAGAATATGCTACTTGTGACTCGTCCAGGTCACTAGGTTGCTGCCAACATAAATGTGATAACTAGTGGTAGATTTTTGATCTTCTCAATCCTCCGCAAGATTAGAGTCTAAGTAACCTGCCATGTGAAGATGTTTATGTCAGCGAAAAACTAATCTCTCCCGAGAGCATGCTTGAGGTAGGCTAGAAAATGAAGTGCAACATCCCAATAAATCTCGCGTGGCTCATGCATAAACTGATTGAGGAGATTCATGGTGAAGGCGGTGTCCTGACGTGTAACCATAAGATAAATCAACTTCTCTACCAATCACTGATATTGTTGGGGATCATTGAGTAAGAGAGATTTCTCATTCCAAAACTTCGGCCAGCTCTCGATCAGTGATGCATAAGGCTTGGATTCAAGAAGGCCCATCTCATGCAAAATATCAAGAACATACTTTTGCTAGGTAAGAACCACCTCACCAGGGTGGCAAGCGAACTCAGCCTCCAAGAAGTACTTGGGAGTCCCCAAATCATAGATATCCAAGTGTTCACGGAGGAATGCTTTGGTATCCTAGATGCTGGCCACATCATCTCCAATAATGATCATATCATCGACATAGACGGCCAAAAGAACATAGTTACTGGTGGATGACTACCTGAAGACAATAGGCTCAGAGTTGCACTCTTGAAAACTCCACTGGCGAATCAACATGCTGAACTTGGTAAACCAAGCCAGTGGACTCTATTTAAGTCCATAAATAACTTTCCAAAGATGGCAAACCTTGGTGGATTTCGCTAGCAATACGTACTCAAGAGGTTACTCCATATAAACTTCTTCATCAAGGTTGCCGTAGAGGAAAGTGTTGAAGACGTTGAGTTGATGAAGTGTCCAATTAAGATTCACTACTATAGAGACTAATATGCATACTGAGGCAAGTCAAACCACCGGGGAGAATGTCTCGGAATAATCGATGTTGTATTTTTGTGAGAACCTGCGAGCCACCAGTTGTGCCTTATAGCGTTGTACACCATTAAGAAGGTACTTAAGGGTGAAAACCCATCTGCAAGAAAGAACATTAGCACCATGCATGTATCCTAGCGGATGAGACCAATATAGTCTTCATTCATAGCTGTCTTCTAGTGAGGTACCACCATAACATTCACATGAGACTTGGGAATTGATTCAGCAGCCAGAAAAAGGGCAAAGGCACGATATTTAAGTGAAAGGTAGTCATAGGAAACTACATTAATGATCAGATGAGGGGTATAAGAGTGACAAATCATATTCAAATGTAGGGTACATAATCAGGTACCTTTGTGAAGGGCAATGGGAAGATGAAGGTCATCTTTGGGAGCTAGACTTGTGGGAGGAGACGAGAATTGGTCAGGAGCTGGTGATGAGATTTACAGAGAGACGGGTCTAGTAGGGGCAGCCAATGAAAAAGCTTCAGAAAATGGAAGATGTGACGACGAAGACGATTGTGATGAAAAAGTTGAGTTGGGAGGTG